TCAAGTGCTGCATGTCATTCAGAGGCTCTGGAGTACATGCTCTACACTTTTGTGTAGACGAATAGAGCGGTCAACTGCTTGGGAGAGAACAGTACGTGATGTAACTATTTACCTGAGCATATGCATGTGTATAGCTTGTCTTGCCATGTGTTCGTTCAACACTCACAGAAGGATCGGAGTGAAGGCAAATACTGGAAGTTATTTCCCACCATCATGGCAATAATAACGCAATAGAGAAGTGTATAGTATAATTATGAGATCGTGCTAGCGTCTGCAGCCTGACTCAGTAATGTATTAACTAGCTCAGATTGCGAGAACATCTAGTCAATGCTACGCCAGCATGCCAGGCAGATCCTGGAGATATTTATAAAGCAACGCGAAGTCTCTTGGCCTTGGGCTTGCCCCAGGAATGCCAAGAAGGCGGGCTGTGGGGATTGTTGGCCAAGAACAATCCTCTAGTATTCATCTATGTCCCCGAAGCAGAGGGTTTGCAAGGAGATAAATGGGTTGACTTTGCCAAATCCTTTGAGAAATCCCCTGGGCACCACAGATCTGTTTGGGGCAGGATTCATCAACGCGCGCTTTTCTCGTCAGATTATTTTCTTCTCATTACTTGTAAGTTCTCTATCTCCTAAGACTCTACCAACCCGTATAGAACTGAAAGACATTAACGTTTTAAAGTGTGGGATTCTTCCGATGCTCTGAAACATTTTGAGACTTCTCTTGCATACAATACATACTGGACTAGTCTTTGCCACTACTCATCTCGGCGCCCTGAGGTGTATAAGGCGGACTCCAGCACTGTCAGATCATGGAACCGTCCGAGAAAGGGGGTTATCCTTGTAAGTAGTACATTTCCCTACCCATCTTAGCGCCGAGCAGCTAGAGCAGATCGGTGCTATTGCCGACCTCCGTCCAGGCGCAGCTGTTGCGCCCCAGCTACACCATTTAATCCCAGAACCTATAAGATTCTGGGCCAACGGAACACAAGTCAGAAATGGCAGGGAGGTGAAAACGCGACTATTTCTACTCTCCCAAATTACAGATAACAGCATGGTAGGAATTGACAACGTCTACGGTGACTAGAATTGACCAAATTCAAGATGTCACAAATAATATTCCGATCTGTGTTCGGAGCAAGAAACGACTAGAGGAAACCAACCAAGTCACCTGCCAAGTCACAGATTTGGGGGAATGGAATGTGTAGGAAACAGAGAGGTGGGGATAGGATTCTCCATGAGCTTCTCTGGCCTGGGGTGAACTCCATGATCGATTATGCAATGAGGAGTTGTTTTGATCCAACTAGGCGTCGAATCGGGTGTGGGGGTACAGAACACCTCGATTCCGTCACGAGAATGTTCTTGGCACTCGGCCCTCGTCTCGCGTCCCCAGGGCGCCGACGCGGGGAGCACCGCTTCCAAAAGTCGCTCGAAATCGACAACTCCGCGGTTTCTTCCAGCTGGACATTTAAACCCCCGCTTAGGTACTACGACCCAAGGAAAGCTATCATAAATCTGCTGTTCTTTACTTTCGCGCCATCTTTGACAAAGCAATAGACAGTGGGAAACGCCGCTAAAAGGAAAACCCGCGCGCATCTCAGGGAAAGTCTACTAGCTGGGTAACATCCAAATCTCACATCATGGCTTCTCTTGCGGCCAGAGCAACCCGGGTGTCGGTTTTCGGGAAATCTTTCCTCTCCTGTCGACAACCCTCTTCTCGCTCTTTGGCCACTCGTGCAACCTCTTACACTATCAACACCGGTGCGAAGATCCCAGCGCTCGGATTCGGCACATTCCAAGACCCCGATTCTCAGGAAGAGACCGTCAGCCGGGCATTGCAGAAGGGCATGCGCCTGATTGATACAGCTCGGGTTTACAACGTTGAAGAGCAGGTCGGAAGGGGAATCAAGAAGAGCGGCGTTCCTCGCGAAGATATTTTCCTCGGCACAAAGCTGTGGTGCAATGATTACCATCCCGATGATGTAGAGCGTGCCTTGAATGACTCCCTGCGAGACCTAGATACACCATATGTCGACCTTTTGTTGATGCACTATCCGTGCACCTTTAAGCGGGGACCCGATCGATTCCCTCGGGATGCCGACGGCCGAATGATTCGGGGCGAGACAACGTACGTGGACACATGGAAAGCGATGGAAAAATTGACCAAGACTGGCAAAGTCAAGGCTATTGGAGTTTCGAATTTCAGCATGGGTGAAATTGAGACCTTACTCAACGACACTTCTACGGTCAGTAATACTGTATAGTCGCGAAATTACGGGAGGCTAATTAATTCTTTTAGGTGCCAGCTGTCCACCAAATGGAGGTCCATCCGTATTTACAGCAGAAAGGGTTCAACGAGTGGCTGCAGACAAAGGGAATTCACGTTGTCCAGTTCAGCCCCCTGGGCAACATGAACGATTTCTATCGACAGACTGGATGGTCTAAGGAGATTGCGCATATGATGCGGGTTATTGACCAGCCGATTCTAAAGGAGATTGGCCAGAAGTATGGTAAGAACCCCGTGCAGGTTGTACTTGCATGGGGTATCAACAGCGGCCGTTCCGTCATTCCCAAGAGTGTTGTCGACTGGCAGATTGAAGAGAACTTGGAGGCCGATTTCGAGTTGCAGCCTGAGGACATGGCCCGGATCGCAACTCTGGACGTGAAGGCTCGCTTCAATGATCCCAGTCTGGACTACGAATGGCGCTTGTACAGTGACCTGGAAGGTATTGACGGCACTGTGAGAGGGAAAACTCACTAGATATTTCCTCGAGGTCATTAGAAAAAGTGTAACTATAAATTAGAGTTCATGCCAAATGTATCCTTGCGTCAAGTGTTAAGAATCTCCTGGTCAGGGTAGCAAGCCTGTCGATCAGGTCAGGAAACAATAGCGAAGAGGAAGCAAAGAGTATAGCCTGTTTTGCACAAAATTGAATATGAGGAAGAGAAGAAGATAGATAATTTGCGCGATCATTTAACTCCAATTGATCAACAAGGGTTCGTTGGCTTAATGACGGGGCTTCTCATATGAGGCTCTCGCAGGACAATCCTCAATACCCCCATTCAGTGTTACCCTTCACATCAAGTTTCATCTATGTTCCCCTGTCAATAGCACCAATAGCAAGAATTTAATAGTATAAAAACCGAACCAACCGAAGAAGCACAGTGTTCGTTTGGACAGTCCGTGTGCTCCGTTTCCCTCTATGGGTGGTAATTGTAACAAGGTCATCTTGGCCCTAAGTTCAAGGATGTTGAACAATTCAATTATTAAGCAGCGAACATTTTCACCGTGAATACAGCCCACTGGCCCGGGTGTACGCTTTCCATTTTTAAGATGTAAAAAAGGGTGAACTCCATTGGTCATATAGTTCTCTACAGGATAGCACACTATAGGACAAGCTAAGACGTTGACCGGACATTCTATCTGATCTATACTTTGTTCAGATTTATGGCAAGGTAAATCCACCATCAACCACCAGATTCGAACCTGTCATATAACTAGACGCATCCGAAGCGCAGTAAAGGTAGACCTAGAGTGATTCGCATTAGCTCACATTCAACCTGGAAATTTTGTAATTTTGTCGATATGTCCTTACCCCCTTAAGTTCATATGGAGAAGCAAAACGACGAGCGGAAATTTGACTCAGCCACTTGTCAAGCACATCCTTAGACGCATACTCCATGATCTGAGTCTGGATATAGCCTGGCGAGACACAGTTGACTCGGCAGAAGTCCACCCATTCCACCGCGAGAGACTTGGCCAGCTGTATTACTCCGGCTTTTGACGCATTATACTGCAAAAAACATCGATTACTTACGTTAGTCCCAAATATTCCAAACATGGAATCACGATTTTCTTTCTCACATATGCGCAAGAAAGAAAAAAAAAAAAAAAAAAAAGGTACGTACCGCAGCTTGTCGTTGGGGCGTGTTCACGAGTGCCGCGCTGACAGACGCCGTGAATACCACATTGCCGAATCCCTGTCGCTTAAAGACTCTTGCAGCGGCCTGCGCAGTATAAAATGCGCCGTTGACATTGACATCCATAATCTCCTGGAACTGCTCGGGAGTGTATTCCTCGGCCGCATGCTCGGAGCAGATGCCGGCATTGGCCACGACCACGTCCAGCTTTCCAAAGTCCTTCACGATCTGATCAATAGTTGAAGATATTTCCTTCGGAACGGTGACATCGACCTGGTAAGCGCAAGCTTGTGTCTGATATTTAACTTCGAGCACTTCTGCTGTCTTGGAAGCAGTTGTAGTTGTGCGATATAAAATAGCAACCTACACGAGAGATTAATGACTCCCCTTTTTTGCGAGGTAGGTAAGAATCGCGTTGAACATACCTTCGCGCCAGCCTCAGCGTATGCAGTAGCCACGGCTAGGCCAATTCCTCGTCCGCCGCCTAACAACGTGTCAGTTATGAGAATTTCAAACGAGCAATCTCCACCTACCAGTGATGGCGACAACCTTGCCAGTCAGATCAAAGAGCGTTTGCACAGGGGCATCGTCGGGTTTAAAGAGGACCATTCTGAAAAATCGCCAGAAGCTTTAACGACTAGCTTAACAGGCCTCTGGGAAATCCGGGTAGATCTATTTATATTCCATCACCTTCTTGATTTCCCTTTTCCTTATGGTCCGTAGACTCAATGTGTGGTTCCTAGATACAAGGTCGCGCGTCTTCATCCCGCCATGTGAGGGTTGGCCACCGCCGTCTCGTGGCTGGACGCCGTCTCGAGGCTTCCCCACCACAGCGGTCCCCCGTTCTACAGCTGATGAAGAATACCAAACTACCAGGCGAGAGTAAACACATGTAATGAGAAATTTGAATGAGAACTAGACAAATAGAATTGATTTTAAATGCAATAGTGACTCTGCCTGCGTGCTTGACGCAGCTAAAGCCTCCTTATTCTCACCGTTGTTGATTCACATTCTGCTCTTCTGAGTTTCACTGCGTGTCAGGTCCAACCTTAGATTCCTCAAGTTCACCCTGTGCTCAATATGATCAACGACAAGGACGGAAATCATTATATTGGGATTGATGTAGGTACTGGCAGTGCCCGTGCCTTTGTCATTGACCATAAGGGCAACATTGTTGGTCTCGCATCGCAAGACATCAAAACATGGCAACCGCATCCGGAATATTACGAACAATCGACCGTCAACATCTGGGATAGTATATGCGCAGCAGTCAAGCAAGCAGTTCAGCAATGTGGCGTGCCATCATCCAACATCCGAGGTCTCGCATTTGATGCCACTTGCTCCCTGGCTGTTTTCAGCAAGGACACCGACGATCCAGTCTCTGTCAGTGGTTCAGAACTCAGTGATGACCGCAATGTTATTCTATGGTTGGATCATCGCGCGGTGGATGAGACCAAGACAATCAATGCGACCGGTCACCCTGTCCTACAGTACATCGGGGGCGGGATGTCCCCGGAAATGGAGATGCCTAAGATCCTCTGGCTGAAGAAGCATATGAATCCAGGCAAGTTCCATGACTGCAAATTCTATGATCTCGCAGATGCCCTCACCCACCTGGCGACCGGAAAAGAGACTCGCAGTTACTGCAGCGTAGTTTGCAAGCAGGGTTATCTTGCAACTGGCATCGACTGTGGCGAGGAGGGTTGGCAATTGGACTTTTTGATTTCAACCGGCCTCGAAGATCTTGCTACTGATGACTTTGTACGACTTGGCGGTATCAACGGCAAGGTTGGTTGCTCACAGACATCCTTACCTTCTCGATGGACAAGCTAATGTGTTAATTGTCTCAGAAGGGCCAGTATCTCAGTGCCGGCGAGTGCGTGGGACCACTAGGTGAAAAAGCTGCTGCGGATCTAGGGCTCTCGCCCGGTATCGCCGTCGGTAGAGGAGTTATCGACGCATATGCAGGTTGGATTGGCACGGTTGGTGCAAAGGTTGACCTCGGACTCGATAGCTCGGCGGACCAGAAAGAACATCTCTCGCATCGCTTGGCGGTAGTTGCCGGCACATCAACCTGTCATTTGGCAATGTCGAACGATGAGTTGTTCGTCCCTAGGATCTGGGGCCCTTATCGGGATGTTCTCTTTCCTGTTGCGTATCTTGCCGAGGGAGGCCAGTCGGCTACGGGGGAGCTCATTCGACATATTGTTGAGAGCCATCCCGCCTACTCCGAGCAAAGACGGCAGCGGAGACGGCCGGCGTCCATATTTACGACTTCCTTAACGACTACCTTCGCAAAGAAGCCAAGCAAACCCAGGTGGCTCATGTGGCCCAGCTGGCCAAACACTTCTTTTTCTACGGCGACTTATGGGGCAACCGGTCTCCAATTGCAGACCCCCAAATGAGCGGCACAATCATCGGAATAAGAAGCGATCAGTCAATCAAGAACTTAGCTCTGCATTATTACAGGGTTTTAGAGTTTATCGCACTGCAACACGCCAGATTGTTGATACGATGAACGAGCACGGGCATCAAATCTCGACGATATTCATGTCAGGCTCCCAGACGCAAAACGACCTCCTGGTCCATTTAATCGCCTCCGTTTGCAGAGTACCAGTGGTACTCCCCGAATATGTTCATGCTGCTGTCTGCCATGGTGCTGCTATGCTAGCCGCTATGGCAGCCAGTGGAGGCCCCGGGCCAAAGTCGAAAGATTTGTGGGGTATCATGGGCCAAATGAGCAAGCCTGGCCGACGCGTGGACACTACCACCAATACGCACGAGCAAGGGCTTCTCGAGGCCAAGTATGAGGTATTTTTGGACATGTGTTTCAAGCAGCGTGAATACAGGGAACTTGTGGATAAACGACTCAACACAGCGGAATAGGAAATCAAAAATTGGCGCTCCAGTAGGGATTTGCCGCTACTTTCCAGATAATTAAATACATTGTATGGAAAATAGGTAGTCTTAGGTGGGTTGATGCTTATGAATAGCACACGAGTTCGTCCAGAACAAGAGTACCAAGTGCACCTTCCTAGCAAGGTCTCTCTATCACTCGGTGTACGTCTCGGAATGCCGTTGCGTCAATCTTTCCAATGCCCAGACGATCAAAGCTTGCCTTTGGGAGATCCTTCATGGGAAGTTATCCAAATTGCGTGCCCGGCAGTCAGCAGAAACGGCCCCCGTTTCGCGTCCTGCGTCTCCGAGTCGAGCGTACACTAGTCCAGACTCCACATCTGCTCATTGGACCCGCGACAACCTATCCCCGGTTTTGACACCAGGCGACTGGACGAATCCGGGGCGTACATGGTAGGACGTGTCATGGTATAAAGGGCATGTCGGGATCTTGTAGTTACGGGAGACCCACGCGATTCGACGCACCCAAGAGAGCATCAAACACATTGATCCCTTCTTTAATTTTGGTCGACTGCAACACCTAAACCATTTCTTCTCAAGGTGCATGATGTTCGCAATGTTGGGTGACGAGCGAGCGAAGTGGAAGGTTGCCTCCAGGCTAGAAAAGAGGTCGCTGCTGATAGCCGTTAACTCCCTCGCTGGCTTGGCAATTTTATTTTTCGGTGAGTCCCCCTGCAAATGATTACATGCATACTGGAAGGCTTATGCTGATGAACCACCCAGGCTATGACCAGGGTATGATGGGTGGAGTCAATGCCTCACAGGCATACGTGTACCAAATGGGATTGGGATACGAGAAGAATGGGTCAATCACTGTAACCAACACTTTGCTGCAGGGAGGCATTGTCTCGGTTTACTATTTGGGGACTTTGATTGGATGCTTCCTAGGTGGTTATTTTAGTGATCGTTTCGGCCGAATCAAGTCCCTTGGTTTCGGTGCCGTCTGGGGGATAATCGGCGCCGCGCTCCAGTGCACAGCAATGAATCCAACATGGATGATTGTGTCTCGCCTGATTAACGGCATCGGGACCGGAGTGTTGAACGCTACTGTTCCCGTATATGGCTCCGAGCTTGCCGACTACGAGACTCGTGGCATGTTCATCGCCATGGAATTCACATTGAACATCGTCGGCGTGGTGATAGCTTACTGGCTGGGATTCGGGCTCAGCTACATTGACAATGGTACATCCGAGTTCCAATGGCGATTCCCTATTGCGTTCCAAATTCTCATGCTACTTCTTCTCGTGACCACATGCTGGGCTTTCCCCGAATCTCCCCGCTGGCTCTGTATGATGGGCCGTCGGGAAGAAGCCCTTTATGTCCTCAAACGTCTTCGTGGGTCCGCGAACGAACTTGCCGCCATACGAGAGATGAGGGAGATTGAGGCAATCGTCGAGCTTGAGAGAGAATCAGGAGAAAAGACCACTTATTTCCATATGCTGTTTGGCATCGGCAAGGAAGATTTACATATTGCACGGCGTGTGCAGCTGGTGATATGGCTGCAGATTTTGCAATGCTGGTCGGGGATCGCTGGTATTACTATGTACGCACCAAGTAAGTTGGATGTACAATTTTCCCGCCCACCAAGGTGTTAATTTTCTCGCAGTAATCTTTAAAATTGCCGGCTTCGATTCTCAGAAGACGATGTGGATTTCGGGATTGAACAACATTTTCTACGCTTTCGCAACCCTTCTTTGTGTCTTCACGCTCGATCGTATTGGTCGCCGCTGGACCCTCTGGTGGGGAGCAGCAGGACAGGCAATTGCCATGTTCGCCGCAGGAGGTCTCGCTCGTGGTGGAATAGATCATCCCAACAACCAGGGCCCATGGGGCATTGGAGCGACTTCCATGGTTTATCTGTACACGTTTATCTTCGGTGCTACCTGGCTAACTGTTCCGTGGCTATACCCAGCGGAAATTTTCCCGCTCAAGGTGCGAGCCAAGGGAAATGCCTGGGGAGTTGTTGGCTGGAGTTTGGGCAATGGGTATGTTATTCGAGGCTTCATCATCCCCGTCTCACTGGAGGATGCTAACATTCGTTAGATCGCTAACCCTGGCCCTTCCCTACATTTTTGGCTCTATCGGTGAGAATACCCTGCATGTGTTCGGTGCTGTCAATATCATCAGTATCCCAATCGGTGAGTATTCCCCGATAATCCTTATATCGTTTTTGACTCAGCTAACAAAAAGCCAGTATGGGCTTTCTACCCCGAATCTAGCCGACGTACGCTCGAGGAAATGGATTTACTCTTTGCAGCCAAGTCTCCCTGGGTCTGGGCAGCCGAGTCGAACTTCGCGACGCTCATGGCAGAGAACCCAAATCTCGGTGCCGCTCGTCAGCGAGACAGCATCGTCGGCGATGCTGAGAAGGTATTGCATGCCGAGTCCGAGCATGAAGAGACTGTTTCTAGCCATTAGAAGATGAGCTTTCCTAAGATACTTTGTCTATATAACACAACGAGAGCTTTTGCGCAGTCTGCGCTTACAGACGAACCTCTATGAAATATAACAAACTTGGATCGTGAAAAATAGGCGTTAAACTATTCAAAGCCTACTGCAGGCTACTTGCATATTTGAGAGTAAAAACATTTGAGCCTAGCCAGGAATCTCAGGAGGATACCCGCCTCAAGCCTATGTAAGCGCACGCAATGAGAACGAGAAGATTGTCCGAGTCATCTAAGGCTATCTCTAGGCTCCTGCCTAGGGAATTAGTAAGAAATCGCCATTTGTTGTCCTTGGGTATTCTCAATTGAATTTAGGGCAACAAGAGGTGATATCTTAGAAAGTTATGTATGCAAGATCATTCATTTCTCAAACCCAACATTATCAAAATTCTATTCAAGTAAGAAAAAACAATCATATTCACATACACGAATCAAAATCCGTGTCTTTCTTTCTGTCTCCTTCTCTTTTCTGTAATTTTTCCTTTTTCATTTAGCAAACTGCACAAATTAGTATATAGACTTCACTTAGTGTAATGTCCGAAAGCACTTACTGCCAATCACACCGTTCACAGGAATGTCAATGGAGGTAGTGTAGCTGGCGGCGTCGCTTAGAAGGTACACGTAGGCGCCGCCGAGTTCCTGCACCTCGGCCAACCGAGGGAAACCACCATAGTACTTGAGCTGCTGTTCCCAGTCCGGTTGCTGAGGCACCCAGTAGGTCATGGCGGTCTTGACCAGGCCAGGGGATACACTGTTGACACGGATGCCGTACTGTGCCCATTCCATTGCCAAAGTGTGGGTCATATTGCGAACGCCGGCCTTCGAGGCGCCATAGGGAGTGGAGGGGACACGCTGAGATGTAAAAGTCAGTAACGATCTGAAATGAAAAAAAAAAAAAAATCAAAATTCGTAGGACTATACCTTATTGGGGCGGTAAGAGGCCATCGAAGCTGTAAAGACAACGGATCCTTTGATTCCGAGCTTGATAAATGCACGGGCAGCGGCGCGTGCGGAGTAGAAAGCCCCGAAGAGGTTAACATTGAACAGGTTCTCAATTTCCTCTTTGGTGAAGTCGAGGGCAGCCTTATGGTGTGTACGTCCGGCGTTCACTACCATTCCGTGCAGAGCACCGGCCTCCTCGATGATCTTATCGATCGCAGAGGTGACAGTCGATTCGTCGGTCACATTAGCAGTGACAGCGAAGAGCTGGCCGGGGTAGCGCTTGGACATAGCAGCGAAATCATCTCCAGTCTCACCTATGTCAATGGAGTAGACCTTGGCCGCGCCGTTGGAAAGGCAGCACTCGGCGATACCCAGACCGATTCCGCGGTTGGCGCCAGTAACTAAGAGAATGTGACATTAGTTGACACACTTTTAGATGCCGTGTAACATTCCAGTGTACATACTAGCAATTACCTTTCCACCAAGAGTGACTTGGGTCTGAGGGGTGGTGTCTGCCTGAGGCGTAGCCGGTTGCTCGGAGATCATGGAGGGAGCCATTGTGAAAGGAGGCGCGTACAAAGCAGACACGGATGAGTGAGAGGAAGATGGACAATTCGGGAAGACAAAATGGTTTTATAAATCACAGAAAAATGAGAACTCCCCCGCCTGCTACTCCCTCCCCAAAAGACTCATTGGCAAGCAAACAATCCTCGGGGACTCCACACATCTCGAGTCGGGGGGTTACCCGAGACGGGAAAGACGTTGGAGAAGGCGGATCCGAGTCCCCGAGACGGCACCAACTGATCCACTCGCTGCGTCCTCATTGGGCCCGTCAAGACCGGGGGAGATCATTGCAGGACGCGAGGACAAGGGTTGAGAGCCGCTACCCGGCTAATAATGCGGCGAGGCAACTTTTGAGAGAGCTCCAGGCTGTCATCACCTGTCCCACTTCGACACAACAGAATTCTGATTTCTCCAACTTCCCATTTGTTCAGTTCCTTCTTTTTTCTTCCGTCGCTACAGCTTGATTTGCAATGGCTGCGTTGCCCGCATGGAACCTGCTCAAAGGCAAGACCGCGGCCATCACCGGTGGCACCACTGGAATCGGTCGCGCAATTGTTTTGGCATACATCTCGCAAGGGTGCAATGTCGCCGTCAACCACTTGGGTCTTCCCCAGGATGAAGTGCATCGCCATAGTCTTCTCGAGGAGGTCAAGGCAATCAAGAACAAGGGTATCAAGGCGGGCGATATCCTGGAGCTACCCGGCGACGTGACAAACCCTGAGACCGGCGCCAACCTGGTCAAAGAGGCTGTGTCTCAATGGAGCAAACTGGACATTTTTGTCGCCAATGCGGGCGTTTTCAAACAAGCAGAGTTCCTCAAGTCAGTCAAATATAAAATGATGGGATGGAAAGCCTTTCGTTCCTTCCTTCGCCACAAAGAGCCAAACGCGCTAATATACCTAGGATCGAGCCGTCCCTCCTTGATCACAGTGTCGACGTCAACGTCAAGGGCTGCTTCTATTCCTGCCAAGCCGCCGCTCGCCAGATGGTGAAGCAAGGGCACGGCGGTTCGATCATTGGCATTTCCTCCGTCAGCGCCCTGCTCGGTGGCGGCTTCCAGACACATTACACCCCTACGAAGGCCGCTATTCTCTCCATGATGCAGTCTATGGCGATTGCGCTTGGCAAAAATCAGATCCGATGCAATGCACTGATGCCCGGCACCATTGCCACCCAGCTGGCCGACCACGACATGAAGAACCCCACCAAGAAAGCTGCTCTCGAGGCGCGCATCCCCCTCGGTCGTATCGGAAACCCGGAGGATATGGCAGGCCCAGCAGTTTTCTTGGCTTGTGAGGAGATGAGCCGTTATGTGAACGCCACGGGATTGTTGGCTGATGGTGGGATGTTCAGTAACTTGCAGTAATTGTTGGCGTGTCAGTATTTTTCGTCCTGTAATTGATCCTTAATAGGCATAGAGAGTTGAAATTTAGCCAACGACTTTTTCATCTTCTATTAGAGGGTTTCATGAGATAACTTGCTCTATGAGACTTCATCATGTCTTTTGAAATCTCTAGCGGAAAACGACAAGGCCCATTAGATTAAGCCCTATGAGCAGCCACCATGGAATACTCATCAAAATTCACGATTCGTCTCTTGGTTAGAAGAGTTGAAGAGTTCGTATCGCTATGTACAATTTCCACACCTCCTTCATGCTTTGCCCGCCGACCCGCAGATCTCCATCCATCTGATGGTCAGATCCGTCACCTTCTGAATACCCTCCTCGATAAGCTGGGTTTGCGGCATCTTGCCCACGTTTGCTCGAAGGTGGTCGTAGTAATCATCCAACACCAGCCGGTTCACGTTGATTTTGGTTACACCAGCGGCCACGCAGCGCTTCATGAGCTCTGGGGCAAAACCGTTGGTGCCGTGCAGAGCCAAATTAATCCTGCCATTCGCCTGGACGCGAACCTTCTCAAACCTTATCATCTAGCTATTAGTAAAGTGATTTCACAAACATGGCACACGCAAACTCACCTTTCGAAATCTAGTTGTGGTCCGCGTGGACCATATTCACCATGGACATTGCCAAACGCAGGGGCAAGCACATCCACCCCTGTGTCGACGAACTCGTCCACTTCCTCGGCGGTCGTCATGCATGCTTCCAATCCCGCAGTGTCCATGACTCCATCCTCTCCTCCTTCAATACGGCCCGGCTCGGCCTCAGTAGCTTTCTCGCGCTCGTTGCAATATTTTACCAGCTCACGGGTCAACTTCAAGTTAACTTCCTTCTCGTAGTGCGACATATCGACCATAATACTGTCGAAAGGAAGATCTGCTGCTCGCTTGATGATAGCTTCCGACTGAGCATGGTCGAGATGGATACTGATCGGCACGCTCGCCCGTTTGGCGGCGTCGGCAGCGGTACGCACCAACAAGCCATCGGTGGCCTCGATGGCCCAAGGGAAGAATTGAATGATTAGTGGTGAGCGAGCAGTCTCTGCAGCCCGGACTAGGCCCAAAACTTGTTCGATATTGTAGGCGATCGCGGCGATGACGCCGTAGCGGCCGGCTTGGGCCTCGCCGAGAATGCGCTTATGGCAGTTTGAGTCTTTCCAGGACATTTTGGGGATCGGAGGAAAATGTACTAGATGGAATCTGGAATCCAACACGCTGTGGAAAATAAATTTGTCGTGATCATGTCGTTAGAGTGTCTACTCAACCTATTTAAAAAGTGGTGAACTGCGAGGGAGGTTGCCTTGGTGTGGGACGACATGGCCCCGAGACGAGCGTACAACCTGCCCCACCACCGCCTCCTCCCCGAGGCTCCAAAGCTGGTTTCTATTCAAAGTGTCCTTCTCTTAGCTGTTTGAACTGTTGAAGGCTGCATTAGCCTAGCTTCCTTACTTCACTACACCCAAGTTCTTCGTTACGGCTCTCGTGTCTAATAACAGCCTCTAATTTCTCCCCTCGGAGCAGCATCGATCGCAGAGCCCACTATCGACGCGTCAAGACGCAATTCACCATGTCCACAAGCTCTGGCACTTCCTTCCAAATCCATGATCGGCGCTTTTCAGCAATCGTTGGCCCGTCCCCGACAATAGAGCTCCTCGCAGAGCATCACGACTACCCATTTGCGCACGAAGCTGGAGTCTTCTTTCCTGATACCAACAATCTCTACATCACCAGCAACCGATGCATCAGTCCGGACAGACAGCAGAAGGTGCACATTACTCGGGTCGACCTAAATCAAAAGCCAATCACCTACGAGGAGATTCACACCGATATTCCCATGGCCAATGGAGGCATTAACTACGGCCAGGATCACATTCTCTTCTGCGCACAGGGGTCCACGACCGAGCCAAGCGGATTATATCGTATGTCAATAAGTGCACCATATGAGGCTGAACTGTTGAAGGGTGACTTCTTCGGACGACCGTTTAATGCTGTTAATGACGTGGTGGTGCACGCGGATGGCTCGATTTGGTTCACAGATCCCATTTACGGCTTTGAGCAAGGCTATCGGCCATCACCATGCCTGCCTAACCAAGTATACCGATGGTGCCCAGATACTGGGGCTATCCGAGCTATGGCCGATGGATTTGGGAGACCAAATGGCATCTGTTTCTCCCCAGATGAGAAGGTCGTTTACATTACCGATACAGATCGGGTTCACGGCGATGGGACTGTGAATGATCAGCGAGTGTCTTCAATGTAGGTTTCCTCTGGGATCTAATTTTCTGTTGGACCAGGATGGCTGATCTCAATTTTTTTTTTAATTAGCTACGCCTTTGATGTGTCCACGTATCACGGAGAGCCGTTTCTCACAAACCGGCGGCTCTTCGCTATGGCAGACAACGGGATCCCAGACGGAATTAAGTGCGACCGCGAAGGAAATGTGTACAGCGGTTGCGGTGGTGGAATCAATGTATGGTCCCCGGGAGGTGTTCCTTTAGGTCAGATCATAATTGAGGGCGGTGTTGCGAACTTTTGTTTTGGGAGAAACGGAGAGATATTTGCTCTGAATGAGCACCGATTGTGGAGAGTCCAGTTAGGAGCGGGTGTGAAAGGAGCTTTGCTCGGATTATAGACTCTTTTATAACGTAAAATAATACAGTGAGGAAAATGACTGCCAATCCAAAGACTTCAATTCATCATAGCGCTGCAGCTGCGGTTTTTGTGGGCTCTTGGTTTTTCCAAAACTGCTGTAGCTCCTCACCTAAAGGTTTAACTGGCCAGCCAGTCCGTCCACGACAGGACTCCAGCAGCTCCAATATAGCCTCTCGGGCATAGTGTTCTTGAGTAAATATCCCCGCTATGTCTTGGTTAGCCCTGTTCCTAGATAGGTTGCATTAAAATAACGCACCAATAAATAAAGCTTGTGACGACATCAAGCTAGATGGACTATCTTTCAGCGTCATAGCGATGCCACAGATCTCCTCCACGCAGCGCTTTATTACGTTCTGTCGTTCGAGATACTGTTCCAACCCACCCAGGCTTGGCTCATGAGCAAGTAGTAGAATGTGTGACACACTAAAAAATTGGACGGCCACAGCTACATGATCGCGTTAGTTTGTTTATGGTAGGCTAGAGTCGATGTCTCATCCTTACCGAATGCAGGTGGGCGGATCCAGATCGGTCGAAAACACGATGAATGTCCACGTGAGCCGAGCGGCAACGGAGAGAACTCAATGGTCAGATGTCTTTGCCAGTCATCCAGCATCTTCCGAAGGCGTACTGCCCCATCAATCCGACGCAGGATGTTTTCTTCGGTTGCGGTATCAGCGCAGTAGCTAATCACCTTCGCAGTAATGTATATTGAGCGCGTGGCGAGCTCATGCGGTACTAATGTAGAAAGGGGCTTCTGTGGAACCCAGAATGTAAGAGTCTTGCGTTTCTCGCGAAAGGCCGCCCAGATGTCCTGGCAGAGCCAGGCCCACCACACGGCCGAATGCAGTCCACCAGACTCTCCATGGATGGTCTGAGACCTTTGGATTAAGAAGACTCCTTCGAGGTGCCTCTCCCAGTCATTAGTAGAATTATCGAGCATCTCGTAGGCGGAAATGATCAGGGCAGTTGCAAGCAGCTCCAGACTTGTCTTGTAGCCAGAGTATTGCATGGCTCTTTGCACGTAGTGCAGAGTTTGGTAGTAATATTGGAGAGCCCCTTCCTCCTTATTGGGCATGTTTTGATTATCCAGATGGGGATTCAGGGCCATATGTCGAAGTGAAAGAGCCAGTATGGCATTCATCAGCCCAGCATTGTGTATCTGAGGATGCCCGGTCAGTCTTCCAGTGGCAGAACCTTCTCCATTAAACCGAGATCAGCTTACAGCCAAGTGTGCAACGAACGTAGAAAATTGGCTTGTGTGATCAAAAAGATCGATCTGTACAGGGAGGTTATAAGCCAAACATGTCCAGGTCAAAAGGATGGCAGTGATAACTCACCCAAGGGCTCACTTGATGTATGAAATGTTCAAACACTGTCGCCTCGGTCGGCAGAAGCTCTATTGGCTCCCGTGAATGCCAAATCTGCTCCTCTCCTAGCGTACTGCCTCCTAAAGTACCGATATGTGCCGGGGCATGACTCGCGTCACTAGCAGGAGGGCTATCCAAAACCTGGGTCGCGCATTGCAGCGAACTGGGTTGGGCCAGACTATCAGCACCAGAGTGGTCAAGCGAGAGGCTTTGGTTCGCCCAGGAATTAGGGATGGTCGACGGTTGTGAGCTGTCCCTGGCAGCATCACTCGCTAATAGCCCGAACCATTGCACTGCCGCAAAGGATGCATTAGGGGGCGACAGAGAGCTATGCTGCAACGCTACCGGACTCTGGCTTGAAGCTAGGTGATTCCCCGACAGGTGATCAAATTGGGCAGGTGGAAGGGGGTTAGCGTCCGCTTGGGAAATAGTCCAAGCTGATCCAGTAGCTTCATGTGGCTCATAGAGAGCAGGGTTTGGATAAGCATCACTTGATGCATGATCATTATTCTCCCCCGGGGACGTTGTGTGCTGCGTGGGTAGCTCGGGGACAGCCTCAGTAATGGCTCTGACCGAGGCCGGAACGTTGACGCTGCGACGACCCGAGCTGGCGTATTCGCAGGGATTGTCCTTTTTGGCACAAGCGCCGCATATCGGCTTAACCTCGTCACACTTCAAGTGTCGTTTCCGACATGTTATGCTATATTAATCACATTAAGCAAGGCATGACATGCTCGGGAGGCAGGGACTCACCATCCGCTCTTCGTCCGCAGGCCGCGGCCGCGGGACTTCCGTATGCGTGGCTGTTTGTGGGGCGAGCGTGAATGCATCGTTGCGGTGGCATCAGACCATGCGCAGCTGGCATTGTAGTGGTCAAGAGCCGAATCCATTCTTGTTCCAGCAATCTGATCTCGGCCTCGTCTCGGGGGACATGACGAATCTCCCCGCGATCGGTATCACGTAATCTTCCCGTTCGGCAATAGTGAGATCCACTTTCGTAAATTGCGCCAGGTACATGGTCGATCCCCTATATCGTACTACGGGCAAACCCGTCTCGTGGCTCGTGTTCGAGTGATGGTGGCGGGGAAGACCGGGGCCCCAGACTTCATCTCCACAGAAATAACTTGGAGAAATAAATAGCTGTGATGGCGTCCGAAACGCGGGATAAATTAGAGGATATCTGCGTGACTTGTTTTCGCACAAGATGTTCAAATTTGGAAAGCCATATTTCGGCCTTCGAGGCGGATGGCTAACTTTCTGGATCACGCTGGCCTGTGGTGCCGACATGACCCTCTACGGATATGACCAGGTGTGTAACAACGAGCGAACTTAGGAATGTGCAAGACTTATATTCTACTTTAGGGAGTCTTCAGTGGAGTCGTGATCTCGCAAGACTTTCTTCGACTGCACGACCTTGAAGGGCCATCAAGAACGACTTTGCTCGGCACAGTCACCGCCATCTATGATGTCGGCTGCTTTCTCGGATCGCTGTTCGCCTACTGGCTTGGAGAGCGGCTAGGCCGCAGAAACACCGTCTTGCTGGGCACCACCATCATGTCAATTGGCGCTCTTCTGCAGGCCTCCTCCTACAGCCTGGGCCAAATGATGACGGGTCGAATCATAGCCGGAATTGGCAATGGTACGCACAAGCACCTTAAATTCAAGGATACAGGATCTGATCAACCTTTCTTCTCCAGGTCTCAATACATCGACCGCACCCATTTGGCAGGTTGAAACCTCGAAAGTCCGGTTGCGAGGCAAATTGGTTATCTTAGAGAATGTCCTAGTACTCGTCGGCTTTTCTCTTGCCAATTGGCTTAATTACGGTCTCTCCTTCGCCAGTGGTCCTGTTTCATGGCGCTTTCCATTATCGTTCCAATTCATCTTCAACATAATTTTATTCTGCACAGTTCCATGGCTACCCGAATCCCCTAGGTATGGAAAAATATTTGTTGGTATTGAGCGCTTTTGATACTTATTCTGTCACAGATGGCTTATTGCCCATGGCCGTGCAAATGAGGCTGTACAGATTATTGCTGATCTTGAAGATAAGGACATCAGCGACCCTTTTGTTCAGCTCCAAATGAGCGAGATCCAATACAGTGTGGAGTACGAGCAAGCAAATAGTATCAGCTTCAGCGACATTCTGCGTGGACGAGCCCATGAAAAGTCGGGCACAAAGACAGTCCGCCGTCTCATTCTTGGCATGGGTGCTCAGGCAATGCAACAATTCTCCGGAATCAATGTGACTTCCTATTATCTGCCAACGGTACTGACCAAGTCCGTGGGATTAGATCAGTCTTTGGCAAGGCTTCTCACAGCATGCAATAGCGTTCAATACCTACTTTTCTCCCTAATCGGCATTCCGAATGTCGAGCGATGGGGTCGTCGGATGCTTATGATGTTCGGCGCAGCAGGGATGTGCTTCTGCTACATCTTTATCACGGCTCTCATCCGGTACAATGAGATGCCTGACTATGCTCACCGAGAGGAAGTGGCTTCGGCATCTGTGGCCTTTTTCTTCCTGTATTATGTTTTCTTCGGGATTGGAATGCAAGGTGTGCCGTGGTGTATGTTCAATATCCAACCCCCATCCTGCCCATGGGTTTTCATGCTAATTGGCAGTATAGTGTACCCTACTGAAATAAACTCTCTCACAATGCGGACAAAAGGGGCTGCCTTAGGGGCAGCCACAAACTGGATCTTCAATTTCATGGTTGTCGAAATTACTCCCGTCGGCATTCAGAATCTAGGCTGGCGGTTTTATATCGTCTGGATTGCCTTGAACGCTGCTATGGTACCTGTGGTTTACCTCTTTTATCCGGAGACAGCCGGCCGCACTTTGGAGGACATGGATGACTACTATCGCGGCAATCCTCCCCTCTTGGCATGTCTTGACAAGGAAGCTATCTCTAGAAAGCGCCCCAAGAGATACCAAGCTCGAGATGAACACATTATTCGGGTCAAAGAAGGAGGAGAGACGACGCAGCACTTGGAAACTACGGAAGATGTCGAGGCTTGATTTTAGAGAATTTTGATTTCAGATATTTCGTCAATATTTGCCCGATAGCCAGCTACGGAATATTCAGCAGATCAAATTCCATCACCTCTTTGCTATTACTCACATCAAGTTGGGCTTATGTCCTTTCTCGCCAAATAGTTTGATTCTACACAAAATTCGGCATCGTTTTCCCGACAATCTTTGCACAGGAAAGCACCCAAGTAATATTCCTGTGAATCACATCTGTATGATCAATTAAGAGTTGAAGACCCACAAGTAAATCGTCCATGTCCTACTGCAAGCTTGGACAGGCAGTTTTTCGTATGCAAAGACCATCTGCTGAGCGCCACCTACGTGACCAAGCCAGCAAGCTCTGTAGAATCCTTTTCCGGCTGCCCAGAAACTACCCTAATTCAAGACCATCTTTGTCCGCACAGGGCAGGTAAGCCTTGTGTCCAATTTCTGCGGGGAACATGTCGGTACCAATGTTGCGCAATGATCAGTGCCGGTAACACGGGCCCAGTCTCCACAAATCCCCCGTCTCGGGTCCTTGTCCATCATTTCCCAACTGATTCAATTCTGGCTTTCCAGAGCTACCTTTTCTGGGGTTTCGGGAAATGCCTCATACGCGTAAATAGTCCAAGCTTCAAAAGGCAGTTCCTCAATTTTTTTGGAAAAAAAATTGTTCTATCCAAGCGTTTCTCAAATTCGCAGATCACAAATTCGTACAATCTTCTTCGAACCCATCATGGGTAGCACGGGTCCCTGCGATCTTCCTCTTTCGATGCGGGCGCTAGGTTAGTGGCGCTCTCTGCTAGGCTGATATCAGAGTAAATTGGGCTAAAGTTAGGGTATGCGGATATAGAGTACAGCGAGGCTCGAAAGTTCAGCATCGTTGAGAAGGCCCTTCCGAAAATTCGTGAGCACGATGTCTTGGTAGGCCACGAGTAAAATAATCGACAATTTCACATCTAATAATTTGCGCAGATCAAAGTGAAGGCCTCTGGGGTGTGTGGTACAGACCTGCACATCCACGATGGCGAATTTGGAGCTCAGGTAGGTCGGGTCATACCCCTCACTCTTGGAATTACTGACAACGAAGAATAGTTTCCTCTTGTCCCCGGCCATGAGACTGTGGGAGTAGTCGCAGCATTTGGCAGCAGGGTTCAGGGCTTCAAGGTTGGAAATCGTGTGGTGGCAGACAACTCCGAGTTGTGTGGATACTGTTACTACTGCCGTCGGGGCAAGGAGCTCTTCTGCGACAACTTCATTGCCCATGGTGTTATGGTCGATGGAGGTTTTGCGGAGTATGCCACATACCCAGCATACCGCGTGTTCAAGTTCCAGAATCTGTCTGATGTGGATGCGACGCTGTTGGAGCCTGCGGCTTGTGCGGCGCATGGACTGGACAAGATCGCCCCTCAGATGGGATCAAGTGTGCTTTTATTCGGTGCGGGCCCGACAGGACTGATCTTGGCTCAGCTTCTTCGCCAAAATGGCGGCTGTCATACTGTAATTGCTGCACCGGCCGGCTTGAAGATGGAGCTTGCTAAGTCTCTTGACGCGGCTGATGAGTACGTAGAGCTTCCGCGTGAGGCACAAGCTGCCACTGCCAAAATGGAGAAGATTCGAACGGACAATCCATATGGTTTCGATATTGTTGTGGAAGCTACTGGCAGCGCGAAGATTCTGGAGAATGCCATTAACTTTGTGACCAGGGGTGGTAAGTTGGTAGTGTACGGTGTGTACGGCGACGAAGACCGTGTTTCACTGTCACCAAACATGATTTTCAAGGAGGAAATCAATGTAATAGGCTCATTCAGTCAGATTTATAAATTTCCGGCTGCTATCGATTATCTTGGTGAGTGTCCAGCTACCTGTACAATATTGGTTTACTAATGGAGAATACGTCGAGCAGATGGAAAGCGGGTTAAGGTTGATGGTATTGTTAACAAGACATTCAAGCTTGAGGAATGGCAGGCGTGCCTTGATGCAATGAAGAACAAGTCGGTGGTTAAAGCCGCACTTGTATTCGACTAGCGAACTATAGGCAGACTTTCTGGAAGGCTAGGCTCACCGAAAAGATGAATGCCTCAAGGAAGTGGAAGAGCTCTGGCTCGACATTTGAAAAGCTCGATGTAACAATCAGGCGCAATTTAGGCAGACAGCTGGAGAGCCTTTTCTTTGATTTTGTAACATTTTCTAACGAGTGTATACACATTGATCAATACTTGATATGTGACGGGTAAGAAGGATGAGTGTGCAATAGACAGGGTGAGAATCCGAATCACCCCTGAGTCGGTCACTGGAACAAGAAATCAATACTTCTGGATTGTGTCACCGCTTATTATCCCAAACTTTTAAAAGGTTAAGCAATCCATCATCGCCCAAGTCCTTGCGAAATGATTGGATCCTTACCTGCAGACTTGATCTGTAGATCATAAAGGAAAGGGTGGTTATATACGCCAAGTAGAATAGCGGGACAACAGCCATAGATATGCACCTACACGTACAGATGGGGAGGGAGAAAGAGATATGTACAAGTACACAAGACGCGTAATAAAAAATGTTTTTTCCACTTTGGCTCGCTTTTCGCAGAAGGTAAAAGGAAAAGAAAGAAGCTTGGTATTTTCAATAATAGAGACGCCCGAACGATCCGGGGGATGCACAGCGAGAGGTTGTTAGGTTGGGTGAGGTGAGACAAGAAACACGGATGCAGCGGGTAAATGTGAGAATACAGGAAGAAAAAAGATAGAAAAGGTAGAGAGGAGACAAGGGACAAGAAGAATAGAGAAAGACAGGCGTTGAGATTGACATGAAGCTTTGCTTTTACTCCGCTGCGGGAGGAGGACCCCCAGCACCAGCGGAGGAAGGGCCCAGGTTCGCATCGAGGAGCGCATCAGGCAGCTTCAGCGGAGCCTTGGCGTTTGATTTGAGTTTCTCGATTTTCTCACCTTTCAGGACTTTCTCCATCTCCTCCTTCGTAAGGGTCTCGTACTCGATCAGCGCCCTGGTGAGGAGCTCAAGTTCGTTGCGCTTCTCGGTCAGGATCTTTTGGGCACGCGCGCGGGCTTCCTCGACGAGGCGGCGCACTTCGCTTTCAATCTCCTGCTTGGTCTCAGAGGAGAGGCGTTCGTAGTTGCTTGAGAGGTCAACGTTGCCCAGTTTCTTGGAGTAGCCGAAGCGGGTGATCAGTGTGAATGCCGTTTCGGTTGCTTGTTGGATATCCTAGAACAAACAGTTAGTTAATGAATATGCCAGATGAGAGAGAAAAATGGCATACCGCTGAAATGCCACTGGTGACGTTGTCGGGTCCGAAGATCAGTTCCTCGGCCGCCTTGCCGCCCATCGAAACATCAATGTCCGACAGGTACTCCGTGTAGTTCCTCGAGACCATGTCCATCTCCGGAAGGAAGTGGGTCACACCAAGGGCCATACCGCGAGGCACGATGGTGATCTTGTACAGCGGCGTCGCAGAAGGCGAGAAGTAAGCAACCAGCGCGTGTCCAGCCTCGTGGTACGCAGTCAAGAGCTTGTCCTTGTCCTGAATGATGCGGCTGCGAGCCTCGGCACCCATCATGATCTTGTCCTTGGCCCAGTCGAAGTCCAGGGGGCCGACCTTGAGCTTGCGGTCACGGCTGGCGTGGACTGCAGCTTGATTGACTAGGTTCTCCAAATCAGCACCGGAGAAGCCAGGCGTGCCGCGTGCAATAACGGCGACGTCGACATCAGTGCTGATCTGTACCTCCTTCATGTGGTGTCGCAAGATGTCCATGCGGCCCCGGACATCCGGTAGGCCCACAACTACCCTGCGGTCGAATCGACCAGGTCGAGTCAGGGCCTTGTCCAGCAACTGGGGATAGTTGGTGGCACCGATGATGATGACTCCGTTGGTTTGAGAGAATCCATCCAGTTCGGTCAGCAGCTGGTTGAGAGTTTGCTTCACGTATGCAGCATCGCGCTCGTTTCGCTTAGCACCAATCGCGTCCAGCTCGTCGATGAAGATGATCGCTGGAGCCTTGCCACGGGCTTGGTTGAAAAGTTCACGCACCCGCTTAGCACCAACACCCACATAAACCTCGTCAAACTCGGATCCGGACATGTAGAAAAATGGAACGCCAGCTTCTCCAGCCACGGCACGAGCGAGCAGGGTCTTACCCGTACCGGGAGGACCGACCAGGAGAACGCCCTTGGGCAATTTGCCACCGAGAGACGAGAAGCGTTCGGGGTTGAGAAGGAACTCGACCAGCTCCTGAAGTTCATCCTTGGCCTCATCGCAACCGTGCACATCGGAGAACCGGACCGTTTGCTGCTGGGGCTGGGCCTCGTTGTTCTGCGTACCTCGGATGTTCTTCATCACACCGGTGGTTTCGACCAGAATGGTGACCATGACGAGAGACATGTAGGTAAAGAAGCCAAAGTAGAGCAAAAACTTGACCCATCGGAACACCGTGCTACCCAGAGACTCCTCCACCACAACGTAGAGGGGCGCCTCCTTGGCACCAGTGCCATTTTGCTTAGTGGCCATCCCAATCTGACCACCATAGTTCCGTGCTGCAACTGCCTGTCCAACGGCCTGGAGCTGGTCAGGGCCGAGATTTTGGTTCTGTCCTGCCACGGCCGCCGTGTCTGCGCCACCAACACGCTGCAGAGCCTTGAGGTAGGTTGCTTCGGACGACGGGTTGCTGGCAAACTGGCCGCTTCGGTATCTCTCGACCACGATCGCGGGCATGTTGGCGCGAAGCAGCGCTTGGTAGAATGCATTCTGGGCGGTTGCGCTGTTCGGGTTGTTGTTCGCGGTCTTCTCCTTCTGGGCTAGAATGTTCTGCGACACTCCTCCAAACAGGAACCGTTGTTGCTGGATCTTCGAGAGTCCCGTGAGCTTCGGTGCCGGTCGTAGAGAGTGGAGACGGAAGGGCGAGAGAGTTGAAAAGGAACGAGCATTCGGAAGGGAAGGCCCACGGGCTTGTGCGAACATCCGGGAAGTCCAAAGCGTGTTGCCTATCACAAGCATCCTGTTAGACCTCATAGATTAAATGGACTTTGTTGCAGTACACTTACCTCCTCTTGACGATGACCATCCGTATTGCGCGGGCCGCTCGAGAGCCTTTGCTTTCAAAGCCTCAAGGGAGACGGTGTCGAGGCAGTCGGGCAACGACGAGCGGGAAGATACCTATAATCGTCAGGACAGATGAAATATTGATGGTTGTTGGTTATCACGTACCGTAGCAGTCTCTTTCTGACGGGGTTCCCGATGGGCAGTCTCGCTCGCGTTGGCCGCGGATGTTCGACCGGCCTGCTTCCAGGGCGCGGCCAAGAAGCTCGACATCGTAGGCCAGAGATCGGACGTCACGGCAGCGACATTCTGTTGGCGCGGTATGAAAGTCAGCAATGGAATGTGGTTCGAAAGTCGACGACGGGTTATCCTCACCGGCCGAGGGATCGGGACTTGAAAGGCCATGGTTGTCCGTTATCCGGCGGCACTTGGCCGCGTTGGAGTGGTGGAAATCGGCGCCTTTGAGATGGAGGGAATGTACCGGCAAAGGAAAGTAAAAATGGTTCAGTTCTGAATCAAAAGGGTTGCCATCGCCAACAGGGGAAGATGTGAAGAAGAGGCAAGGATGGAGGATGACTCTCGCTCCGCTTTGATGCGGCGAAAGTCAGTTGCCACTTGGGCCTGCCCACCAGGCCGTACTCAGGTAGTCACGTGATCATTATACCCTAGGGCATCCATTTCTTGTTGCTGCCTACGGATTAACTATGTGCAGATCATAGCGACATCTCTCTCTCTCTCTCTCTCTCTCTCTCTCTCTCTCTCTCTCTCTCTCTCTCTCTCTCTCTCTCACTTTCTTGGTCAAACAACAAGAGCAACAACTTGTTTTGTCATTCTGCGCAGTTCCAAACGACAATGTATAGATTGACCTAACGCGGCGTCCCATGGTTCAAGCCCAACAAACAACCACGTTTTGCGCACCATCCAGACCACCGTGATAATATGTCACCAAATACGGTGGCACCCAACTTGCTGTTTCATCCTCAACGTGATTCTGTGTGAAGCCATTGTGAAGCCACTGCTCCAAAAGAATGAGATTAAGGCCTCGAGGTGAAGCAGCTTTCAATAGGCTCGAATTTGACAAGGCTTGCACCTAAAGTACAATATGCCTCGCAAGTCCATCTTTCTTATGGGAGCACCCTTGTCCAACCATCTGGACTGGGCCGAGGATGGGCTTCTGAATACTCCCATGCCTCCATTTCAAGACTCGCATGCACAGGACAACCAACCAAACTCCTTGGACCATCCCCCTGTCAAATGGAGAGTTCTACAACCATTGTTGGCCTACGGGGGGAGAAGAGTCCAGAGGTCCCGCTGTTCCTGAACACAGATCATCTAGATGCCCATAACAATGCATCCAGAGCGGACCAGGAAGACTCTGTGCTGTCCGACTTTTACGAGCATTCCGTTGCTGTACACGAGACCTCTGAAATATCCATCTCCGGGATGCGCACCGAGGACTCCCTGCAGGACAGTGAGTTATGCGCTATCAGCCTGGAGACTTCGGGCAGCATTTCATCCGGTGGCGAGGCAGAGGCGCTCGATCCTCCCCGCCTGCCCAGGATTCTGGGCCCGCTTACAGATCTGCAGGATCTCCCCTCTGCAAGATATCTCGATTCGATCGCCCCACAGACCATGACAGTCAATCTCATCGTCGGGGTGCTAGCCGTGCACCCGCGGCGGCGCGTGGTGACGCGGCAGTGGAAACGCGAAATGGACATTGTCGAGCTGGTCGTGGGGGACGAAACACGGGCTGGGTTTACGGTCAGTTTCTGGCTGTCACCGAAAGAACCGGTGAACGAGAAGGAGGATCGGCTGAGCCGGTCATTGGCCACTCTCCGCCCTGGGGACATTGTCCTCCTGCGCACCGTAGGGCTGAGTTCATTCCGGGATCGCGTTTACGGGCAGAGCCTGCGTCGGGGCATGACGGCGCTCGATCTGTTGCACCGCAAATTGGTGGATGTGACGGATGCAGGCGGGTTTTACAATGCGCCCACGGACCCTCGTGACAGCACTGCTGCGGTTGACCTGTCACTGCAGAAAGTAGGCCGAGTCCGCGAATGGGTGTTGCGCTTTGTGAGTGCGACGGATGGAGCAGGCGGTGATGGGCTAGGAATGCCGGGTGTGCAACAACGTGGGCGGCTGCCCCCGGACACGCAGTAAGGGGGAAGCGATGTGCCGCAGACGGGGATTGGGGATGGATGTGCCCCTTTTGTGGCAGCCACCCATAGTCGGCTTTTTTGATTCCGGGGGAGCTAGATGCACGCCCCGTCCAGTCAGAGTGGACCACTGAGACATTTACAGAAGTAGAATTAAGTCTGGCCCACCGCACCCCTTTATTTATCTGCAAACGTGCCCCTCCGCCCATCACGTGCTGACCGGATAAAAATAAAATACATCGGGGCCAGCTGTTCCCTTCTTTCTCTGGTATATTGTTGCTTGCCGTGCCAGTACTACTCCTTCTCACCCTTTCTCCACGTCGTTCTCTACCACTTTACTAATTCACCATGAAGGGTATGTATGGTGCTCGAATAGATCCTACTCCAGTACTAACAGCCTCCAGCTCTCATTCTTGTCGGAGGGTTTGGGACCCGTCTGCGTCCTCTGGTGAGTGACTGGCTGCAGATCGCAACTCGGAGAATTGACTGACCATATTCCTCCTGTCTAGACTCTCACTCTCCCCAAGCCACTCGTTGAGTTCGGCAACCGGCCCATGATCCTGCACCAGGTCGAGAGCCTGGCCGCCGCGGGGGTCACCGATATTGTGCTGGCGGTCAACTATCGCCCCGACGTTATGGTCGCGGCCCTCAAGAAGTACGAGGAGCAGTACAATGTGCGCATTGAATTCTCAGTCGAGTCGGAACCGCTGGGCACGGCTGGCCCGCTCAAGCTGGCGGAGAAGATCCTCGGCAAGGACGACTCACCCTTCTTCGTGCTGAACTCCGACATCATCTGCAACTATCCGTTCCAAGAACTCGCAGAATTTCACCGCAGCCACGGGGAAGAGGGCACCATCGTCGTCACCAAGGTGGACGAGCCCTCCAAGTACGGTGTCGTCGTGCACAAGCCCAACCACGCCTCGCGCATCGACCGCTTCGTCGAGAAACCCGTCGAGTTCGTCGGCAACCGCATCAACGCCGGTATCTACATCCTGAACCCCAGCGTCCTCAAGCGCATTGAGCTGCGCCCTACCTCCATCGAGCAGGAGACCTTCCCCTCCATCTGCAAGGACGGCCAGCTGCACTCCTTTGACCTGGACGGCTTCTGGATGGATGTCGGTCAACCCAAAGATTTCCTGACGGGCACCTGCCTGTACCTTACCTCGCTGGCTAAGCGCAACCCCAAGAAGCTGGCGCCTACGTCCGAACCGTATGTGCACGGCGGGAACGTCATGGTCGACCCCTCGGCCAAGATTGGCAAGAACTGCCGCATTGGTCCCAACGTCGTCATCGGGCCCAACGTGGTGATTGGCGATGGCGTTCGTCTGCAGCGCTGCGTCGTCATGGAGAACAGCAAGGTCAAGGATCATGCCTGGATCAAGTCCACTATCGTCGGGTGGAACAGCTCAGTCGGCCGCTGGGCGCGACTGGAAAATGTCACCGTCCTCGGTGACGACGTGACCATCGCCGACGAGGTGTACGTCAATGGCGGCTCGATTCTGCCTCATAAGAGCATCAAGCAAAACATTGATGGTAGGCTCAACTCCCTTCCTGCACGTTTTCTTGTGTACTAACATTCCATGTCCAGTTCCGGCGATTATCATGTAATCGTCGCTATCTGTTTTCTCTTCTCCCCTCACGTCGATACGCCCCTTGAAATATTTCCCCCTAGTTACTATTCTATCGTCCGATACCTTCCTTCCTGCCCTCTTTCCCACCTTGATATCAGCATTACAACCGGAGTCGTTATCTGCGTGATCTTCTTCTTCTGCCGTCGAGTTCGAATCGCTTCGGTCCTGTTTCCGTTCATCGCTCACCACACGCCGTATCCTCAGTACTCATTTAATTCCGTGTTTTTCAGTGGATTCGATGCCTTGCTCGCAAAGAAAAGCCTAGATGGTATGGAAGCGTGCGTTCGCAAGAATTAAAACAATTAGTCTCTTTTCCTTTATCGTTTTTATTCCGTGACCTTGCCATTATTGTTATTTGGTTTTTGATCTGGGCACGAGCGCGCAAGAGGTAATCATTCTGTACCTGTCTCTTAATGATATGGTGGGCGTGTTCGGTGTAAATAATAGGAGACAGAATTTCAGCCAAGATTCAAATTCAGTTTACAAACTACACATGATCACAAGGGAACACATCGGAGTTTTATATTAAGGAGAAGTTATCTCGCAGTACTCGTACTAATCCAGCCCAAGCTCTAGGAGCTTAAAGATGTCCACATATGCATATATCCTGCAGGACGCTTTCAGCCTTGGGGGCAAAAGATCTTCACCTACAACCTCAATGGCATCATAATGGGGCCAATGATCGACCACACACATGGCGCTACACGATCGATGATCAGCTTGAATCACGATGGCCCATGTAGCTTCCCGGCTATGTATCTGGGGCGATGAGGTACGAACTTGCAACCAGAGCTCACTGGCGTCACTTTCTGAAGTGCTAGACGATCATTCAATGTCGTAGTTGTTTAAAAGCTTGATACGAAAGAAAGAAAGCTCAGAAATGATGCATCCTTCTTGATTGAGTTCTTCATAAATACATTGTTGTGGGGTAGTACAGGCGTAACGAATGCAGTTACTCTGATGGGACAGGGGTGTTACCTGGGCTATACTGCGGAGCACCCCAATCGGTAGGCCCCGACTTTTTTGCGTAGGGGAAGTTCTTTCCGTTAACTGTTTGCTTAAAGCAGGCCCCATTGATGATACCTCGGAGATATGCCTAGAGACCCGATCAGTACACTCAAGAGAGGCGGGAAAGCAGGGAAATTAACTCACAGAATCATCCCAATCCAGACCGTCCATACCTGCATCGCTCTGATCGGGCCAGGAACTATGCATAAAGTCCAAAGAACAAACGGGTAGGTTAATCATGAGAGCCTTAGGAGGCTTACTGCCGTGTGAACCTCTGAGGAAAGGAAGGGTCTCAGGAACAGTCCAGTTCTTCAAGTAGCCGCCTGCATTCTGCGACGTCTCTGCAGCCATGGCCACATCAAGGGGCTGTAGACCCCATTTCTGAAGACTGTCAAAACCAGGAACCGGATCAAAGACATCCTCTGCAGGATCGGAAATACCCGTGTTCTTGATGAACCAGTAACAGGTGCCGTTATTGCTGCAGGTTCGGTTTGAAACGTCGGAATCGAGATCAAGGTCCGCGGGCGATTTGCCGTTGATGGAATAGGAGTCCTTGACAATATACACCTGTTCCTTTTCCCATATCCATGAAAGTGGACCGCTGACCAAAGTTCCTTTCACGTTGTTCGCGAAATTTGTATGATTGTCCGCCGAATACTGGTTAGCAAAAGCGCCGCCCTTAAGAGCCGCGGGCCCACTGTTTGCGTGGTCGCTGTAGGAATATCCGACTTGACTCTCGTCCACTGGCTTATCCAGGATGGTATTCCCATAGTTCTTAATCTGAACAATGAGCGCGTCCCTTGCGCTGTTGATTCGATGGTTGAGGATTGCTTCCCGGCTGTCTTGCATCTCAGCAATACTAGAATACGAGTCAGCTTGCTTTCAGAACATCAAACCAGGGGGGCCCTAACTAACTTCGGAGAAGATTTGGCCATTTGTGAGACAACACCATTGGCGACAGATACAGAGGCACCAGCCACACCAATGACAGCCCCTACACCTGCCTCACCCACACCTCCTAGGACGGCTGCAAACCCTCCAAAGATAGCGGACATGATAATCAACGCTTCACTTGTCGGATTCTGGGAAGTGCCTAATTAGCATTGCAAAACGGGAGATTACGGTCATCACGACTCACCGAAGTACTTCCTGTATCTGAGTGACTGAAATCTTCAACCAAGAGCTGGGTGTCGCCGGTTGTAATGGTTTCAACCGTTGCCTGAAGACTTCCCTGGAGGCTCTTTACCCATTGCTGGAAGTTCGAAATTGCCCACAGGACGAATAAGTAGAAGGCGTTAAAATCGGCGTTGGACGGACCGTCGCTGTCGGTGCACATGCTGCCGTCAGGATAGTTCAGGACGCAGTTATCACTTTGGTTCCGGAGCTAATCAGCACCCATCGCTATGTCACAGTAACATAAGCCAGACAACGTACTAGTCGCAGTGTTTTGTTCCATAATTAGGTATCTTGTTCATGATCCCCTGTGGGAAGGTCAAGTCTTTGGGAGAATTGGCGCCCGGTGTAGAAGTTCCCCCCCAAATTTCATCGGACCTATTTGTCGATGGTATTAGCAAGCCAACGGGGATTTTTGTACTGATCAAGTACTCTTACATTGAATGTAGCCACAAATCCATATGTAGCTCCTTCCAGACTTGCTGGGTTTTCGGTCCCTTGCAGGTTTTGCGCCAGTCTGGGAGTTTTGTGCCGTTTCTCTTGTGGATAAACGGGACAAACGAGGAACCTTCCTTCTCCCTGCCGGCTGCAAATGGAGCAGCGTTTACGCAAGGAAGGGCTAGGGTGGCCTGGGTTAGACAAGAGTATTGACTTTAGAGGAAAGAAAACTTACCCAAAAGGGCCCCCGTCAGAATGGTAAGGAATCGCATCGCGGAAACGCACAGGAACGACCAATTCTAAAGTACTAAAGCACGGTTCTTTAATCACCGGAAAAGAAAGGCAAAAGGACAACAGGTAAACTGACTCCCACAGCTAGCCAGAGCTTGGAAGACACGAAGTAAATGGAGTATGTGTTGAGTATATACGGGCTGCATCAAGAGAGACTTCTAGCCATATTTATACGATGGTCTTTCAAATTACTTCATGGCATTGCATCAGCAAACAATGAGTCTTTTCCCACAGGCACGATAGGAATATGCCTTGTTCTTGTCTTGTTTTGGTTCAGTTCGCCAATTTCGGGGCCGAGTGATTGTGATCATCGCAATCTGTGACCAGTGTAGCCACCTAAGCTTGCGCTATCATACGAGCCTTATTTCATTATGGGTCGACTGGATATATAGGGATGCAACCGCCCAAAATAATACTTCGCGAGTCATTCATTCTTCAAACCCCATGAATGCTTGTCTAGGGTATTATCTCATGATCGTCGGCCGATGCATTAATTGGCAAGGCTCCGACAAGGTATGGAGACTAGTGCAATCCTTCAGACCCAAAAAAGGAAATCTTCCACAAGACAGAGCACGTTTCCATGCAGGTTTGGTAGGTCATTGCTTATCTCTACATATGTTAGAGCTCGGCCTGGAGGTGCCAAACCCGCCGCGTGCGTGTGTCAGATTGGCCCCCGATCATCGTCACCAGTTCGAAACCAACTACTCTCCGTAGTGTATAGACAGTATGTAGTATTGGGGGCGGGGCTTTACGCGTACTCCATATATTGGATCGAAGGACAGACGATCAGGAGAAACACATGGACTTCTCGTGGGGGCTTGACTCGCTTAACTCGCTTGTCTCGACGGCGCATAGTATGCTTTGTATTAGGTATTACAATCCAAATGCTGGTCTGGACTGCGTTTTATATGAGGCACGAAATTCAATTACCTTCTAAAATCCTCATGGAAGGACCCGCCTCAACTGTAGATATCAAAAAAACCGACAAGCAATTGACAAGACCATCAAGCACAGCGCCGAGACTAATTAGGCGACAACTGGCAATCATCATTATTACCGTCTTTTGCATGAAGAGAAATCCCTAAATTTGCCGTCCAGGAGGCGCGCTGATCAGGGGCTGGGGATTGTATAGGAGTTGCATCGGGTTAGAGTTCCAAAGCACTAAAGGTCAAAAGTTGGGATGGGGCATCATGTCAGGCATATAGCGACTGAAGGTCTGAGCATATTGAATCATACGCGAGTCAGATACAGGGAGAAAGCCCCATCTGGGGTCTATTGATCAACCCATCACCGCACAGTTGACGTACCGGTCTCCACGCAAGGTCCATCACGAGTAGATAAATCTTTCCGAAATGTCTGTGCAGGTTTGCGAGCCTTGTTCGACTATCTCTCCCAACCACCATGGGGCCTATACCGATGGCCTTCGACCGGTGTGGCGCAGTCTATGTACGCCTTTTACAAAATAATCGGGGAAATAATCTTATACACAGACCGCGATTAGCGGCGACAAAGTGATCAAAAGACGCTTAATGAGATCGGTATTATTTTGAAGGAATGCCTTAAGCTTGCTAGCCCCGCCCCCTAACCATGGGGGCATTTTCTCCACATGTTACTCGGTATAGGGGATGGATATATTAGTAGATAACCCTGAGGGCTGCTTCCTATCAATCGGACGCTTCATGAGATGGAGAGGATAATTCAGAAGTTATAAAAATCCGTTTGTACATTGAAATCTATCCGTGATGTCGTGATATCTATACAAGCTCAAGAGATATATGACCAAGCACCATGCCACCAACGCCAAACAGCTCATGAATGTCTAAAGATCGTTCAAAATATCTTGCACCGAGTCACCTCCATCGAAGACATGGGTACCATGGCCTTGGCAACTGACGTCCGAAGAGCTAGGGCCACCGGCAGACTCAATGGCACGCTCAACACACCCTGCCGCGATCAATGTGGGGAGATTAAACTTGGCAGCAACGCCATAAGTAGTCGAGTCGCTGAAGTCCCAAGCAGTTATGTCACCACAACCTCCCTCTTGCTTTTTGAGACTGCTTTCAATGTCGGCGAAATTGACATTCCAATTCTGGATGTCGTAAACGACAAACATGAACGCCGCAATCTCACTCCACATGGCGCAGCTCGCTTGTGGTGAGGGTGCTGAGCTAGGTGTGCTAGAACTAGGACGTGGAGTATAGGTGATACTCGGAGGACCCACTGGTGGAACGGAACGGGTGCGAGTAGGTCTGCGCGAGGATGTAGGCGGGTGAACGGAGTGAGGAGGTAAACGAGGAGGCCTGTGAGAAGATGTATTCCCACTACCAGGTTTCGAGGCGGAGGGTTGAGGAGCAGTCGACTGTTTAGGCTTGGTAGTCCATGACTTGGAACCACCACCCGAAGCTCCCGGTCCTGTCGCGGACGAAGGACCTGGTCGATTCGACGATGGGGGAGCTGTCCGAGAGGAAGGATCTGCTGGTCCCGTCGACTGAGGCTTGGAGCTTGGCGAGTTGGGTGGAATTATCGAGGACGGAGGTGCTGGCCGAGATGAAGGAGTTGACGGTCCCGGTGGCTGAGACTTGGAACTTGGTGAGTTGGGTGGAAGTGTCGAGGATGGGCCTGAACCACTCTTTGAAGTAGTTGAAGTGTGAGAGTGAGTGCTCAGTGGCACACTGCTCTTGGACGAAATCCCTGAAGAAGAGATGGTGCTGGCCATAGATGCTAGTGCCACCAGCAGCGATTGCTGTTCCTGAAGCCAGTTGCTATTACCATCCCAATTCCACCTGTCATAAATTGGAGTCTCCACCGCAACGGATGCAGAGCTACTAGAACTGCCCGAAGCAGACACAGTGGACGTGGAATCAGTAACAGAACACCCAGTGGTTGTGGAGCAAGTTCCCTGTTCCAGGATGTCAGTTCCTTTTCTTGATTATGAAGGCTGAAGGACATACCGTGATCGTAGTAGTGGTGATAGTGCTCGCCCTATACGGCGTATAGCTGCTGATAGTCACATCGCAGGTGCTTGCAACAGTCGCCGAACATGAGCTGCTACTGCCACTTGTACTGCTGCTATCTGTGGAGGTAGACGAGTCGGAATTGGAAGAGTCCGATGAGTGATTGTTGTCATCTCCCTCCGGTGGGCCTGGTTCAGGGCCCCCTGCCGGCGGGCCACCACCTCCAAGAGAGGGTATGTGTGGTTGCCAGCTGCAACAAAGCCCCCAGGATGTTCCGCTCCCGGGTTGATCAGCACAGAAGATTGGGATAATACATTTACTGCCGAGATCACAGAGGGGCCCAGTGCATTTCCACACTCCAGTGGGCTGCCCACCCTCAGAGCTGGTGCGTGTCGAGACGTAGGTGACCTGTGTAGTAGAGTCCCCATTGGTGACGGGGATAACCTGAAATATAAACAATCAGAATAGTCCTTGATAAAAGTACATAGCGAATAAACTCACGGTTGAGGGAATTGCAGCACCGGACGAGGAAGGCGTTGGGGGCGCGGACGTAATGCTCGGAGTGGACGAGGGTCCAGTTGAGGAGGGTCCAGTTGGGCCCCCAACACCTGAAGATCCTTGTCCAGTATGGTGCCCGCTGGTTGGATTCGCTGAGGGTCCTGAATGAACCGATCCGGAGGGAAATACGGAAGATGGTTTATGACTGCTGCTCACAGTGCCACTGTGATGCGGCTTGTTGCTCGAAGAAGCACCGGCAGGAAGTATGTTGCGTTCATAGCGAGCCTTGAGGCTATTTCCCTGGTTTCGTTGCGTTTGCTCTGAAGTGAGTTTGATAACTTCTCCCTTCGTGGTCGCGGTAACACCACCCTCGCCACTCGGAGGGTTGATCAACCTTGCAACTAGCCCTAGCGTTAGCGGGAGATAAACACAAAGACATAGGGAGACAACTTACCAAGCCCAAAGTAGGCAAAGCTTTCTGCATTCTTGTATGCATTTGGATTGGATGATTTGCCAAGCTTCACACAGTTGCTCCAACCTAAGGCGGATCAGACTGCGTGCTTTGTATTGACCAAGGGGAGAATTTAGCCCTACCGTAACTGCCAAAATCTCCTCCACTATCATCTGTCTGGGTATCATGATCTCCGGGGAACCTTTTTACTGCATGAGTCATTTCATGTAGCATCGTGTGGTCGAACAGGGCGATAAAATCGATCTGAGTCCGGAGAGTAATTTTGTTGAATAGGTCCTGGAAGGGCTTTACGACCTTCCCCCATCCGTGAATCGAGTTCTTTGACGACATTAGCAACTTTCCGTATTCATTAATAGTAAGGATTAGATCGTCCATACCGAGAACTGTTCTTTGGATTCAGTGAAGAAATCCAGGTACCAACTACATATATCAATTTGAGCGGCAAAGAAATTGTTCAAATCCGTCATAGCCTTTTAGTAGTCAGCTACCATTTGATTTAACAGGAATAAAACCACATACCATGACTGGGAATGGTTTGACGGACTTGCAGCCCTTCCAAGCCATGTCCATTTTTACCTCCTTTTTCGATGCGGTATCGCAGGCATATCCGGGTTTTTTGTTCTGCTTGCAGTCTTCATTCTCAATGTAGCGAGAATAGTCGCAGTAGACAATCAGATCTGTGGCTCTGGGCGGACTCTTTGAAGGAGCTTTGAAGTCTAGGACTCCTTGGAATATATCCTGAATGTAAGTCCACTGTGCATGGCCGGTGTTCACACTTTTTTGACCATTGTCGTTGGTGACAGCCCATGCGAACATGTTTTCCAGAAGGTCAATTTCAGCCTGGTTATAGGTCCCCCCGTTGAGGGCATTCCACGCATCCAATCCGGACTGTGCAAGCTCGAAGGCATCATCCATGGCCTTCGTGACCAGTTTGTTATGCCCTAAACTTTTATCAGTCGCTGATATTTCACAAAAAGGCCATAGTTGAGCTGGGAATATGCGTACCAAGATCAGTACAACGTTGGTCAAGGGCCCAAGCATTGGCATAGGATGCCAATGCTAGTGTTGGCACTAGCAGATTTTTGAAACCCTTCATCTTTAGTAGATATCAGGTTGTTATGGAAGAGAAATAAAGCATGAAGTTTCCGAAACTTATTCCTCTTGGGAACAGAAGGGTCTTATATACTCACCTCAGGGGGCTTGGAGAATAGACGCAGCAAATTGTACTATTTTAACTACGGTGGGGGCCACAATCTAGGCGTCACTCAACTAAAAAAAGAGCCTAATGTACTAGAGATCCTCTCATTATAAAGCATCAAGAATGCAAATTACGAGAGTCACCTTATTATTTCAGGTCGTCGCTTTCAGCAACCAAGATTCTGGTCTAGTCTTACTTGAGTTTGTTGACGATTAGATACATGTGCGCCAGAATTTTGAGTCTACTGTGAATAAGAAATATCAAAATATCATCTTTACAACTGAAACAGGATACTTTGCGCTGGTTAGCGCAAAAAAACCATTTCGGATCAACAAGGCATATTGAAGACCTCGGAAGCCCTGACGATCTCAAACTCTAATTGCCGCTAACAACACAGCCAGCCGGAGAAAACATCCCCATCTATTTACCCCTTATTTGAGTAGTAACCCTTTCTATTATCAACCCGTCTAGTGCTCACTATTATCCGGGCCTTGGGGATCTTTCAGTAAATCCTGGGCTTGTGAGAGAGTATATAAAGGCTTTTGGCCGCTTGGCCTCGGGTCATTAACCTCATTCACTATGTGGTATCTTTTAGGGTGGGGGCCACTAGCGCCTTTTTGATCCTGACACAGCCCTTGTGAAGAAATTTGGGTCTCCGCCTCAGCCTCGTTTTAAATTAGGCGTGCTGCCGAACCCAAGATGTAAGACAAACTGGAGGCGAAGCACGAGCGCTGCATATTAATATACAAAAAGGTTACATCGGTCTCTTTTTTCGCGCGCGCATCCGCTTCTACGATTGAGCGACGATATTATTGAGATATGCTGACAGTCTGTTAGATAATTTTTCTGCACAAATCCTCGAAGGATCAGGAATATCTATTGCGTCTCAGTCCGAAGACTTCGGTTGAACCAGGGACTTGTAGAGTACTAAAATCTATGTCTCTTTGCTGCTTTTATCTGTGTTCGAAGTTAGAAGACTCATAAACAACGTAATGCGGTGCCGAGGTCGAGTCATAATCATTCCAACGAACCTATCTGTTCCGGCGCCTTTCGTCTATACTCGATAATGTGGAGCCCTTGTGTGAGCGTCGGGCGTGCTATGATATGGACTCAACAAAGGCGCGCGCTTCTATCTTGCATATCTAGAAATATCTACCAGTAAGTTTCTTGGTTCCATGCTGACAGGGGTTGAAGTTTCACCAAATTGTCTGAAACAAAAGGTATGGCTTTATTTTAGTTCGCTATATTTTTAGATGATCCTGTGATTTTAACGTTGTTTATTTGTGAATTATATCTTTCATTTTACTCACTACCAGCCAATTATTCAAGTCTTCATGGTCAGGATCGCTAATGTACCACGTGATTTGGTGCGCAATGTGGTAACCGGTATCATAAAACCAACAGAAAGCCCCAGTGATTAGAAATTGCCTTCATCTGCTGCAATGCCGCTGCAGCCTTTATGACACGACCAGCATGTCTAAACGTAGAAATTTAGTTCTTTTCAGTATTGACTGCGCCTGTCATAACCCTTCCAGCCACAGATCTCTGGGTCGTACTTAGTGATATCTATAGAACGTAGAATTAGGGCATGTAGATTTTCAAAACTTAGTGATATGCTTGGTTGATATGTAGGCTAGTGAGTATCGTTACTTACTAGAACATTCATCACCGTCAGAGGTAGCGAAAGCTTCAGAAGTGCCTGTGCAGCTAGCCACACTATCACAGAGCTATCTGCCGTATTATCTCCCCTCCTTTCCAAAAAAGCTCCGCCCTCGACTCTTTCAACACAGAAAATAGCACAACAATCAAAGGAATGACAAGAGAATTGACAAAGGAAATAAAGAGAATGCAATCAGTTGGAGTCAGTGAGTAATGAGAGTACTAACCAAGGGACTGATTATATGCCGTGCATACATTCTACTAATTGATTTGATCATATTGACGGACTCCAATCAACAGTGCCGTCTTCATGAAGTGCCACCTGTGTAGTCCAGTCCTTGCGCTCTTGGATAAAGAGTTTCCATGCCAGTTCCGCAATCTTAGTCGGGTTTAAAGCCAAGGCATCCGGCGCGACTTGTCCCCCAATCACTACAAGGCCGACATGCACACCCTGTGGGGTGAATGTTTTGACTAGCGACTTGACCAGGTTTGCCTGTGCAGCTTTGACCATGGACAGAGCAAAGAGCTCGGGGATCGGATCATTAGGGAGAAAACTGCTGGTCACCAACAGTGATGGTTTCCAGTCTGCCTCAGAATGGGATTGCGTCTTCTGAAGCAGAAGCGGTACCGCCCAACGCGACGTCACGTAGAGAGCTGAAGCCGAGACCTATACTTTCTCTTTAGTATATACTGGAGTAACTCGTTAAGTGGAGAAGGTATAGAATACCCGAAAATCTTCCTCGATGCTCTCTAGAGGGAACTGGAAGAGCAGGCTGCTGTCCACCCGCGCAGCGTTGAAATAAACACATTCCAGCGTACCAAACTGTTCCACTTCGGCCAATGCTTGCTGCAGCCGACTCGGATCACTGATGTCCACCTGCCATGTCCGGACGACGACCACCCTGTTGACGCTCGCTGCCGCTGCGAGCACTGCCTCTCGGTCCCTCTGCAGCTGCTGGGCGTTCCGCGCGAATAAAGCAACCCGGTCGAAACGCTGCTGAGCGAAATGCGACGCAACGGCCACACCAATCCCTGGGCCGGAGCCAATCAGCAGCAGCATGCGGGCAGATGCAGGTTCCATGGGATCTTATTTGGAAAAAAAGAAGTTGCGTGAATGTAAGCGTATTTTGCCGAACGTGATACAGAAAGAACCTTCTGCTAATGATATAAAAAAGCACTTAGAAGAAAGCAACGGTATGTTCATGCTTTATAAATGATTATGAGATGCCATCGAAGGTTGACCATCCTCGACATGTACGCTAGCGGCCGATGGTGGATGGGCCAGTGTAAGCTAAAATATGTCGCGCGCTCCGATACGCCAACATTATTGGTCAATGGATTTGAAGCTCTGTTCTTCCGCGGATATCGAACAGTGTGGAATACAACGTACACGCGTCAGTAGTATGTTTTTTCAAAATCCACTGGAAGAAATATACCTTGGGGTTTATCATTGAGCGCCGAGACAAAAACTAGCGGCCGCCGCCTGTCCATAATGCGGCTGGAGAACCACCAGTGTCAGCACTAGTGGCCGCTGTCAGTAAGACGGCTGGAGAACCCCGCCGATATACGATGTGATAAATGGTATATGGGACAAAATTTTGTCCCATTTGCAACCAAAGCAATTCACATACACGAAATCTGTATCTGCCTGTACAACATGGTTGATTTCACCCTTTCTGAATCTGAGCAGCAAATAAGGGCAGCAGCGCGCACTTTCGCCTCCGCCCATCTTGCTAGTGCTAAAGCCATCTACTCCAAGTTGTCAACGCCCGAAGAGCGATTCCAGGCTCTCCAACCCATCTACGAGGCTGCAGTCAAGGCCGGTCTCATCAAAGGCCAAGTACCAGCCGCAGTCGGGGGTAACAGTACCAGCTTAGTGGAAGCGGCCATTCTGGTAGAGGAGTTTTATGCGGTTGAAGCGTCCGCCTCCTTGACAATCTTCGGCACAGGACTGGGCCTCACCCCTCTGGCGCTGGCGTATCGGCCCTCCGTCCACAAATTCTTGGACCCTTTCCTCTCGGGTGAAGGTTCACCGCTTGCATCATTGGTCTTCTCGGAGCCTGCTGGAGTGGTAGGTATCCTATGTTCTTTTCTTTTTAGTTCTAACAATTTGTTTGCAGGCAAATTGGCTAGAGCCTGGAGCGACCGGCCTACAGACGACTGCTCGCCGCGAGGGAGATGAGTGGATTCTGAATGGAGAGAAGGTGTGTATCCAAAACTGAGGATTCTACCTGAGTGTGCCGTGCTAGGTTGAGGCTAAACTTACTTGACTCAGATGTGGGCAACAAATTCTGCAGGTTGGGACTTCAAAGGCGCCGATCTGAGTTGCGTGGTGTGCCGGTGCGTCAACGAAGAGGTGGTTGCGCAGGCGACCCATCCGCGCGATCTCATCATGATCGTACTGGTCACGCGGCAGGATATTGAGCGCAATGAACGAGAATGCTTTCAGATCTTAAAACATCTCGAGACCGCGGGACACGCTGCTGTATCTGGGCCTCATCTCAAGGTAAGTTCCCCGCATACGCAGAGAGGACAGGAGCTCAAATAGACATAAGTATACGAATCTACGAGTTCCAGCCGAGAATATCCTATGTGCTCCCGGAACGGGCGCCCCTATTGTGACGCACTCCTTCGACATCTCTGGTAGGTGCACATGCTATGCAAAAGAGATGAAGAATTAAGAGGTTGACCGGAATGCAGCAATGCTCGTGGGTGCAATGGGTGTAGGCATTCAACGAGCAGTCTTTGACGCAGCACTGGCATTCTCACGCGACCCTCGCGGAGGCACCGTGCCCATCGGTCAGCGTCAATCGGTGGCCGATCTCCTGATAAATATCAAAATGCGCACTGAAACGTCACGATATCTGACATGGAAAGCGGCGCATTGCTTAGCGTCGGATCAGGGCGAGTATGCTCAGCGGCGGGAGCCGGCGCTGCTAGCAAAGATATACTGCTCAGATGCGTCAGTGCAGTCATGTACAGATGCTATCAATGCAGTGGGCATGTAAGTTTCATCTGCAAGTGCTATGTATAGGTAAATCTGATTCGGGATTGATAGATCCGCATATAACCTCGAGATGCCCTTCGCGGAGTTGCTCTCCACAGCCATTGTTCTGCCCATCTTCGATGGGGGAAATATCGGCATCCGTAGAAGGGCGTTGCAGGAGCTGTTCATGGCGGAAGGGTATCAGCGATGGGAAACAAGCTTCGGAATTCATGAGAATCAATGAAAGAATCGTCTTTGCATAGCATAACCCACTAGGACCTCTTTTTCATGTTCTATCGAACAACGGAGTACCGAGCCGTAGCTGGGTAGTGTAAGCCTTAAATATCCAACTAGCGGCCGCATATGTTAAGTTACGCCGTGGTCAGTCTTGTAATAAACGAGCCATGCAACCTACTTGGTGGATGGTATCCCGGGCACTAGTTCGTTTTCAGTCTGTCATCTGATCTGAGACATAAATACCGGCAACTCGCACTATCCGGCTCTTGTAGAATGAAACTACAAAAAAGCACTAGACGTTGCATCTTCCACCATGAGCCGCGAACCAACTGTGGTAGACCCAGCCCCTACCATCTGCTTGCAACCGGTTGGCCTACATCTTGGACCCTTGCTGAGAGGTTGTAATCTTGGTAACTATACATGGCTCATTACTCAACAATTACAAGCACTCTCCCCATATATCGAACTCATGATAAGCCGACAGAGTCAATGCGACTTCCAGCAGGGTGACGCATGCACTTCATTACAGGCACTTATTCTTTTGGTTCCTTAGATATGCTTTACTGATGTACAGACTCGTCATTATATAGATATGCCTGTAGTAGGCATAACATCAATCTACAGTCGACAAAGGCTCTGTCGAAGGCCGTCAAGTGATCGCCTCTCAATAGGAACCAACCAACACCTTCGGTCCCTTCCTCGCTCCTTCGTTCCCCTCGTTCCAAGGACCGAGTCCTCATTCAGTTCGAGAGATACGCAACCTCATAACAGTACAATGGAATGCAAAAAAGAAAAAGAAAAACCAGGCACGTCTTTCCGCTTTTTTCGTCTTCGTTTGAGATGTGCAATAGGAAGAGATTCTTCACTAAGAGAGCTACTGCATCGAGATATTAGTGGAAGGTACCTCAGCAACCAGGTCAGTGAATGTATATTCATGATCTGGTCTTTAGATGAAGTCGTACACAAAGAGTGCGCGGTTGAACTATGTTGGATAGGAAAACTTCACCCAATTCGTTCGAGATATTTCTCTGGAAATATAGTCAGCATTAGCGACTGTTCCATCTCAACCACCCAGGCGAGGTTGCATATATATCATACCTGCAAGATCCCAGGTTCTTGTGGCATACGAAAGTGTTTGTCGGAGAGGTTCATAATCCACGCTGGGTCGTCCCGTCTCAAGCCGATTCAACCAAACCGCTGTGAGAGCAGTTTCTCCTGCACATATGACTGCCGGCAACGGCACCCAGCTGATTTTATCACCCAGTGGGATCGCATTGAATTTTGAACAGATATCCCATACCATGTTGATGATAGAGGATAGCGCGAGAATAGACAATGTTTGCGTGTGGAACGCTTCTGAACGATATGACATGACCTCCTGGTCACTATTTCCAAACCCCATTCGACTCCGATGAAGGCTGAGAGCAGACCTACTTAAGTAAGTGTCAGGTCCCTGGAATGGAAGGAGGTTACTCACATCAAGGCAATTGCGTTGGCGCCGCACAGGGTCTCCCAACGACCGGGTGTTTGCTCAAATAGCTTTTCCATGAATCTAATCAAAGTACTATCGAGAACCCCAAACTTACGTATGAAGCAGTCGGAGTCTTCTAAGTTCTGCAGTGCCTGCACCTGGCCGAGAAGGTGGACGCCTTGAATCTCGCGGGCAAAGTAGGAGACTGAGATGTCCAGCGGTGTGGAAAAAGACGGCTGAAAGAACCTCTGAAAAGGCCCTTTTGGGACGCGTTCCCATTCCCGATCATCTACCGGGAGTCGGAAGTGGCTAGCGGGCTTATCCACCACATGTGGCGCTTGGAAATCCGTCGCAACCTGGTGAATAAGTCTACATGTGATGAGGGTTCACTTCCTTAGCCCTGAAAGTTCAAGTTGGCGGGCCTTCAAGCTTACCTGTCCAGCATATATGTTCCCAACCAGACCCGCCTCCGCTCTTCACCCTCAGCCCATGATGGGTAGTCCTGGCTTTCTTGCAGATCAATGTTTAACTTCAGGACGTACCCTAGCCTTGCACAAGTTCCAATATTCAGAGATGCTGCTTGAAAACGGGCAGATCCTAGTTCATACAACACGAGCACGAGCCCGACCTGCACCAATTCCAAAGACGGTGGGAGAACAGACTGGAGAAAAGAGAATAGGTATCGACAGAGATAGTAGAGCTGGCTCTGGCAATCGTCGCTACTTCCCATTCCTCCTGTCATTGTGAGGGACACTGTCAGGAAGAGAAGTGCAGTTTCTGCCCGAGGAGCATGTTGCAGCTGTGAAAGTCGCCTTCGAAACACCTGCTCCTGGATGACCGGTAACCACGAATGAATGCTTGCAAAGTAAGCCTCCAGAGTGGCGTCTGTAGATGAAGTTTCCTTAGCCAGTGTGGTTGTGCACATTTTCACAAAGAATCGATGGATATCCGGGCCCCACGCCTGCATTTCCTGCCGGGAAGGTTGCAGGGACTGGAGGGTGTCCGGAAGCCATTTGTGATCTTGAATCACTGGTACATGAAATAGAATGGAATCTGGCAGAGAGTGATGTGTGTTCAAGTGCTGTTCCGTCTTATACCAATTATAGTTGCAATCCAGTTTCATCCTTTTGCTCCGTTAACCAAGATCGAATCGAGGGTAGGGAATGACAATAAGGGGGAAACAAGGAAAGGACGCAGATACTTTACACATCGACTACATTGTGGCATCTGCTTATCACATTTTCGCTTTTGACTTCGACAAAAGGCACAGGCATTAGGCGCACGGGAGTGGGTGGAGCTGGACATTTCAGAGAGCTGACAACCTACGCCACAGAAAATGACTCGAGTATTGCAGGTCAAGATTGACGGGGTGAAAAATCGGACCAAGAAAGTGACCAAATTGATGCTGCTTCTTATATTTGAGGTGTGTTCAGCATTTGGTTGGAGCAGATAGTGAGGCTCGATAGGGGTAAATCAGTAGGGACTAGAACGCGGGTTTGGCGGGGTCTCAGCTGTCAAGGATCCGCCCACACGTAAGCCGCCTATAGGTTCTTGGCAGGGTGAACGAGTAAGGGAGAAATATCGGCCATTAGGTCTGGAGAAATGTGGGAGGAATCATCATTGACTGGAAGTTTATGAGGGATACTATTTTTAAACACTGTCGGGGCCAACAAACATGCGCCCCTCAAGTTTGGTCAAGTTCTGGATCAACTGCAATTTTTTCGAATCTGACATATGAGCCCTTTTTTGAAAGGCGAAACCCGGCAGCCTTTTCCATAACCATAGGAGCCATGCTCGCTGGCTTAGTGAGTGTTTACTTGGCGGGTGTGAAATAGTACCGTGTAGTGCTCACGTGCTGACGATAGTAGTGAAAATAGGGGACGGCAATACTGATGAATGTATTCAAGAATCAAATCCTTGATTAATCACAATAGCAACGGGGACTCCGCGGATACTCATGTTCATCGTCATGAACCAACCGTACTAAACAAGAATCAGATCCCCAGCACCGAAGGCTGGGCTGGACCCGGTTCAGCCGCGCCGATCCTCCCTTTCTTTTCTCCCCGCCGTCCGATCTCCAAGTGTCTTTTTTTATCGACTCCGATCCAACAACTCACCCATAATGCCCGCCCGTCCTTGATTTTCTCCAAGGTCATTATGAATATCAACAGCCTTCGATCCAGCAAGTCCTCCTACGGGGACCCGCGTTATCTCTCGACCGTAACCGCCTCCGACGGCCAGCCACCACCGCTCGCCAAAGCCTTGGTCGACGGCTATCGCGATGCCCTCAACCCGCAAAATGGAGACCGCTCGCGGTACAACCCGGTATGTTCATCTGGAAGACAAATCCTTGATCTGACTGACAAGTTATTCTCTGTTTTGCAGCTGAATTCGGTCCATCCGCGCAGCTCCGCCCTCTTGAACGCCAACGACCCGATCACCATGTATTTACTGACCGAGACGGCCATGGGTGACAGCATGAGCTACGAGGTTCTGTCCTATGAGGAGGTGGAAGACCTCAAAAAGGAAAACAAGCTACTGTCCAATCGCATCGAAGGCACGAAGCGAAAGTTAGCCCTAGAAATCAAGCTTCGCGATGCAGCCCAATCTCTTGGCCGACTCTACAACCCTGAAAGCCCGCGGAGCAGCGGGGAATATGGAGCCAACGGCCACCGAAGAAGCCGAAGTTTTTTTGGGCGCAATGGGGCCACCGATGCGTCGAGCAAAAGCGGCTCGGAGCTGGCGATCGCCCAACGCAAGTGTGAAGAACTGGCGCAGGAGCTGTGGAGATTGGAACGGAGGGCTCAGCAGATTCATCAGCGGCTGTTGGAGCATACAGCGGGTGTCTTGCAGATGACCCACAAGGGGTTGAAGAAGCCTCCAAAGGACCGAAACTCGGAGAGCGTTTACGATGGCCATGAATTCGACGACCGCAGTCTGTACCGAACACCGGAGCACCTGGATGGTATGGGCTGGTATGGGAAAGATACCAACGGCTCGGCGCCAATGAGCATGGGTGCCGTGCAGAGCACGGAGAGGAGGCTAGAGGAGCTCAGTGAGCGTCTACGCAATATGGTTTTACGATCAAACCCCGATGGAGACTTTGATTCGCCACCGCAGCTGTCGGGTGATGGTGGTCCTGTGAATCCGATGGCAACGGTCGAGGCGCACTTGATGTACATCGAAAATGGTCTTGACGCCCTCAGCTCAGGGGCCGGCGTGGCTGCTCCAGCTCCAGAGACCGAGGATTCGTGGAGACACCAACTTGCCGATGTCAACAAACAGTTACAGGTCATTGTTGACCGGTTTGGTTTGACGCGCTCTCCGACACTGCCTCCGCCTCCGGATGCATCCCAGGGGGATGGGCTACAGGAGCTGCTTTCGTACCTACAGGCTGGCGTGGATGGCCTGGAGAGCCGCGTGAATGGGCTTCTCGAGCAAAAGGGCATTCTGACCACCCAGATTCAGCAACAGCGCGAGCTCAACTCCAAGTCGGATGCGGAACGAGATGCCCATATCAACGACCTCAACGAGCAGCTCACGCAGTTACAGAGGGACCTGGAGTCCTCCCGAGCTGAGATGGAACTGATACGCGCAGACGGAGCACCTGAAGACAAAGCTGCGGCAGCCGAAGAACTCCGAGAAGCTCGTGAACGCGCCGAGCAAGAGGTCGGAGAGCTGGAGGCTGCCATGCAGCAGCTCCGCGCCGAATCCGATGAGCGCGTCAAGGAGGCGCTAGACCAGCGTGCACAAGTCGAAGAAGAACTTCAGCAAGCCAACGAGGCTCGCGCTCATGCCGAGGAAGAGGCCAATCGCTTACAGAGCGAGATGACTGATCTCGAAAGCGAGCTCGCGCGGGTGACCACCGAACTGACGATGGTCAAGGCCGAGCTGGATGGTGCCTATGGTTCGCGTGCGGAACGGGCCACCGAGGCCGCCGTCGACCCCGAAATCCAAAACCAGATCGATGCTTTGAGCACCCGGAATATTGAGCTCACCGAGGAGCTTGCAACACTCAAGGGCCAGCAAGGCGGCGGCGATCTCCAGCAGCGGGCGAATACCCTGGAGAAGGAGCTGCGGGAGACCTTGGACGACTACGAGGCGATGACCAAAGCCAGCATCGAGTTCGAGAAGGAGCGCGAACGATTTGAGGGCGTTATCGACAATCTGCGCGAGCGGACCGAGCAACTGGAGATGCAGCTCAATGAAGAACGCATCAACCATATGAACCTGAACAGCCCCGGGTCCATGGGCCGCGAGGGTACCTCGGAGACAACTTCGACCATGGTGCTGAAGAACGAGTTCAAGAAGATGATGCGTGACACCCGCAACGAGAATATGAAGATCCTAAAGGTGAGATATCTTTCCGGTCCACTTCTGTTATACCTCTCACTGACCCTCAATATAGGCGGAGCAAGAAGAGCGCCGGAGAATTGAAGGACTGCTGCGGTCGTTGCGCAAAGAACATGCTCAAGCGACGGGCAAGCCGCTACCCAGCCCAGGCGCTCCCTTATGATTATGAGATATTCCCCCATTTGATGCGCAAGAATGTACATATAGACTTGACTTGACCGTTGTATAATATCGGTTTCTCTCACGGCAAGAGCGATCAACTTGCCGGACACCCCTTGACTTCCCTCTGTTCGTTCCTTGTATTTCTTTCTTTCTCCTTCGGGCTCAACTATATTCTTCTCTCGGTATGGATCGCCTACGCCGGGCGAGCACGCCCCGGCGACCGGAGTCCTTCATGGACGCATCCAGCACTCGCCGCGAGAGCAACGTCGCCGGCGCGGCGTTCCCAGCACCACGCTATCCTATCCCCGAGTCCTCCGAATCCAATCCCAGCGACGAACGGTACATATTTAACGCCATCCGAGCCAGCACGTCGATTGACGAAGCCCGCTCTCGCGAAGCTATTCCTAGAATTTCCGCCTTCGAGCAGAGACTGGCAGCCAACCTAGCCATGTTCGTCCCGACAGATTACTCGCAGGGTCCCTCGTCGACGGATTCTCCCTATGAAGGTATCCAAACACACAGACCGATGATCTACTGGCGGTCCCAGATGCTGTCTGATCCGTACCCACATCACGCGGTGCAATCTGTTTCAAACGAGATTCGCCAGTTGGATCCTCTGGCGCATCGCAAAGCTGTCTCCGATGGAAGTCGTCCTGCTGCCAGAAAGCCTGGCAACAATTTGGGTCCGGCTGTGGCGCCGGCCCAGCCTCGATATCCGCCGCCTGCGAGGGCGCCCACGCCTCCAGGGCTCCCTTCATTTGGTTCTCCAGAAGCGGTTCGTACCTCTGCGCAGTTTCTGACTCGACGGCGTGGTGTAGATGGTCAGCGAACCCACTCATATGGCGATACCTTGAGACAGTTCTTCGGCTTGTCGCCGTCGTCTCCTGCATCACCACAGCACCCACGTCCCAGCAACGTGCATTCTGTGGTAGGTATCGGACGAGCCGAAGATGGGACGGTCGTGCAGGGCCGGTTTCCCTACCGGCAGAGCGGACATGGAATGAACCTGGCCGGAGAGCTACACGATCACCCATTCCATCAGCGAAACCTTCCCGCTGCGAACGGCGGCACTGAGGGTGTCCCCGAAGATAGAGATGCAAAAGATATCCAAACCCCAACTCCAGCTCCATCTCCTGCTTGGGGACGCAGGGACGAGCGCACTGCGAGACACCATTTCCTCGCCGCTAGTGCTGTCTCGCCTGCTATCCCCGAACCGGCTACCATCGCCAACCGCTGCAAATCAGGCTTTGCATCGCCATTCAGACTTCCCCGGAGACTATCCCGCCTGAATGAAGTGAGAAGCGCAGCACCAACTGCCAATCCAGTGGTATCCCTTACCCAAGGCGTCGAAGTCTCCAGCAACCAACCCACCGGCCCTTCTTCTTCAAATGCACAACCGCATTCAATCCCAACAACCATCACCACCATTGCAATACCTGAAAGCATCGACTCCGAAACACCTGCACCGTTGAACGTTGGGGCTTCGATAGCAGCACAGTTCTATCTCTGCTGCTGCATGGCCATCTGCCCTGGGCATGATACCCACGATGAACATGAACACGAACTCGAACTCGAGCATCAATCGCTTGAGCAGATCAGTTCGAGGGATACATATGCTACAGCGCGGAGCCATCTCTCTCGCGGTTCCAGAAATGGTCCGGAACAGCATTCCGGAAGGCAGGGATTGCAAGTGCCGCCTTGGATCTTGGGTGCGTATCAGCGGGTGTTTCCTGCTTGGCTGGGTCGTGGATTGTGAAGATTCCTTTTTTGGGTTGGTTGGTTGGCATGTCTATACACACAGCACAATCCCTGTTATACATTCTTAGGGATGGGATGAGTATCTTTGCAAGAAGGCTTTTTGTATATGTGTGACGGAAATGGGAAGGGAGGTTATTATTAGCTTGTGTCTTCGATGTTGAGCTGGATGCTCTTTGTGGGTAACTAGATGTCTCTATGATTCTGCATGGGCAGTTTATGGTTAAAGGTATATATTTACTTTTGCATGAGTATTGTCTGTATATCGCGTGTCTCTCAATATCCTCTTAGCACGTATCTGGTGAGCAAGAGTAGTAACTCTATCAAGAGCTATACCAACTTATACTCTCCTATCAATACATGGAATAATAGATAGTATGCGCAGATATATCATCCCTTGGCCATTATGTTATCATACAAGATATAAAAAAAATCAGGCTGATAAAGAACATTAGCATGGATAGGTAGAATGTTGTCCTGTCCAGAACACCCAGCGCCATTATTCTCCTTTCTGCGCCATGTGAACAAAAGAACCCCTGGAAATGAGAAATGAGAAATGAGAATGGGAAACGGGGAATAGGAATAAGACAAAACTCCGTCATGAGGGGGGTAAACCGTGAAAGTCATCATGGATTAGTAGACAAAAAAATTAATCACAGGCTGTCGAAGAATGGACACGCTTCAATGATCTCTGGATCATCGCATGCAAAGTCCCAGCCCACAATGCGGGGATCGTGGCTAGCACACACGATCTTGCGCGAGTCGAATTGGACTTTGAATACCCGGGAAGTTGGGGGAGAGCCTCGACGGCCGTGGGCGTGGGCGTGAGCGTGGTGGTGATGATGATGGTTCGCCAGGACGGGGTTGATCATGGCACCGCCGGTGGCGAGAAGGGCTTGGGGAAGAGGGTGGGCGATGTGATGGGTGCCATGTCCCGCGGCTGCGTGGTTCTGAGCAGCGCCTTGCTGCTGGGGGTTGGGGGCATTGTTATTGTTGGTATTTTGTGGAGCGACAGGAATCGCGGCGGCTGCATTTGGAACTGTCATCAACATTTGGAGTGGCTGTGCAGAAGCAGCCGCTGGATTGGCCTCGAGGTGGGCTTGAGTGGCATTGGATAAGGCCTCTGCCTGGCACAGCCTGTGGGCAATTGACCATGAACCTTCACGGTCCTTGTGCCAGATCAGAATCGACTCATCGTACGACCCCGAAACAATACGAGCCCACTCGCTGCCACCTCCACCGGGGGGAATCTTTGCCCCGAGTGCTGGAATATCATGAGGATCGCGAGAGCCAGCCGTGTTGGTGATGCGACCAGCTCGGCGTTGAGCTCGAGGGCCAAGGTCAACAGGCAGGCCAGCCCGTCGGGCACTCCAAAATTCGTTCTCGACTGCCAGCGCTTCAAGGCGCAGAGCCTCATCGGCTCCTGGGGGGTCACCGAATCCAGCTTGAACGGTGCGCACGAGGTTGCTGTGGCCACGCAAACAGGCAACTTCAGCTCCAGAGATGTGGTCATAGATACGGATGGTGTTGTCGTTGCTACCGCTGATAATGCGGCGGCCATCAAACTGAACGCATGCAATACCCTTCTCATGGCCCATCAGGGTCTTTACACAGGCGCCAGTGCGGATATTCCAGACCTTGATCATGCGATCACCAGATGCGGTGACAATCTCGTCACCGTGGAGCTGCATGGCGTTGACAGCGGCACCGTGGCCTTCCATGCTCATGAGGCGGGAGTAAGCTGGCACGGGCTTAATCTGTCCGCTGGCCATACGGGCCTCGAGCATATTGGGTGGAATATCGGAAAGATCCACGATGTACGACGGATAGTTCGCTCCTGCCCCGTGACAAATGCGAGGGTAGTCCTCATCGGTCGCCAACAGATCTCGTCGATTCCACACCTTGAGTGTTCGGTCCTTGGAACAAGTGACCAGGTACCGATGGTCGAATTTCAGGTTCAGCACCGAATCCGCGTGCGCGTTTTTGATCTGACGGATTATCTGCCCAGTGGAAAATCTCCAAATAATGACAGATTGGTCGCTGCTACCAGAGATGATGATATCCTCTTCGGGACTGGCATCGAACTGAAGACACAGCACCGATTTCACGTGTCCGATCAGCGGAGCGTGATGCAAGCGCTTGGTCTCCAGATCCCAGACGCGTACAGTCCGATCGCGGCTTCCACTGACGAGCCATTTGCCGGAAAACTGGATGGCATACACGTATTCGCGATGAGCTTCTTCGGGACGTGATGGGTCGGGAAGTTGAAAGTTGGTGTATCGGCCATGCTGCCAATTGGCTTCGAGACGCCGGCGCTGCTTGTAGAGATGCGCCCAATTGAGCTTGGCGGTTCCGTTCGCGGAGCGCGTGAAAAGAGACGAGTTCAAAGGGGGATCGAGGGGCGAACGAAGTGGAGACACGAAGTTTTCGGCAAGTCCCGGACGGTCTCTCGACGACGGTGAGCCTCGATCAGTGGCATCAGTCATGTCGTGATCGCCCTCCACGTCAGAATTATCATCGACCTCGATTGGGGCATCGCCGTCCGGCAACTGATGGAGCTCAGTGCTTCGTGAATCCAGCCAACTCGGTGGCACGCGCTTCTTTTGCTTGGGCTCCTCGAGGTCCATCTCCAAGTACCGCGGGCGGGACTTGCGCGCCTGGGGAGAGAGCGGTTCCGAGAAGGCATGCTCACACTTGCGGATCGCGCCCAGGTCCACGCGCCAACCCTCGTTGATGTACAACAATCTCCAGAGACCAGAATCAAGAATCCGACTGCGCCACGAACGCGATGACAAACACGCTTTCAAGAGGACACGAGGTTCAAGATATGAGAAAACCTCCAGGGTGAGTTCGGGGGGCAGCTTTATGACCGGGTCCATATGGAGAAGGGGGTTAAAACGTTCGACCACACTAGCAATGGTGGATATACGGAGCGATCGCAGGACACTGTAGGCAAATTCTAGAACGATGGCAGTCAGCACTATAGTCTGCAGGTAGCCGGAGGGCGAAGGTAGACCGAGCACGGTGGGGGCCTGGTGTCGGTGTTGGGTAATGGGGGGGTTCAAGCGTGCGAGACTCACCTGCTCTCTCAGCTTCGGTCTGGGCAAGAAGCCAGTCGGGCAGCACCATAACTTGGTCTGATGCTGATTCTTTGTCTGCCTGGCTGCGAGTTTCCTCGGAGTAGCCTTCGTCCAGCTTGAAGGAGGAGGATAGCGACACGGGATAAGGGAAAGTGGTCTGCAGCCGTAAGGCCGGGGAGACGCGATCTGCCTCGTCCTCCATGACCAATGCAAAGGTGTAATGCAGCTCAGCAAGTGAACGCCGAAGAGGGACTAGGAATCGAGGACATGCCCTCCGTGGGTGGAAAAGGGAAGGTAAGAGAGAGAGAGAGAGAGAGATAGAGAGAGGGAGGATAACAAAGCACATCACGCTACGATGGCTCCACCGAGATGCTCAACTTTGCTTATTCAGGATTCTAGGTTCGGCTGCCTACAGTATGGAGCTATGCCTTCATGTACACCGATTCTAGCGATAACCAGGATATCCAGAGTAGCCTCAGCATCATCACCATCAGAGTCTAACCGTATTATCATCTCATCATACCGAGATCGCCTGATCATGGTATTATTATCTATAGACCAGTCTCAACAAGCATGAAACGTGCCCCTCTCCACAACTATCCCCACCGCCCGGCACTAACCCGCCTGGGCAACGCTGCTCCTGTTCTCTTCTTCTCTCTCATCTGGATGCTGCTCGCTTGCTCCATTCGGTTCTTCAGCCCTATCCCCCTATCCTTCCCCTAAAGTCAGCAAGGTTCAACTCGAGCCAAGTTGCTCGTCTCGATCCCCAGATCGCCATTCACAACTGGCGCCTCCCGCCTCCCGGTCAACACCCGATCGCATCCCACTCACTCGCCCACCCCCTGCGACGACCGGACCCCTTCCCTTTGCCCTGCTCATCCCTTCTTGGGCTTCGAGTAGTGACTTAGTCGCCTCCTTCGATCTGCTTCCATCGGTCTCTCCTTTGGTCACTCGGCACGCCTGCCCGGCTGCAGCGGTAACCCCGACACCTCCTGAAATTACTCGCCCTATCGATTGGGGCCGGCCGCACGCCCAACCACCCCCTCCCCCTTCCCAGCCAAGAACCGGGCGACGCGTGATTTTCGATCCCGGGCTGGTGGAAATTACCTCTTGCTGGATTCATATATCTTTGTTGGCGAATTTGCGACCGAGCCGTAACCATCTGTTCCGATATCGCAGACTTCGATCGCCACCCCACTGGGCATTCCTCCCCTGCAGCACACCTTAATCAAACAGCCGCCATCGCATCGGAGAAAAAAAATCCATGATCGACCTCTGTACCGTCCGACGCTCGTCGCTTCACCCCATCATTCTATCCTGGATCTGCTGTGCGGATTTCAACCGAGCGTGGCTGGTCTAACTCATATTTGGTCCCTGAGGAATCACCATGTTCGAGACCGCCGCGATGAATGGCGTCCCGGTTGCCGAGGACAATATCATCAATCGGCGCGGCGGGGAGTCGATCTACCAAAGCTGCGTCAATCTGAAGAGGAGGCTCTCCGAGGTTCCTACCTTCGAGTCCCACCTGCAAGAGATGGAGGAAGAGGACCGCGCCAGGGGCAACACCGATCCAGTCGCTTCGCTGTGGAACTGTCTCCGGGAAGGTTATCCGCTATTGAGCATCTACAATGCTTCCGGCCCCGATGAGCAGCTGGAGATCGACCCCGTCAAGGTGCCCGAGGCCAAGCGCCCAAAAGCGGCAACGTTCAAGTTCTTGCAAGCATGTCTGCAGGACCTGGCTTTCCCCCAACAAGACTGCTTCCTCATCACCGACCTCTATGGCGAGAGCACGACAGGCTTCATAAAAGTGATCAAGATGGTCAACCGGGTAGTGGACATCCTGGAGATGCAAGGCTCATTGAAGCGTTCATCCGAAACGGCAGCCAGTCCCTCCGCCGATAAAGGAACGGTGAAGCTCACCAAGCGGGAACATATTCTGAAGGAGTTGTTGGAAACGGAGCGTGACTATGTTCATCATCTGCAGAACCTCCAGGCGCTCAAAAAGGAGCTGGAAGAGACCGGTGCTCTGACGGGCGATGGGAGCCATCAGATCTTCCTCAATCTCAACAACCTTCTCGACTTTGCCCAGCGATTTCTCATTCGCATGGAGCAACATTACGCTTTGCCAGAGGAGACACAAAATTGGGGCCGGCTCTTCTACACGCACGAGGAAGCTTTCCGACAGTATGTGCCGTTCATTGCCAATCAGATGCGCTGCGATCAGGTCTGCATGAAGGAATGGGACAAGATCAAATCCGCGCCACGCCATATAGACCTTATGCAGATGGTTGCACAACCAAAGACACTGAACGGGTTCTTCGTCAAGCCCTTTCAGCGTCTGACCAGATACCCACTGATGCTTTTGGTAAGCAAAACTGTTCATTTTTATCGCCTTACACCCCAACTAACATGCTCTTTCTTTCCCACAGGAACTCCGCAAGCAGGCCGAGGACCCGCAGCTCCAGTCGGATATCACACAAGCCATCGATACCATCCAGGACGTCCTGGACTCAGCCAACGACGCAATCCACAAGGAACATCTAGCTGCCGCGGTAGTGGAACTGTCGGAGCGCGTGGATGATTGGAAGACGCTGAAAATGGAATCATTTGGAGACCTCCTTCGCTTTGGCACATTTTCCGTGGTCAAAGGAGACAGTGGCAAGGATACTGAGCGAGAGGTACGGTTCCTCGCCGGATTCTTCTCTTCTTTACTGACCTGATGCTAGTACCACATCTACCTTTTCGAACGCATCCTCCTTTGCTGCAAAGATATCAACCCCAACAAGCAAAAGACGAAGCTCACTCTCAACAAGGACAAGCCAAATCTCGTTAACAGAAGCAAGGCCCGTCTGCAGTTGAAAGGTCGAATCTACATGGCGAATGTCACAGATATTGTCTGTCTCCAAAAGCCAGGCCTCTATCGCATCCAAATCTTCTGGAAAGGAGATCCCGGGGTTGTCGACAATTTCATCATCCGCTACCAGAACGAGGACACGATGCGCAATTGGTACAAAGACATCGACAACCAGCGGTTGATTCAGGCGGAGCAGCGCAATGCTCGCCACACCGGCACCTCCGACAGCGAGTTTACGTACATGAAGAACATGGCCAACATGCCGAACCCGTACCAGCAGGAATATGACGCCGATGAGACCACATATAACTCCGAGTTCCCCATGAGCCGGAATGCCTCTAGCACCAGCCTCAGGACCCGGTCCGCTACCGGTGGCAGTACAAGCTCTGTCGTTCAGTCGAATGGCCGTGCGCGCTATACCCCCCAGGATCCTGCCCTCTCTGTGCATACCCAGTACAACGGGAATATGTCACCCAGTGAGCGCAACGTCAGCGGCTCGTACTTTTCTCCTGCCGAGACACCATCTACACGGTCAAGTTCCCAATCGGGGTTCTCCTTCGGCCGCCAAAATACCAGTTCTACGAGCGCCTCGAACGGGTGGAATGAAGAGTCAAATCGGTACACTGCGCCTGCCTTGTCTCGCGTGCAATCACGAGATGGCTCGAATGCGGCCGGCTATTTCCCGCAAGCGAATGGCCGGACTGCGCAACGTCCATCTCTGCCGCCTCTCTCTGGGCCTCAGGGACAGTCTACGAATGGCGCCACTCAACGGATGCGGTCGGCCAGCAGTCCGGACATTCACCACCATAACCAGAACCCCGAGTCCCGCCGGTATATGGGAGTGCACACGATGCAAACGGTGGACAATGTCCCCGTGCCACCGATCCCTGCACACATGGCCAACATGAAGGCTCCCGTCAACCGAAGCCAGAACAACTCGCCCACCAACAGCCAGCTCCCCATCCGCAGTCAGACGCAACCTCTGCCCCCGAATCAATTCAATGAGCCCGAATATAGCGCCATGAGCCAGTCTATGGAACTGGCGGCGTCTCCCTTGTCTCAAGAGCCCGAGGCCGAGGAGCAGGAGGGGTTCATGCCCACGCAGCTCAAAGCGAAGGTGAACTTTGATGACAACTACGTCACGCTGGTGATTGCCACCAACATTCTCTTCCGATCGTTGACCGACCGCGTGGACGCGAAGCTGGCACGGTTCACCAACCGGTCGATCGGCAACAAAACGGTCCGGCTTCGCTACCGCGATGAGGATGGGGACTTTGTCACGATCGACAGTGACGAAGCCGTCCAGCTGGCCTTTATGGAGTGGCGCGAACAGCATCGGGACATGCTGGCCAAGGGCCTTGTGGGCGAGATCCAACTCTACTGCCAGGTCGTTGAATAATAGTTTATATATTCCTGTTTGATTCTTTTCTTTTGCACGAACGTATGAACCCATGATGTATGCATACATTTGTTGTTGTTGGTTATTGTGGACGTGATTTGGGGCCGTGAATACTGACTATATTTTGGTTTCACCTTCCACCACCTCGCCTGTAGACTGGAAGAGTGTATCCAGTAACCATAGCTACTATTCAACATCGACCGCTACAGCAGAACTAAAATCACGCAGGACGCCCTGCGGCATTAACGTGCCCGACGTGACGCCCCAAAGCCTGATGGGCCCCTATTGTCGGTGATTCCATCGAATGATATGGAGGGGCCGGATTGCGCAGTTCTGTGGGTTATTAAATATCGGTGAGCTGTTCAGCTTCAGTTCTCCGTTCTCCCAGGCTTGATTTCAGGACTGGTGCTTGTCCCATCTTCTCTTTTTTCCTTATCCTTGAACACTATCCACATCCATCCACTACTAGCCAAGCCAAGATGTCCTTCTCCGGCCGCCGAGTGAGCATTCTACGCCCCTCTACCGACCGCCGCCTCTCCACCGGCAAGGGCCTGTCAGACAACGGTACTGCATTTCCCCTGCGGCAATCTTGATCTATACGTACATATATCTGATTGGCCATCATCACTGACCCAATTGCCCTAGAGAAACGCTCCGAAACCCATCGCCAATTCCGCACCGCCCACGAGGGCCACCGACCGCATGCCGGCCTCGACGCCTCACGAGCCTCCACAGGCGTCGTCTGGTGCACAGAGCGAGCGACCGAGCATGGATACGCCGAGGACCCGTCCGGATGGGCAAACCTAGGCCAGGGCGCCCCCGAAGCTGACGACGGGATCGAGGGCAGCTTCCCGCGCCCGACCTCCATTCCCATCACCTCCGCCGCCCGGGAGTACGGTCCCACGGCCGGTATCAAGCCGCTGCGTGCTGCCGTGGCGCGTCTATACAATGAGCATTATCGTCAGGGCAAGGAGAGTCAGTATACCTGGGAAAATGTCTGCATTGTCCCCGGTGGCCGCGCAGGTCTGATTCGCATTGCGGCCATTCTGGGCAATTCGTACCTCTCTTTCCCTATCCCGGATTACTCGGCGTATTCCGAGATGTTGACGCTTTTCAAGAATGTAAGTTGCTTGTACCGTTTATCTTGTGGGGAACCAAAGTGAGACTGATACCTTTTGGTTGATATAGATCGCTCCCATTCCTATTCCTCTGGCTCAGGATGACCACTACCACATCCACCCCAACAAGATCGCTGAGGAAATCGCCCGTGGCACGCAGGTGCTGCTGACCTCCAACCCTCGCAACCCGACGGGCCACGTCGTGTCGCATGACGAGTTGGCCGAGATCCAGGACATTTGCCGCGACCGCGCGACGCTCATCCTCGACGAGTTCTATGGTGGCTACAACTACACCACCGATTGCGACGGTTCCACGATCAGCGGTGCTGAGCATGTGGTCGATGTTAACAAGGATGGTTCGTTCTATAGTCACACTCCCCTCTATTTTCTACCTTCGCTAATTCGATGTCTCTAGATGTCCTCCTGATTGACGGTCTCACCAAGCGCTTCCGCCTGCCGGGCTGGCGTATCGCATGGGTGGTCGGACCGAAGGAGTTCGTCGATGCGCTAGGCTCCGCAGGCTCGTACCTCGACGGCGGTGCCAACGCGCCGTTCCAAGAGGCCGCGATCCCAATGCTCGAGCCGTCGCTGGTGCGCGAGGAGATGAAGGCGCTGCAGGTGCACTTCCGTGAGAAGCGCGACTTCGTGCTAAAGCGGCTCGCCGAGATTGGATTCCGCATCCAGGACGTGCCCCAGGCCACCTTTTACATCTGGCTGGACCTGACCTCCCTCGACCCACCGCTGCCCGAGGAGGCCAATATCTCTGACGGGCTGAACTTCTTTAATGCCCTGCTGACCGAGAAGGTTATCGTGGTGCCTGGTATCTTCTTTGATCTGAACCCGGCCAAGCGCAGAGATCTCTTTGATAGTCCCTGCCACCACTTTGTGCGTCTGAGCTATGGGCCCAAGATGGATGTTCTGAAGAGGGGTCTTGACGGTATTGAGCGGGTGATTAACCGGGCCCGCCAGATGGGTGGCAAGCCGAGCTGGGAGGATGAGGTTGCTATTGCGGATGATTAGATTTCGGGCTTTGCCGGATGATGTCTTCAGCGTTGAGCAGCATTGAGGTGTAGCGCAATAGAGATGTTCTGATTATCGTTGTAGATGCTTTTCTATATTACCCCATCATGTGACCACTCCAGATCGGCGAGTCGCAGCTCCTTCCACTTGTTCCAGTCAACAACAACAACAATGCCAGAGCCATGGCCGTCCGACTGGAGAAGTTACTCAACTCGAGTGCCTTCGTCTTCCTCTCCGCGATCCTGTTCTGCCTCATCCTGCTCACCCCAGCCGACGCCATCTACCAATGCTACGTGACGAAGCGCTTGGAAAACATCTTCTTCATTACGGGCGCATATGTCATCACCTTCGCTCTAGCAGTGTTGATCTATGCGACACGGATCTACACCAATCGCAACACGCTGACCGGCATCCCCAAGGCCTGGATCCCTGTTGAAAAGGAAGATGTGAGCAAGAGCGTGCGCCGGCTGGTCATGGAGGGTTTGGCGCGCAGCTCCGTCATCTCCTACCAGGCCCGTCCGCGCGACACCTCAAGCGACGAGGACAGCTTTGCCAATTACAAACCGCTCGTCATCGACTCCAAACACCCGCCGTGGGGAGCCATCGAGCACCCGGGCTGGTCGTCGCCTGCATCGCCGGACTTGCCCGATCTGCCCTACCACACCGTCATCCGGGAACTGCCCAACTTAATCGAAGCTAAAGCCGTCTCGCTTGCCCCGGCCGATATGGTCCACGACAACCCTGAGCTCTTCGGCCCGTCCTCATCCATTGGCAACCAGTCGATCCCAGACACGCGCGTGGTCGAGGCGCTACAACGGCCTGCTTCGTTGGGTCTGCGCGAATATATCCACCACCTGACCGCTCTGCAAATAATTCAACCGGATCTGGGCGCAGAGTTCCTGAGACTTTATGAGCGCGCGCGCTTCTCGTCGCGCGCTCTGCACGAGACCGAGTTCCGCGACCTGATGCATACCTTCGCCGAGGTCTTGAGGGGCATGACGCCTCTGGAGCCGCCTATGCTGGACGAAATCCGCGATAGCGTCAGCTATCGACGCCCAGGGAGCGAGTCCGTAATTGGACCGTCGGATGAGGAAGGATATACGGATACTGTTAATCATAATGGGTACGATGGCGCCTATGGGTCTATGCGAAGTGACAGTCTCCGGTCGTCCAATGCTTCTACTTGGGATACCCGGTCGCAATCTCGATATGAAACCGCGCAGGCTGTCAACACGCCTGCGTCGGTTGCGTCGCCGTCGAGAGGCTCATTCAGGCCCCCGGCTCTTCCGCTCACGCCGTCGTCGCGCTCGCTTCGTCGGGTGCAGTCGGGTCAGTCGGGCAGCTCGGGAGGTAGCGTGGTTCGACTAGCTCAACCCCGAGTCTCAGCTGATCTGCCGTACACCATTGACTTCCGCCGAAATGGATGAGGGCAACACCATCAGATACTCCGCTAAAACACCAATCGGATCCCAGTGGGGGCTGACTCATGCGGCAAACGGGGCCGGAATCCTTGGCGACTGCAAACCTGGCGATTGATAAGATCCGACCCGCGACCGAAAGGACACCTTTTTTTGTCCTCATTCTACCATCAACACGCTTTGTTCGTGGGCTACGCGGTTAATTACGGTACTGTTGAAGCCATGGAGTTCTTCAAAAGAGGCGCAGGCTCGCTCTTTAGCTCCTCCAACGTCTCCCTCGCCTCCTCGCGCACAGACGAGGACACAGACGCCGTTGGCGACAACGCCCTCGCCGCGGACGGGTTTCGGTCCGTCCCCGCGCATGACGACTTATTCACCAAAGTCGACCCCGCCGTTGATGGAGAAGAGTGCCTACACGACTGTGCGACGTGCACAGTCAAATACCCCGCGAAATTCGAGATCGATCAAGAAGACGAGTTGTATGGCCAGGTGAAAGGGTGGGCGACGCACCTGCTCGTCGCCACGGGAAAGTCGGATTGGGTGCGCGACGTGGCCGACGAGGAGGGGAGTGTCATGGAGGCAATTGAGAAGGGTGGGATAGAACCGAGCAACGGGGTGCGTGGCTGGGTTCTTTTAGCTTTTGGCAGAGATCTGTATTGACCTTCACGTCCAGCGACTGAAGCTATCCGCTTCGAATATGTCCGTGCCGGACGAATATCACCTGGCGGAGACAGGAAAGCAGCCGACGACTGTGCTCCTTCTCCCCAGTTTCACTGTCGTCGAGCACGTCACGCCGCAATTGGCCCCGGATCTGATCGAGCACTTTGTCAATCGGTCACTGACAACGACCACACCTCTCAAGCCCGACGGCGAATCGTCGCCGGAACCACAACCTCCAGCAACAAGCGCCACCATCTCCACACCTCTCCGTTCGCACCCTTGTCCCCATTCCGCCGTCATCCTCCTCTGCTCACAGCGCACGCGCGACGCCCGCTGCGGCCAGTCCGCGCCGCTGCTGAAGCGCGAGTTCGAGCGCCATCTGCGCCCGCTGGGTTTGTACCGCGACATGGACGACACGCGGCCCGGCGGAGTAGGCATTTATTTCATCAGCCACGTCGGCGGACACAAGTACTCGGCTAACGTGTTTGTGTATCGTCGCCGCGAGGGCGCCGATGAGTCCGAGGGCGCGGCGCAGGGAATTTGGCTCGCGCGCGTGCGGCCGGAGGACTGTGAGAACATCATTCGGTTTACCGTCTTGCAGGGCAAGGTAGTCAAGCCTGGGACACAGCTGCGCGGGGGATTCGATCGGGCGCGCGGCGTCGTGAGTTGGTAGATTAGTTACATAGATGTGTTGATACGATGAATGTATACACAGAACAGTCAATACTGTGCCTACATGCCCATACTAGGCATTCATATTTGCTTATTCTTAGCCGTCACTAGTCCATGCATGCAGAATGCGTAGCTGGCGCTACATACGAGCAGAGACTAGGCCTTTGTCTCGTGAAGTGAGTAAACAATTTATCGTTAGTTATTCCTGCTTCAATTTGCGCCCAGCTTGCTTCATTTCCATCAAAGCTAGCTCCCATCCTTCCACGAGCCTCGGGTGATTTGCAGCTAGGTCGCTTGTGGCCCCAACCAGTCATCGTCGATTTCGTCTAAAGTTACTGATTAGGGTTTGGTTTGTTACAAGTCAGGTACTGGTACCTAGTACACGATAGTAAACCACGGTACTGGCCAAGGTACCACTACATTCAATGGAAACTACTCATCCCCCTCCTCGTATCTCCTCATTTCTATAAGCTTTTATTCTCGGCTACCTTTTCCCCTTCTCTCGCTGCGCCAAGTGTCTTGCCGAGCTATTATCTGTCCACTTCCAGTAACCAGTTTATTCGCACCGTCGTTTGCACCAATTACACGCCCGACCAGAGTTATCGTAGCGAACATACAGCGTTGAGAACTCGGATCCCGCCTACTTGCACTACTACCGTACATATTCGCAGGGCAACCTCCGGCATAGCGCTAGCCCCCATCACACAAAGCTTGTCACCGGCTAAACCGCAACCAGCAAATCGACTTGGGATGCGTTATCGCCCACTTCCACCCAGCCACCGGGATCCCCCTTTGGCCCTAACAACCACCCCCGCTTTCTAGCGGCGCCCCAGCCGACGACCCACTGGTTGAGTTTCGTTTCTTATGTACAGGTCGATTACAGTACGAACAGACAAGAGGGTCCAGCCAAGTACCATTGAAGTACCGTAAAGTAAAGCTCGCCCTAGGGCCCAAGCTCCTTGTGTTTGGAAATCCAGAGCTGCGCATTGGATGAGACGGCCACCGTGCACCTCCGATCGCCCATAGACGCCGGCCGGGCCGGGACTGTCCAGGTGTCGTGCGACTCGATTGTTTTACAACCGCACTGTGTACCTCGGAGAACAAGTAGGAGAGGAGTAAAGTACCTTTAGAGGATAAATACACGGAACGATTGAATGGCTCCTCCGTTTCCCTGCGCCTGTCCTATACTTTGACTAAAATACAGCACTAGCTATGCCATGCGGCACAGCACTAGACACCCCCGCGCATCCACTCGCAAGCGCCCAGTTGGGCCCACCAGCGCGCCAACGCTCCCAACCGAGCTCCCCCATCCACGCCCAATGTCGTCACTTTCTCGGCTCGCAATTTTTGGTCGTAGTTGGTTAGTGTTACTGTCGCTAAGGGCCTAGGGTGTTACACTCCCAGGGAACACCCCTGCTGCTCCTCTTTTTCTTTTTCTAAATATCCTCTTTTTTGAGATTGAGCGGAAATCTTCTGCGGTAATATATTGGTTCTACAGTATAGATAGTATCGCGCTGTACACTACTACCGTAATTACTTACTGCTGGTCTTTGTTATTCATTGATTAATTGCAGTTGCATTGTGCAGTTGACAGGGCCTCGGTACACACGACTCGCTCACTCACGATCTCGTTTGGGGGCGAATCAGCCTCGATCGCTTAGCAGTCTTCGATCACCCGAGATCGCTGCTGCCTTGGCAATTTGTGGTCTGTTATTAGTTGACAGGCTGTTCAGCTTGAACTGACAGACCGAGCTAGTGTCTCAATATTATTAATCCTTCCCACGCCCCGATTTTAGTGCAGAAATGGCGATCCTGATCAAATGGCCCAGCATTGGGTAATTTATGATCTGCCGAGTACGGATGATGTACCCAGTACGACCCTTTAGTATGTAGCTAGGAAGACTAGCAGTACCGTACCTGTCCATCCAAGGATCCTTCCCCCTCCCCATCCTGCGACGCCAACGTTTCATCTGTAGAAGTGACGTGATGGCGAGGCTTAATGGGTGATGAATGCGGCAAAGGAGCGTTAGGGAGCTAGAGCGGATTGGTTGCGTCGTCAGTGGCGGACGCCCATTTTTCGATGGGAGATATTCCACGATCCCTCATTGTCATCAGATATTCAGATATATATTTCCATAAGATCCGATTCAACCTGGCTTCGCCACTGTACCTTGAGATATTGAGTAGCAATCCAATGAGAATAGTAACAAACAATGAGTTGAAATAATAGTAAAACTGTCTTGCTGTAGTCACGACGCCCCCACGAACTTTGGAAATGTACAGATCAGATCATCCAGTGCGGGGAATCGCTTCCTGCCTGACCAACGAACGATTCCACCAGCTTAAGCTAAGCAGCGTTTGCATACGCCGATCTACTACCAACAGAATGGAAAGGTAAAAGAAAATCCCTCATCTCATGCCATGTGTCCACTGATTGACTGGATGTACATACGCGTCCTCGTCCGCGGGGGCCTCAGGCAGCGACACTCTCAGGGATATTCCCTTCTGGCCCCCAACAGGCAATTCGAGAGCATGCGCCTTCGCAGCCAACGGCTCGTCCGATCTACATAAGCGGCGCCGTCCGGTGACTTCTCTTCTCCTCGACTAGCCCTTATGCATAGAACCTGCGCCGAAAGAGGAATAATAATTAACCCCCCCCCCCCAAACCCCAAGTGAAAGACGGAAACTATCTCCATTCCTCGCATGATTGGATGCAGACGACTAGAAAATCCGGTTCAGTTGCATATCTGGGTGATCGTTCGATAATAATAATAGCGAATCGTTAGTTACGATGTTAGTGAGAATATTATTACTAAGTACAGTCAGTATTGCGGTGACGGCGCAGCTGCAGTTTTACGACCACATAATAATAGCCCATCTTGGCAGCCGCCCAGCTCTTGGCTGCTCGCAAAGTTTAGTAGTAGAGATCAAACACGAATCAGAATGAGAGGGTGGCGAGCCTGTCATCCTTAGTATGCAACCGTCGCAGTAACGAATGATGATGATGATAAACTACCTTCGTATAGAGGAATGGATGTTGCATTACGACGAACCCTGATACGAACGAACCTGCCTCTTTCAGTAAATAATCATCTCAGTTTCGGCATGAATCGATCCTGCCGCCACCACCAATGGACACTGTAAACTACCGCCTTGGCGGGCCGTGATCCGTCGCCCTTCCAGGATCCATTATTTGTGATTATCAGTAAGCGACACGATGGCGATGGCGTGGGCCAGCATGCTTTTGTCCCTGGGCGAGATAACGCCGAATCGGAGTTCGACGCGGAGAGGTAGTTGGTACTGGCACGAACGACTCATGCGTGATAGGGAGAAAAGACCAGGATCTAAGAATAATATGTGCGAGAGTGCCAATAATTTGTCACTGCTTATGGACAACAGAACAGGATTTAATTACAATAAAAAGGGTCGGGGATGTAATGTGATCGGCCAATTAGAGGATCGATAGCATTCTCACTGGGATTGGAAGGGGGAAAAAAAAAAAAAAACATAACAGACACCAGCAAACGCATGTTCGGAGACCAGGTATCAAGTAAAGAAAAAAGCGTAAGATGATAACAAGAGGAACGCCTTTGCCCTCGTCCCTTTTAAATGACAGCCCACGGAAACACAGTAAATAAAACAAATGTGACATACCAAAACAGACAGTGGCAGGGGAATCAGAGGGGAAAGTAAAAATCAGAGCGCCGGAGAATCCAGAATCCAAACCAAAGAGTGTGAATACATGAAAAGACGGTGACAACACATAACACACACATCTGCGCGAGAGGCGATAGACACGCTGCCCCATTTCTCGGGAGAAGAGGGGAGAGAGGGAGAAAGCAGAAAAAAACAAGAGTCGTGACGGGCATAGCGGGTTCACACGGGAAATCCTCTATGAGAAGTCTCTCAGCCTACCCCCAGAAAACCCCAGTCAGTCCCCTCCGGCTGATTCAAGATCCGGGCAGGGGGTTTATACTGGAAATTAGGATGGTAGGACACCATCATAGACTGGCCCTCAGGCATATGGTGGTGAGCAGGGAACGTAGACTGCTGGTACTCCGGCGGCAGGTAGGACGTGCGCGGGGTCGGGTCGTAGCGCTGCTGTTGCTGCTGCTGCTGCATCATGTGGAGATACTGCTGCTGATGTTGCGGATGTGGTTGGGGGTGCGAGGATTGCGGATGTTGTTGCTGCGGCGGGGGCGGCGCATGCGGCGAGATGCTCATCGGCGACGAGACGGGGATGTTCTGCGTGACGATCGGCGCGTTGTCGTGCATCGGCACCGAGTTCATGGGGACACTCTGCGTCGGGGAGTAGAACTCGTGCGCGGGAGTCGGCGTCGCCTGCGGGTAGTAGGGCTGCTGCGCGAGCATGTACTGCTCGTTGGGTGGCATGGACAGCGTCCCCGGCGGATGGTGCGTGTACGAGTGCGGCGAAGCGGTTTCTTCGGAGGACGGTCGACTCTGCGACCCTGGGGGGTGCGAGCGATGCTGGTGTTTGGTGAGGGTGGTTTTGCGGCAGAAACTGTATCTGTTAGTTAGATTGGGGGAGTTTCACGGTGATTATGGACAGCACCGACCTTCGTTCACAACTCGGCTCTTGGCAGATATACGGGCGCTTGCCCGTATGAATGCGCCGGTGGCGAGCTAGACTGGATGACTAGAGACAGAAAATTGTGAGTTGCGTCCTCTCGTCGTCAGAAAATATGCTTACATCGGAGAAGGCTTTCTGGCAGCCTTCCTGGTCACAGACATGCGGCTTTTCGCCCGTGTGGGTTCGCGAGTGGACGGTCAGGGCACTGCGCTGGATGAAACTCTTGTTACAGCCCTCCACGTCGCAATTATAGGGCCGCTCATTGGTGTGGATGCGATAATGGCGGCAGAGATCCGACTTGCGATTGAACGACTATCCCCCAGAGTCAGTCCCAACGACCCATGGGGTACCACTAGGATATGTTTCCTACCTTGCCACAATGCTCCCACGAGCAGTTGAAATCGCGTCCAGTGCCGGGAGCCATCTTAGTCTTCTGGCCGCTGGCCCGCGAAGTCGAGGGCGAAGATCAAGTGGTGAGAGTGGCGGAGGCGCCCAGAAGATAAGAGTCGGGGAAGACCGGTCCAGTCAACAAAGCGTTACATGCAGATAGTCAGGATTGCGATCCAGGTATCAACGAGAGACGGGGGAGAGCGAGAGAGAGCAAGGAAGGAAGGAAGAAGAAAGAAAGAAAGAGGGGAAGTGATATACGATAAGAGGGGAGCCGCAAGTTTTATGATGGAGTCAGTAGTATTATTGTTGACAATCTCTCCAGCGAGAGGGCAAAAACGGGCGCGGATGGAACCTGCGCTATTCTTGTCGCTGGTAATACGGGTGTACGAGTATTTTCTCCGCCAACCCCAGATGAAGAAGGGGAGGGGTATGTCTGACGGATCATTATTCTTCGGCTCCTCTGCCGCAAGGAAGGGATTCTGATGGTTCGGCGAACCCTTCTGTGGTCCTTTCTCATCTATTTTAATTCTCCTACACCCCCTATATCCCTAACGCCTCCCAATTCTATCAGAAATGTGATTTCGGACGAAATTGCGATTGCCTCCCAGGGTATTTACCGCTAACCTAACTTGGTGCCAGACTCCAGACCCACCCTGGCCAACCCGGATGACAAGACATGGTGCTAGACTGGACACGGAATGGCGTGTGCAGAGGGTACGAGGAGTAATAATCCTGACGGTAACTAAACACCAACCTGGGATTCGGTTTAAGGTTAGCCTTTGGGGGGATCTGAAACCCCAACCAGGCCCCTATTATTATTATTTCTTCCTTTCTTGGGGGTGGAATGGAATGAGCAGCGCCTAGTACATACTCTCATGCCCGGCTAGGTTGAGATTGACCTCCTCCAGCCCGGGCGCGCATCCTGCTCGAGAGTCTAGGTTTATTTTGGCCCTTCGGTTCTGGGGCCCAAGGCACACGAAACGACCGGGAAATGATATCATGCTACGCCCTCTCCAGCTCGGAAACTCAGCCACTCACCTGGGACTACGGCTAGCCCGCTACTAACTTGTAGCCGCGCCCGAGCTACTCCGTTGCTCTCTTGTCCTCCCACGCTAACGACGATCTTTCTCCAGATCCTGTGTTGGGGCCCAGACATAGGGGCTCGTTAATACTCCGCAGTTCGTTCCCCCCTTCTTCACTGAGGATTACACGCGCGATGGGTGTGGCAAAATGTGGTTCAGCAAGGGGTGCCAGCAATGACGCGGCAGTGCATTTACTGGCCTGTACATAATAATACTTGGGCTTCTACTCGTTGACCCACGGCTCCGGTTGTGGCCAAATCTCCTTAAGGTTGGGTCTGTTCGTTGTGGAGGGGCGACGCCTCCACTTTTTAGGGTCTCCCACGCCAAACAGGGCAGGTCGTTATTATTCAGAATAATTCCCATCTCAGATCCGGTTGTAGGTCAGGTCATGGGCAAGGAAATAGAATAACGATTCAGACTCCGTAGCTAATAGCTAATAAAAAGGATCTATCCTCATCTCCCAGAGTCGCGATCTCGCAGAATAACACCGCGGACAAGGCGCGGTGGACGAGGGGCCGTCTTCACCGTTGATTATTATTTTGCATCTCATCTCACCGTTGGTGGGCCCGCGGCACTCCTCCAGCCATTCCTTCCCGCCGCCAGCCCAAACTCTGTTGAATAAATCTCCTTGCAATATTGATCTACTTATCACAGGTCGGATAGCCTCGGCTCATCCGCCACTCTCAAAGTCAGTATGTATGGCCGGCCACAGAAACGTGGGGATCCACCGCGCAAAGCACAATTTTAAACAGCGGCGATCGTTGGATCGGACAACCTTATTAGTGGACGAGGCAAGAAGGCAGGGAACACGCAGGACCATCATCATTATGTTATTATGGGGGGCATTGGGGCATCGGTGGATGATCATGTGTTAGGCTATTGGCCCTCCTGAACCGGCAATAATCGACATCTTCCCCAGTATAGCCGTCGGTGTAATTATTAGTCTGGCATGCTAAGAATAATCATCATCGCGAGTGGAACGATTTCAGGGTCCAGACTCCCACTCCTCGAGTAGAAAGGCCCAAAAGAAGGGAGTGGGAAGAACATCCATCAACAAGATTATTATTGCGCCGCCGATCCGGCCCAGACTCAACAGGGAGATAGCCTGCGACTGTGCAACCGTCTGGTCTGGTTGGTTTGCTGCGAAAAGATCGGTGAGCTGGCATCATTTTGCTCTCTGTCTCCCATGACTGCTCAACCCAATGACCTGGTCATCGGTAAGGTAAGCCCTAACCATGGACTGCCCGGATGCTCTGCATAATAATAATGTGGTGGCTGAACGGGAGAGATAATTAGCGGGACATGTATACTCAATAGGATCTCGGCATCGGCAACAATGCTCTGGGAGCAGGGGTTGGCTGATAATGATGCTGGAGCGTCACTTCATTGTGAGTGGATCTAGTCTCCGCCGGCGCCCCCCTCTAGTTATGGGAGGCCTAGTCAGTAGCACATCCAGTCAACCAGATGCAGGATTCCCTTTGGTCGGTCACCCGAGCTGGCGGATCGTCGTGATAGGGAGTGCATGACAAGGCGGGAAAGGAGCATAGAGTTTCTGGGGGTGAGAAAGGAAAGAAAGGCGTCCTCGGCTATCGGACAATGAACGAACAACATATGAACCGGTGCGATACCCCGCATTATTAATTCCCAAATGACGCGGATGGCTGAGTGTTGGATCATTTGGATGCGTATGCAGCCGTGTGTACATGTTGCGTCGGGGTGGTGACTATGTACTGTTCCCATCGAGAATACACTTACACACAGACCAACTACGTAGACCCGGATGCCCTTTTTTAGTCAGTGGAGAGCAAACTTCACAGCTCCATGACCGTGCTCAGGATCCCCGCGATGCTTAATCTTTCTCCCGAGGTTGGGTCCATGTGAAGTGCTAGTTACTGTAGTCCGTAGTAAATCCGGGAAAATACCGAAAACCTCAGGCTCCATTGTGGCGAGGATCAGCAGCATATCGAGTATCATTCTGCGATATATGGACCAGCCAAGCCAGCGCTAAATTCCCCGACTCGCATGATTATTATTATTATTATTATTATTATTATTATTAGCCAAAGCCAAACCCACAAAAACAACGCTAGCAGCCAGCGTCCTAGTGGCCGATTTCAGACCATGTTGTATCTGACTGGCTGAAACGCTGACTGTCGCCATCCCCTCCACCACACCGTACCCGGCCGCGTGGGTAAGGATGTGAGTGGGCGTATCACTTCGGCGCCCAGCGGGAGTATTTCTCTTCTCACACATCATTTCGACTCGTTTTCTCATTTCTCACCTCAGCGGTCGGTTGATCCCGCTTGTCTGAATTAATATGCGACGTGAGACGGGAAATAATGACAGAAAATCAGCCATTGGCCCCTTACAGCAATCGGGTAGGGATGTGGAGGATGTTAGAAAAAGTTGCCCCCGCTTCCAAGATTGAGGTTATCGCCGGAAATTCTAATCATCAGCAACAACGCCACCGGCCTGGCTGAAATCTCGCCTCCTTGCAGGATCTGGCAGCGAGTGTTGCCGCTTTGGACAACGGCGTGAGTTGAGATGATGACACTTTTTTGGGTAGGCTGGTGTGGGTAGGTTAGGTTTCGCTTGAGTTCAAATCATGATTGACAAAGAGAAACCTGCGCCACCAAGTAGGTGGTGGCTCCTGCAGCCGGTTTTCCCGGGTGACATCGAGGTGAGGGTTGAGGCGAATTGAGGGAGGGAGGCGGCTGATGGGCTTGTTGTTGTTGTCTTACTGCCTGCAGGTCTGGCAGTCAGTTGATCAGCCTTATCAGTAGAAGAGGAAGAGGTCACCGGATCCAGTCAGAGTAGCAAGAGGTGACAGCCATGATGGCCGATTGTCCCATTTTTGCTCGAATTGCTTGGAATGGTATCGCCATGCTACATTTGCATCCTAGCCCTAAGTTCGATATAGACACCTGTATACCGACGAAACTGTCGAATACAATCGAATGTTATTATCCAACGTAGGATATCTCACCCTTCGATTCACCAGGTCAATGTTAGAACAATTAAAGAAAATGTACGCAATTGTTGCTTGTCTCTCCTTGTCGTCGATGTAGTACTTCCCCAGTCACATGATCACCACGCAACCCAATCATCGCGCGCGCCTCGGGCTGACCAAAAATCTAGGCACGATGAGTCGCGACGGACAGGAGGACACCTGCATCCTCGTCACCGGTGCGAATAGGTACATTCCTCAGCTCCTCTCCCACAGTTCCTAACTAAACAATTTCCCAGCGGCCTCGGGTTCTCAATATGCTGCCGACTCGCCGATGAATTCGTCTCCTCCCACCCGGACCCTTTGCACACCCTCACTGTAGTTTTCACTACGCGGAGCGCGCGCAAAGCCCAAGATACCCAAAAACGGCTAGAAGCGCACCTCCGCGCATCAGCACTGTCCCCCTCTGCCGCTGCGCGAGTGCAATTCGTCCCCGAGAATGTCGACCTGGGCGACCTGGTCTCCGTGCGGGAACTTTCCCGGCGACTGGTGCGAACTCTGCCCAAGCTCGACGCCATTGTCCTAAATGCCGGCATAGGCGGCTGGTCCGGGATTAACTGGCCACGTGCCATATGGGGCGTGTGCACCAATCTCCTTCAGGAGGTTACCTGGCCTACGTTCAAGGTTGCTCCCACCGGCGTGGTGACAGACAAGCAAACAGAGAAGGAGGACGAGCCGCCGCTCGGCGCGGTCTTTTGCGCTAATGTGTTCGGACACTACATGCTCGCGCACAATGTCGCGTCGCTGCTGAAACGAGGATCCAATGGGCCCGGCCGAGTTGTGTGGGTGTCTAGCATTGAGGCAACCACCAAAGCCTTCGACGCCGAGGATATCCAGGGTCTGCGGTCTGCGAAGCCATATGAGTCCTCCAAGGCTCTCACGGATATCCTGGCCCTGACCTCAGATCTACCCAGCACGGCACCCTGGGCCGTGAACAGCTTTCTCCAGTCGGATTCTTCCGACCCCGACGTCACCCCGAACATGTATCTCTCCCACCCGGGGATCTGCGCAACCGCAATTATCCCCCTCGCGCTACCCCTGGTGTATGCCATGGTAGCCGCCTTCTGGATCGCACGCATGCTAGGCTCCCCCTGGCACCCGATGGCCTCCTACAGCGGCGCCTCCTCGCCGGTCTTCCTGGCGCTGTCGCCGCAGGATGCTATCGATGCTGCCGAGGCGCCCTATCGCCAAGCTGGCGGCGGGAGACCCAAATGGGGTTCCTCTGCTTCGCGACTTGGGCGTGACAGCGTCGCTTGCACCGAAATTGATGGTTGGGGTTATGGCGGTGTTGTGGGCAGACCTGTTGTCGAGGCTGATCGGCTGCGGAGGAGGAAGCGAGGTGCCGTGGACCTTACTCGCGAAGAGCGGGAGAAGTTTGAGGAGCTTGGCCGTCAGTGTTGGAAGCAGATGGAGGAGTTGAGGGTGAAGTGGGAGGCCATCCTGGATCGCGCCGAGGAGCGGCGTCAAGCTTGAGATATGATCTAGCGATGTACACCACTGGCCTCTCCATGCGTCTTTCTGCACCAGTACATATATCATTAATTACATAGCCAATCCTGTCGAGCTATAGCCATGCACCTACAAGGGACAGACCTCTATACAAATACCCAATCAATCATTATAGGGAAGGTCTCTATGCCCAAGCTTCGAGTTCCTGTCAATTTCCAACTTATTCTGGAGATAGCCCTATCAAGATGCATCTTCACTTTAGGTATCTTTGGCAGGCTCGTAACCTAACATCCACGCAACATCCTCGGAGAAGATAATATCAGGGGAGTAAGGGACAGGTTGTATAGATCTCGGCCCATAAGAATAGGCCCCGGAAAATGAAGCTCATGATCAACAGAACGTAGACATAGACAGTCAACCAACCGGCGGCTGGCTCCTGATACCAGGCAAAGTTGATTAGAGCAAGGACGACGATATCAAGAGAGATACCTAGAAGATCACATCTGATCCACCATGGGTTTTGTCTGATATCATGCATCAGGTCAACGCTTGCCTCCTCCATGCACCTCAACGTGTGTGTAGCTGACTTGAAAAAGAGGTTATTGTTTTCTCTTTCTCTTTTGCTCTACTCTTTAAAACACATTGGCTAGTCATCCAGCAGGTGGTAGCGAGGCGGTCTTCTCTATCCCTGTCCCCACGCCACGTATCCCTGCTCCCACTGGATGTACCTAAGCGCCGTCTCTCACCACGTACGTTGACACACTCGGTGTTTTGAAAAAGGAACGGCAGTACAAAAGGACATCTTGACAGGAACGTTTACTCAAAGCACCACAGTTCCTAGATGAACATACCTACGACATCTCTCCCTCTCATTTGGAATACAAACATGGGTTTGGTGTTGACTTATTGCCTGTCACGCTGGCACGAAGGCGTCCCTTCGGATGCGCCTCAGACCATGGACGAAGCCCTCGCTCGCATCGACGAGCTTTACGATTCTGGAAAGCTTTTCTTCACGAAAGAGTCTATCCGTGCCGTCTATGAGCAGTTTCAGGGCTCTACTGGCCACGGGGAGAAGATCTTTGTCAAGGATGTGGAGGGTGCAACGATAGAGTACACTCTCAGAACAGGAGAAACTTTCGTTTGGAGGCTGAGGTCTGATAACATAGAGAAGGAAGACGAAGAGGAAGAATGGCTCATGTCTGTCACGAGAACTTGCTCCCCTCAGTAGATCTCGAAAGCTGATACCCCACAGCCAACAGCCGATGCTGCGCTACCAAGGGCGTGGGCATCTTAAACACAGTCTCCGGAGGTTGTACGAAGGCGCTAACCACGAGCCCGAAAGGACAAGTCCTCTCCGCAGCCTGCAAGTTTATCAGAGGTCTGAGAAGCTCGTCTTCGGTACAAAAGAGCTAGTCCAAGACCCAACTCTTCCGAGCCGCGACAATCTCAACTCGTACTTCAAAGAACAAATCCTGGCTTGGCAGGAAAGCGAAATGTGCAAGAGAGTTGTACAGATCCTGGACTCGTCGGTTGCAGGGCACAGCATCGAGAAAATTGTCGCTGTAGCTCTAGGAGGCATTTCAAGGGACGATCGTCATTCCTCTGCGTTCCAGCATGCACTTGTCCTGACTCTACGCGAATGGCTGCATGCTCGACAGAAGTCAGTCAGCTGCTACGCCCAAGATCCAGCGTACAAAGCCGTGGATAAGGTTGTCCTTGAGGAGCACGGTATCGAGATCATCGACGATCCACGTGCATGGCTTGAGGTAGACGAGCAATCTATCCTGTTTTCGTGTGCGCCGAATGTACCCGTCAAGGAGATCGTGGCGGACACCACGCGACCAGCGGCTGTAATATGGGAGCGTCTTGACGACAACGATTGGGATGTTGAAGGAGAAGGAAAGTTGTAAGGCTTTCATATCCGAATCTGTGAGGCGCTCTGTTAATGAACATTTAGTACCGATCCGTACACACCTCGCGTGAGAGCGATGCTCGAGGGGTATGAAATGTTCGAATTTGGGGCGGATGACCACTTTTGTTCGACGGTCATCTATGTTCGGCGTTGCAGGGATTAAAGCTGCTTCGCACTGTTTGCACATGCCTCGAGTCCCATAGATACGCCTTTTCCAGCGTGAGGTGGTATTGCATCAGCTGCATCTCCAGGAAGGAATCGAGCCCTGTACCGGGTTCCTCCGAGTGGCAGTCTGTAAATTGAACAGAGCTTCACGGGGCAGCTTTGATGGACGATTTCTCTCAATCTTCATTTGCCCATTTCCCATGCGCTTATTATAATGTTGTAGCGGCAGGACCCGGACTGCACAGCTGCTGATCCATGTCCGTTCGGAACCCCTGAGATCGCGAAAACGAAGCATAATCTCACTGAACCTTACCAGATAGAGGCGCTGGGGTAGTACAAAGTAGCATCATGAGACAGTCGGACTATAATCGAGTCCGTCCCTTCCAGACACCCCCGCAAGCGGTACCCGTGAGTACCTGCCAATCAAACCATTCCCTGGTGGGGCCCGATGTACCCCCAGGTACCACACCACACCACTCCACAGCCTCGGAATCACAACCCCAGGATCGCTTAGCGATGGCTGAGCTAACTCACGACTAACAGATTCATGGGGGTTTCCTTTCTTCCTCATCTTCTTCCCCTCTACTCCTTCGGTGCTGGGAGGATGGTACACACTCCACCATGACCTCATCCATTCCCTCCGAGTCCGAGTCGGCCGGCACGCGACCGGTCTACAGGGTCTACAAGCGTCGCTTTTGGGGACTGGCTCAGTTGGTGCTGCTGAATATCGTCGTCAGCTGGGATGTAAGACACCTCCTATCAAGCTAACGGCGTATACTAACGCCCGCCGAACAGTGGCTCACCTTCTCCTCCATCTCCACCACCGCCGCGAAGTACTTCGAGGTCTCCGAGAGCGCCATCAACTGGATGAGCACGGGCTACCTGTTCGCCTTTTGCGTCGCAAGCCCGTAAGTGCCTATCGCATCGCATCTAGAGCAGAGCGCAGATCACTTCTGCCATGCCTTCATCTGATTTGATCGCGATCGATCGACTCTCCTCGACCCCGCTGACACAACTCAATCCTCCATAGATTCGTCATCTGGATCCTCAACAAAGGCGGCCCCAAACCCGCGATCATCACTACCGCCACACTCCTGCTCATTGGCAACTGGCTGCGCTATGCCGGCACCAGAGCCAACGGCGGCATCTTCGGCCTCGCCATGTTCGGGCAGATCCTCATCGGCTTGGCGCAGCCATTCTGTCTTTGCGCGCCGACGCGATACAGCGACCTGTGGTTCTCGGATCGGGGTCGCACCAGCGCAACGGCGCTAGCTAGTCTGGCGAATCCCTTAGGCGCAGCGCTGGGGCAGTTGATTGATTCGGCGTGGGCGACGAAACCGTCTGATATCCCGAACATGGTGCTGTATATCTCCATCATTGTCAGTTATATCTCCTCTCCGCCGTCACAAATGTTCGTCAGTACTAACGCTCTCCAAAGTCTAGCGTCGCATCGATCCCATCCTTTTTCCTCCCCGCCGCACCACCCACACCCCCCAGCGCCTCCTCCGCTATCCCACGCACGCCGCTTATCCCGGCAACGCGTCAACTCCTCGGCACGCTCGAGTTCTGGCTAATCCTAATCCCCTTCTCCGTATACGTGGGATTCTTCAACAGCGTATCATCGCTCCTGAACCAAATCCTCAGCCCGCACGGGTTCAGCGAGACCGAAGCCGGGATCGCAGGTGGGATCCTGATCGTAGTCGGCCTGTTGATGGCAGCGATCATCTCGCCGCTAACAGACCGGTTCAAACACTATCTCGGCACTACTCGCGTGCTGGTCCCCATCGTCGCGGCGTCGTATATCGGACTGATCTTTGCTCCCGGTAGTTCCGCGGGCATTGCGCCGTCGTACGTCGTTATGGCGCTTATGGGCGCGTCTTCATTTGCGCTGTTGCCCGTTGTGCTAGAGTATCTCGTTGAGATCACATACCCTTTCTCTCCGGAGATCGGGAGCACCATCTGCTGGACCGGCGGGCAGTTGCTCGGCGCGTGCTTTATTCTTATCCAGGATGCGCTCAAAGCGGATGCCCTTGCGCATCCTGCATTCAATATGCACAATGCGCTCATTTTCTCGGCTGTTGTCGCCGTTGTTGCTGCGCCGCCGCCCATGGTGATTGGCTTGTTTGGACGCGTGGTGAAGCGCCGCCGGTTGGATATCGATCGTGGTGACGAGGTGCGGGATCCGGACACCGCGTACGTGGACGGTCCCGGCAGAGATGGTGGTTCTGACAAGGCTACCTCTGAGGCGACTGGAGTGCTTCATTCGTCTCCTTCACAGAAAGAGACTGCTTCTTAGTGTGTGTGTATGTGTGTTGTGACGAGCATTCCATTCCTTCCCACGGGACTTGTTCGGGGCATTTGAACATACCGCCACTTCGACCAGAGAATGACATCTGCTTTGTAGGGCGTGCCATGCTGACGGCGACTATATACGGTGCCGGCAATTTTTTCCCTCTGCGTTGGACCCTCAGCTCAGTTCAGCTTATCTACGCCCCCCTCGTATTCACGCTCGGCTTGTTTTACATACAGAAACTACCTCAAATTCTGATGCCAATGCCAACTCTAAGCCAATCTAGACAGGTGCAGGTAGCCTTCATGTCATTTCTGTCCTTCAGAATGGAAATGTAAATTATCTGACAAGGCAAATACTCGCTGAACAAATCTGCCCGGTACTACAGTACTCGTGTTCCACGAATTTCAAAATAAGCCACCTTTACTACTTTGGAAGTACTCACTTGCCCCAACAGGTGATTTCGCTGTAGGTGATCTTCCAAGGATTGGATAGTCTCTTGCGCATGTTTGATGTTTTACATTTCATCTAGAAGAAGCCGTACTCCATGCAAAGCGGAGCGGCTATGCTATTGATGCTAGCAGTAATGCTAAGTGGCCCCGCCGCTGGAATAGAAAGGGATTGATAAGCCGAAGAGGACATAGTAGCTTTACTGATTCATAGCGGAGAATCCTCTGGAATTACGGAGTGCTTAGCACCGAAGCCACGTGAAGGAGGCTGAGGGAGACACCTCTCTCAATTGAGTCTCTACTGTAAGCAGCTCCTCTACCAGCAACCCCAAACATCGTGTGAGCCCTTGACTATGACCTCGATATCATTTGGTAATGCAAACTTGGGGTTTTAGGTGGGGATTAATTCCGGCCCGATCCATCTTCCCCCTGGTACGTTTAAAAACGGCCCTTGAAATAGAAGCCAATTTGACTAATAGCCGCTTCTTGCCCTAGAACGACCGGAAACCCCACCGGCCCCTCTATCAACCGTCCCGTTTCGTCGCGACCCAGACTTTGTCGATCGTGGGACGCTACTCGATCAGATACATGAAAAAGGCTCTGTCCTAGGGTCCCGGATAGCGCTTGTCGGCCTAGGTGGCGTTGGGTGAGTTCACAATGAGCATCGGATATCCCACTGCTGATGGGTTGGAAGAAAATCACAACTTGCTATCGAATACTATCATCAAGTTCGCGATAGATCTCCTGAAACGTGGGTTTTCTGGATTCACGCGAGCAACGCAACCCGTTTCGAGCAGAGCTGCCGGGAGATTGTTGACCGAGTTAAGATATCCGGCCGGTAGAATCCCAAGGCGAATGTACTCAAACTCCTTTATGATTGGCTCCATGACAAGAAAAATGGAAAATGGGTTCTCGTCCTTGATAATCTAGACGATGACGAATTCCTTAATGCGCCTCTATCGGTAGAGTAGCACAGCCTAGGAAGTGATCAAAGCGGTATGATAGCACGATCAATCTTAGTATATTTCCGTCAGATATTAAGTGGCTTTATCGTTATAACAAGTCGCAGCAGAGGGGTGGCATCAAAAATAGTGGAAGATAGCGATGTCGTTCTAGTCGAATAGATGGATAAAACCTAGGCGCTCACGCTCTTTGAGAAAAAGCTCAGAGTGCAAGAGACTAAGGAAGACGCTATTCAGCTAGCTACGGCACTCGAATTCACACCTCTTGCAATTGTGCAAGCGGCAGCCTATATCAAGCAAAGAGCTCCGCGATAGTCAGTCATACAGTATCTAGATAAGTTTCGGAGTGATGATCATCAAAAGATCACTCTTCTTGATTATGAGGGTGGGCATCTTCGTAGAGACCTAGAAGCCAAGAACTCTATCCTTGTCACATGGCAAATATCATTCGATTACATTCAGGAAAAGAGACCATCGGCGGCGGATTTATTGTCTCTCATAAGCTTCTTTGATAGACAAGGGATTCCTAATAGTCTTTTTCGAGAGAATGACGAGACTAGACACAACGTCAGAGGCGTTCCTACACAGTATACGGACACAGCCAATGATAGCAGTGATAGGGAGGAGAGCACAACTGAGTTTCCTAAGATGGATACGTTTGAGGACGACATATTGGTTTTGAGAGACTATTCGTTGATATCCATCAATGCAGATGGAACGAACTTTGAGATGCACCGGCTAGTCTAGCTAGCTATGCAAGAGTGGCTCAAGGCGCAGAAGCAGCTTGAAAGGTGGAAGGGATGTTTTATCCGACGCCTTTGCAACAATTTCCTAGTGGGGAAAATCGAGAACTGGTCAAAGTGCCAGTTGCTATTGCCACATGTGCTTTGTGCTGTCAAACAACAGCCTAATACGGAAGCCTTGTTAAAAGAATGGACATCGCTATTACATAAAGCAGCGTCCTTTGCATGGTCACAAGGAAATTGCGCCGATAGCGAAAAAATGGCACAGAAATCAACAATAGCGAGGGAAAAAACACTTGGGCTAGAGCATCCCGACACTCTGACTAGCATGGCCAACCTAGTGTTGATTTACTTAGATCTAGGACGATGGAAGAAAGCCGAAGAGCTAGGCATGCAGGTGGTAGTGACCCGAAAGCAGGTGCTTGGGATAGATCATCCTGACACTCTGAACAGCATGGACAGTCTAGCATCGATCTACCGGAGCCAGGGACGATGGAAAGAGGCTGAAGAGCTAGGGTTACAAGTAGTTGGGATTAGCAACCAGGTGCTTGGGTTAGAACATCCCGCTATTCTGACTAGCATGGTCAACTTAGCATCGACCTACCAGAGTCAGGGACGATGGAAGGAAGCCGAAGAGCTAGAGGAGCAGGTTCTAGAGACTAGCAAACGGGTGCTTGGGCTAGAGCATCCCTCAACTCTGATCAGAATGCAATACCTGTCATTGACCTACGAGCACCAGGGACGATTGAAGGAAGCTAAACAGCTGGGGGTGCACGCGGTGGAGACCAGCAAACGGGTGCTCGGGCCAGAGCATCCCGACACTCTGCTCAGCATGGCCAAGCTTATCTTGATCTTGGAGTCATTAGGTCAAGATGAAGCTGCTTTCCAGTTGAAGACAGAATACGCCCGACTCCGCCGCCTAAATTAGGACCCGACAACCTGGATACTATGTCTTCAAATAATTATTCAATTGTCTGTCGTATGGTTCGAGTATGGATATTTTGTCATCTCGTTGGACAGACTTACGATGATATGTTTGGTGTACAGGGGACTTTTGGACATGTTGATACGACCGAAGGTCCACGCCCAGACACTTTAGGTATTTATCTGTCCCACTGGCAGTATTCTCCCAATTACTCTATAAATAAACCACATGGTCTAAACAGATGAGATTTGTTGTCAGAAACAACAACACTTGGTAGGAACACTAAATAAAGACCAGCTATCTGTACAAGCAAGACAGACCAGAGAAAGCGGGAGGGCAGCAGACAGGCGGTCTATTATATCATTTTTCTTTCTCTCTCTCTCCCATCTCCCTGTCTGTCTTGAAAACAAAACACAATATGCAAAACACACACGAGGAGTGACCACACAAGACCTATGTGTCAAACCAGGAATTTGATGATGATGACGGCGGCAGGCTGTACTGTCGGAGAGACAGACAGCCATCAGATAAGTGGGGGATCCGGCGTACCCCGAAGAAAGTAAACGCGAAGAAAGTCGTTTACTTGAGCTCGCGCCAGAGCTTGGGGGCGGCGCAGGCGGTCGCGCAGTGGGTGAGGTGGAAGACTGTCAATCGAGTCAAGTCATATTAGCATTTGCGTCCTGGTGAATTGGGTTATGGGGTCCGGTGGACATACACTCCTCAACACAGTCCTCCTTGGGACCCTTGTAGTCCTCGTCCTCCTCCCGGCGGGTGACGCGCTCGACGCACTCGTCGAAGTGGTGCTTGTACGGGGCGCACTGAGCGGAGTGAGCGCATTCTGTACAAGGAACGACAAAGTCAGCAACGGGTTCGTGTCCGATCAATGGGTAGTAGATATGCCATTGGGGCAAGCGATGGGTTATGGTGGTGCGGATGCAGGAGATTGAGATTGAGCTGACGCCATCCCAATTCTTGCACCCCTCCCACGCCACAAGAGCGACAAGAACATCCTATGGTAATCCAATTGGCAATATCGAGAAGACTTACCCTCCTCAAGCTTAGGCTTAATATCTTCCGGCTCCTCCTCCTCCTCCTCTTCTTCCTCCTCTTCCTCTTCCTCCTCAGCCTCACCATCACCCTCCTCAGACTCCTCAGTGGACTCCTCGGGGGTATCCTCCGCCTGCTCGGAGCTGTCGTCAGCAGCATCAGTGTCGTCGCTCTTGTCGGCGGGCGCGGCAGCCTCGGAGCTGGATTCGACGTCCTGGGCGGGTGCCTCAGCCTGGGCCTCGGCGAAGCCCAGGGTGGAGACGACGTCAGAGAAAAAGTCTGCGAGACCCATTGCGGTGGATGCGGGTGTCAATTGGGTGGTGTGGTGCGTGGGAATGGAGGTGGGAGGGTAGGGGTTGAGAGTGAGGATTCAAGTGGTTGCGTCTGAAGGAAAATCGGGACGAGTCGGCGTTGCTAATTGTGGCGCACGTGATTGGCTGGCTGCTACAACGGACACTGAAAGTGGACTGGAAGGTGTTTTTACCTGTTTTACTACTGGGCAAATATTATTATGATAGTAATAGAATAGGAAAAAAGAAATAATTTATTATGAGACTTACTACAACCGACCGGAAGGACACACGAACTCCTGGGTTTGCTTCTAAATAATACTATGCCATAGTAACCGCTTCCGGATCGCTAGCTAACAATGGAGATAGATGATACTGTACATAGAGACCAGAACAAAAAGTATATGCCAGCCACTCAACCACTGCGTCGCAGCCGCTCCTCCAACTCATGAGCTACGCTCTGCGACTGCACTTCCTCATAGCATGGCGGGGGCTCGGAAGGTTCAGGGGACAGTTCCGACGGTCTGCGTCTAGCACTCTGCGGCTCTACCGGCGGAGGCGGCGGTTCACTCGGACCGGAGTAGTGGTTCCTGGTATGTTGCGGAGCATCATAAGCCGGTAGCTCGTCCAAGTGAATAGCTGTCAAATCCACGCCGCGGAGACCGCGGCCGCCGTCATCGGTGTTCTCAACGGCCTGCGCAAGACGCTCCTTGATGCGCTCAAAGCTTGTGTGGAAGTCAAAGGCGCCCCCTTCTTTGAAGGTCACTTTCAGCTGCACGGCTGGCAGGTTGGGCGAGATGCCTCCACCCGACACGGGCTGCACCAGGGCTGTCCATACATTGGGACCGAAGAAGGGTGCGGAGACGTGCGAGTCGTGGACGTTGAGGAGAGGCGAGGAGAAGGACTGGAAGTCTTCGGTTTGTTGGGCGGGGAGGTAGACGACCTGGGTTGGGTTGTTAGAGAGAGAGCGAGAGAGAGAGGGAGGGAGTGGCGGGGATGGAATAGGAACAGACTCTTTGGTTGGTGAGGTGGATATAGCCGGCGCTGCTTTGGACGGAGAGGGTTTCTTTGCCTTTGTAGGCGCTGGGCGGGGATAGAGCCAGGCTGGTGCGCGGGGGCGAGGAGTAGATCAGGCGTTCGTTGGGCAGACGGACGAAACCTTCGGGGTCTTGGAGCATCACCCAGCTAATGGGGTTAGTAAGGAGGGAACAGAAGAAGCAGCAGATAGGTAGGGCGCACGTACTTGATGGACATGGTGAGATGATCGAGGGAGAAAGTATAAGTGAGAGAGAGAGCTTGGAAGAAGAGAGGTCTAGACAAGTTGCGGGGCAGCCGGTGATAAGCAGTACTTCTGTGCAGTAGTATCCTCCCTAGTATTTTCATGTACCTTGGATCCTCTTCTCGGTCAGCCTCAACCCTGCAGTATCCATCAATCCGCCGTCGATCATCCCAACAAAACAAGGGCAAGAATTCGGGGACTGTTGGAATGGATGTTTTTAGTTATTATGTATGACCTATATGAAAGTATTGCAAACTATCAACCGTAGTTTACCTAGAAGCAGCTAGAAGCTGACCGTTCCTATGTAGCTAGGTTCGTGGTCTGTGCCCTGCCGGATTCGACGGATTCAGTTCCCCTCAACTTTCTTCACTTTTTCACTTATCTTCTCTCTCCCCATGGTCGCGTGATCCTAAAATCCCCTAGGTGAGCTCATCATCCTTGTATTCTATTTTATTCTACACCCACTGACTCCCTTCCTGCAGACACTGCCCATGTCGAGCTCCTCCGCACCCACTACACGCGCCCCATAGCTATTCCCCCCCTCCAACGGCGCCATGGGCACGAAAGGCCCATACATCCCACCCCTCGTCGGGTGGCTATACGATCTGGTGCTCTGGACCTTTTCCGTGCTCATTGATCTCTTCTTCCGCGAGGTCCATCCACGCGGGTCCTGGAAGATTCCGCGACGCGGTCCAATCATCTTGGTCGCTGCCCCTCATGCAAACCAGGTGCGTGACACTATCCTGGGCTTAAACCTCCAACTAACAGCGTTGCTCTCCAGTTCGTCGACTCGCTCGTTTTGATGCGCGTCATCCGCAGCGAAGCCCACCGCCGCATATCATGGCTGATTGCAGAGAAATCCTTCCGGCGCAAGTTTATCGGGTTCTTGGCGAGAATGATTGGAACACTCCCCGTGGCGAGAGCAATGGACAATCTTAAACCCGGGGCCGGCACGGTCTATCTGCCCGATCCGGTCAACCAGCCCACTCTGCTGCGCGGAGTCGACACCAATTTCGAAGGACCGGGGTTTGAACCGGAAGGGACGATTGCGCTGCCAACGATCAATGGGACATCGCACAGTACGGCGATTGCGGAGATTCGGGGGCCGGAGGAACTGGTGCTCAAGAAACCGTTTAAACACCGCGATGCGTTGTTCCAGTTGACGGGGCGGGATGACATTGACGACAACGGGAAGTTTACTGGGGAGGGATCGGAGCAGGACCGCTCGGAGTTCAAGGGCTCCAAGTTCAAGGTTGCGCCGCATGTGGATCAAACGGCGGTCTATGAGGCGGTCTTTGCGAGACTGAATGCCGGGGGCTGTGTGGGCATCTTCCCCGAAGGTGGTAGTCATGACCGCCCATCTCTGTTGCCGCTCAAAGGTTGGTCAAGTGTTTCTAAAATGTGGTGAATAATCAATGCTAATGTACCATCTAGCGGGTGTGGCCTTGATGGCTCTGGGAACGCTGGCAGATAATCCGGATTGTGGCCTGAAGATCGTGCCCTGCGGCATGAACTATTTCCATGCACACAAATTCCGATCGAGGGCGGTCATTGAGTTTGGCACCCCACTCGAGGTGCCCAAAGAGCTGGTGGAGCAGTTCAAACAGGGCGAACGGCGGGAGTCGGTGGGCAAGCTGTTAGATATCATCTATCAAAGTCTGGTTGCCGTCACTGTCACCAGTCCCGACTATGAAACGCTCATGGTAAGATCTTGCACATCTTGTCCAATGCTGCAGCTAACCTCTCTGCAGGTCATCCAAGCGGCCCGTCGATTGTACAACACCAAAGGGAAGAAGCTTCCTCTTCCAATGGTTGTCGAACTGAACCGCCGACTCGTCAGGGGCTATGAGCATTACAAGGATGACCCGCGCATTGTACACCTCCGAAGATCTATTGTGGACTACAACAAGCAGCTCCGCATCCTCGGCATCCGAGACCATCAAGTTGCCTACGCCAAGTTCTCGATCATCCATGTCATTGCCAAGTTGATCTACCGCTTGGGCCAGCTGGCTCTTCTCACCATTGGAACTCTGCCCGGTCTGCTCCTTTTCACCCCTGTCTTCATCGCCACCAAATACCTCTCGATCAAAAAGTCCAAGGAAGCGCTAGCTGCCTCCACAGTCAAACTACAGGGCCGGGATGTGATGGCCACATGGAAGCTATTGATTGCGCTGGCCTTCGCACCCGCCGTGTACGCATCTTACACCGCAGCCTTCACCTACTGGACGTACCACAACCGCATCCGAGGCTTGATTCCAGAATGGGTACCACTTTGGTTGGTAGTGTTGATTGGCATGGTCCTATTCCCCACAATCACCTTTGCCGCCCTCCGAATCGGCGAGGTGGGCATGGACATTATCAAATCTCTCCGCCCACTCATCCTGTGCCTGAACCCCTCATCTGCCAATACCCTGGTAAAGCTCCGCGCCAGACGGGTAGCCCTAACCCAGCTCGTAACGGAAGCCATCAACACGATGGGCCCAGAACTCTTCCCAGACTTCGACGCCGCGCGGATCGTCTCAGACCCATTCTCGAAAGTCAACCGAGAGGATAGCGAAATCTCCGCGATCCACGCCCGCGGCGACTACGACGTTAACGACACCGCGCCGTTCCGATCCCAAGAACCCCTTCCCCGCAACGAATCCTTCTACAACCTCGCCAACATCGGCTTCTTTTCCACAAGACCCCCGAGCCGAGACCGAAGCCGCAGCAGTTCCGCAGGACCCAGACCTGGCTCGCGGCATCAGTTGAAACCGCTCAGTCCCCTCACGCCCAAGGATACGCCCAAGGATCCCTTTGATGATGTCAACTCGCGCATTCGCGACGCTATGCGCGAGCGCGGCCAGCGCCGTCGCCGATCTGAGGATGGCTCTTGGGATATGGCGAGCTCGGGCCCGGGTACGCCGGAGAGTGAAGACGAGCGGAAGGATCTATGATCTATAGTTGGCCTATACCCTGTGGCGCTGGTGCAGGTGCTTCTTGTATGTAGTTCTTGCTTTTTTTTTCGCCTATATAGCTGTAATGAGAGATATCCCATGTTTTTCTTCTGGTTATCACCGTTCTTCCGTTCCCCGCCATACTTTCAAAAAATCCTACCACTCTGACCCTGTTTCACAAAAGATAAAACCATCGACTGCGTGTCCTGATTCCCCTTTATATCACCACGTCTGATACGCGACAAATACTCAAAAGACACGGTTGGGTTGCCATTTGATGCTAGGAGACCTACTCGCGTCATCAACCTACTCTGTCACATGAATGGAATCTTGCAGTCATACTAGGTCGTTAGGATGTGGCAGATGGATAAATTGCTAGGTGGATAATTGGTCTAACAAATTGTACCGAAATCCTAGCCGAGTCACCACGAAGTCAACTAGTAATCTAAATCCATAACAGGACAAACACGCGATATGATGAGATATTGAGCCTCCCCCACTTTTATTGCCCCCACGCTAGTCCCATCAAGAGATTGCGCCTTTCATTGGCTAGGATCTTCTTCCTCTTGAACCGCGACGGCCGCTGCACCATGGCGGAGCAGCCCGACCTCGTGGGTCAGCCGCGACGGCCGGAGCGAAAGGGGTAGACACGTCGTTTGGCCCGACACCTTACCGTCCGGTGCGTCTGACCGGCATTTTCGTATTCGCATTGCGACCTGGCTGATTCTCAAGATAACCATTGCAAACCATGCTACTCTCTGAATTAGTGAGCAGAAACGGTTTTTCAATCGCAATATTGGGGGATGCTGGAGTAAGCCTAGACTTGAGACAAGGGAGACACTGAAAATGTAGGGACGGACTAGAGGGTAGCAGAAACCTCCCCAGCCGGGAATCACGGACATTCCCCTTAGTGATGTCCTCAAAAACATTTGGTGAACGAAATTGGAGTCCTTAAGTGCTTTTGACACAGCAGTTGCGGCCGCGCGGGTATGGGTCCGATAGCACTTGGTAAACTGGGCCAACACGCTGTAAATAGGCCAAAACCATACCTCTCTCTACTGTAGGAACTTTTAATCTCTATTAAATGTGACCGATACATTCTTGTACTCGTAAGTTCACATGAACACGGCTGAAGTCAGTAGATCATAAGAGAAAGGGAGCCTCTATAGTGGTAACTCATTCCGATACCATGTCGTAGCAAGAAGATAGTGCGAGTCCAACTCGCCGCCTCCGAGAGGGACCGGCTCTGAGATCCCCGATTGAGCCACTCACTGCAGTTATGTATTGTTCCCGAGGCTGTGCAAATTCAAGGAAGATGTATCAATGAGGGAGAGATACCCTACTAAAAATAGGTGTAGAACGATGCTGGAGGCTTTTATAATTATTTGACCAATTAGCTATAGCTATGTAGCAAAGGGGGCCAGATAGGGTCTTAGGGCGAAATCTAAGCATGTAGATCAATTCCCACCAGAGGTAGTGATAGCCAGATATATACATACAGAGAAGAGTACCCACTGCCAGGATTTTGGCCTCCATCATCTCCAGGGTCTATTTAGAGCGTTGAATATGGTGCCTGGATAGTGCATAAATAAGAGGAAGCAGACCCTTTCCTCCTCTGCAAGAACGCTTGTTTCCACTAGCAGACATCAACCTTCAGCCAAAATGCACTTCCACACCTCCCTTCTGGCCATGGGCCTCTTCGGCTGCCTGGCTCTCTCCCAGGTCATTAGTGTCAGTGACATTAACGGGTGCGTCTTTTTCGCCGGCACCAGTCCAGACGACACTGTCGAGGGCTGCTACGGCAGTTCTGATGTTTTTGGCGCGGTCGACGGCAGCGTCTGTAACGGTAAGTCAGTCATACAATATTCAGCTAGATCGGTACTAATTAGGTACTGCTGCGATAGGGCCCTATGGAACGGAACTCGGTCTCTGTGGTACCCAGACAGACGGAAGTCCCGTTGCAGAAATATCGCTGTCCTCGGTGGATGATGGCCAGATTACGACGATGATTGTCCATATAATGGCCCTTACGTGGTCACGTATTATGATCAGATCAACGATACCCCTGGTGTATATTGCACCATGGATGCCCTGACTATTGGTGCATCATGTACGGCAACTTCTACTCAAACCCCGGTTCCTACACCGGGTTCATATTGATCAGACCATCGGTACCCCCGGGTGTGCTGTACCGGCGATGCCCGGTCGATAGTGCTTTTGTATCTATTATATCTAATAGCATTCTGTCAGGAAACATACTACTTGTTCAAATAATATGTGCCATACACACAGTGGCATCTCGAAAGTCTTACTCAAGACAGTAATTGTCAAATGTGCAATGCGTCAAGGATCCTGTTATTCTATCCACTGCCCCTAACGCCGGTTAACTAGTCGAGCTGATTAAATGATCAGGCTGCCAAGCATTCACATGAATAGGGAAGCGTATACCAGAATCCGCTAGCTTTTGGTATCCCTGGGAGTAATAAAATATACTATATATGGTAGTATCGCGCTAACAGATCGCAGTCCGCATTGCCATTCAGGCATTGATTTCATTCCGTACAAGGTGCAGAGTAAGCTCTCACTAGGATCATGCATTGACCAACGACGCATTGGCCAACGAGATAACAAAATCCAGGGAGCAGACATTGGGTCCCGAGCCCATCCAGAAAAGATAAAAATAAGAAACGCTATATCACCTGTGTTATAAACACATAACAATGCTATTGATCGGAGCAGCGACGCTCGGTCGCCATGGTGCAGAGATCGGAAAAGCACACTGCAAGAAGCTCTCAGAAGGAACTTGCCGACAAGCAGAAAGAGACCGGCGGTCGTCAGACAGGATCTCTTTAAGCATTAGAAAGCTGACATGAGTATGGTACGGAAGGACCTTTCCTATTTTGCAGTTGGCGGTTACAATCGGATAACATAAAAGATGGGACATAACGACATCCCTGATTTTCTACCCTGAGCAACCATGAGTGCTCAGGGAGCAATCCGTGATCACTCAGGAAGCATAAGGAAATATGCCTAGCGTTGTGGCGTAACCGAGGCTCGGCATGCTATGTGTTGTTATTGCTGCGGTTGTTGATCCCGCATTTGCCACTTCCGGGGTTGTGCTCAGACCGTTGGATGTGCTGGGCTAGAAGGCATTTTTCATAAAAAAAAAAAACGTATGCCCAGCCAAAAAAAAAAAATTGCAGCCTTGGATTTCTGGTGGTTGTATTTAAACTGACCACGTCAGCCCGTTTGTTGTTGTAAACCCGCACAAGACACACCACGCTTCCGCCTTTAGTCTCTTTCTTTCTCTCTTAGTCTGGAATTCCCCAACCACCCCCGAGGGGCGAGCCGCACACATACAACACATTCAACCCTCACCATGGCGGGCTCAATGCATCTGTCGCGACTCCGGAACTGGTTCCTCGCCTCGCCGCCCATCGAGTTCGCCATCTCCAGCCTCAAGGAGCTGCTCGTCGGTGCCCTGCGCCAGGGCCCCATCCCGCAACATGTCGCCTTTGTCATGGACGGAAATCGACGGTTTGCGCGATCGCACGGGATCGAGACGGTGGAGGGCCATAATCTGGGATTTGAGGCATTGGCAAGGGTATGGTCACGGAAAAGCTTTGCTATCCCTGGTTGTGTGGCTTGCAGTGGTGGCTGACAATAATATGTGATGACCACAGATCCTCGAGGTCTGCTACAAGAGCGGAGTCAAAGTCGTGACGATATACGCGTTCAGCATCGAAAATTTCAAACGGTCCAAGTTCGAGGTCGATGCGCTGATGGAGATGGCCAAGGTGAAGCTGTCGGAGATGGCCCAACATGGCGACCTGCTCGATCGGTACGGTGCGAGAATTCGCGTTCTGGGCCGGCTCGAGCTGCTCAAGCCTGATGTCCTGGCGGCTGTCAACAAGGCCGTCGAGATGACTAGTCGCAATGGTGACCGCGTCCTCAATATCTGCTTCCCTTATACCTCCCGCGACGAGATCACCGGCGCCATTCGCGATACGGTGGAGGATTACAGCACGCCGCTGTGGGCTACGAAACCGGCTGGCGTTACGGCGCGCGCGCCTTTCTCGGAATCGCATATTGCGTTGAATATCCGGGCGCAGACAACGGGTTCGGGCAAAATACTTGATTCGCATAGTGACTCCGGGTCGACCTCGGAGTCTTCGACGCAGGAGGAGGATCCGATCCTGCGCAACGACCGTTCCCAACGAGTCTACGAGTCCGAGTCCTCCTTTTCGTCCTCTACAACACTGCATCTAGGAGGCCAGCAAGAGGGACAGCATCAACAACAACAGTCCCACAAAAACACATCACAAGCCAACCCTTCCTCCTCCGAAACAGAAAACCCCGTCTATCTTTCCCCCGAGACCATCACCCGCCAAACCCTCTCCGACCACATGCTGACCAAGGGCACTCCACCACTGGACATGCTGATCCGCACATCGGGCGTGGAGCGACTCAGCGACTTCATGCTCTGGCAATGCCACGACAAAACCGAGATCGTGTTTCTGAAGGTGATGTGGCCCGAGTTCGACCTATGGCATTTCCTGCCCGTCATGCTGGCCTGGCAACGGCGCATTTCCAAGTCCCGCCAGAACCCGGACGCCGAAGGCAACTTTGCCGGCGATAGTCCGGAGTCGACGAGTGAGGAGGATTCGGATGCAGTTCTGTTGCGGCAGGGGAAGGTCAAGGCTGTTTAGTCTGGTCTCTGTACCATGTCTACCTATCTTTGTTATCATTAGCATTCCGTGGAGTTCTGTGGTATTCGGGGCTCGTTATGGCCCTCGACTGATTCTATCCTCCGAAGATATCCAACAATAATAATAATGCATTCGTCGACCAGTTCGAACCTGTTGTAGATCTGATTACATACGATGTGAACCCCGATACCGGCCCATGATGACTCACCCACCCACCGCACACGGCGGGGCAAAAGAGAATGCGGGATGAACGGAATTGAACATCTTCTTCCATTATTCTCATCAATCATTCTTCACAATGGCTCCGATTGCTGGTTCCAAGGTTCTGCTGCTGGGCTCGGGTTTCGGTATGCTCTGACGGCCCCAATTGACTGTTCCACATTGGTATATACTAACTTGTTGCAGTCACCAAGCCTACCGTCGAGGTTCTGAGCAAGGCCGACGTCCAGGTTACCGTTGCCTGCCGAACCCTTGAGAGCGCCCAGAAGCTGTGCGAGGGCTTCAAGAACACCAAGGCCATTTCCCTGGATGTGTCCGACGATGCCGCTCTCGACGCTGCCTTGTCCCAGAATGACCTGGCTATTTCCTTGATCCCCTACACCTTCCACGCCTTGGTCATCAAGTCGGCCATTCGTACCAAGAAGCATGTGGTCACAACTTCATACGTCAGCCCGGCGATGATGGAATTGGACGAGGAGTGTAAGAAAGCCGGCATTACGGTGATGAACGAGATTGGTCTGGATCCTGGCCTCGACCACCTGTACGCCGTCAAGACCATCTCGGAGGTTCACGCCGCCGGGGGCAAGATCACGGGCTTCGTGTCCTTCTGCGGTGGTCTCCCTGCCCCCGAGTGCTCGGACAACCCGCTCGGCTACAAGTTCTCTTGGTCCAGCCGCGGCGTGCTCCTGGCCCTGCGCAACGCCGCCAAGATCTACCAGGACGGCAAGCTAGTCAGCATCGACGGGCCGGATCTCATGGCTACTGCCAAGCCGTACTTTATCTACCCCGGATTCGCCTTCGTCGGGTACCCCAACCGCGACTCGACCCCCTTCCGCGAGAAGTACGATATCCCCGAGGCTCAGACCGTCATCCGCGGCACGCTGCGCTACCAGGGTTTCCCTGAGATGATCAAGGTGCTGGTCGACACAGGCTTCCTCAGCGACGAGGCCAACCCCGTCTTCGACAAGCCCATCGCCTGGAAGGAGGCAACCAAGGCCCTACTCGGCGCCACCTCCGCCAGCGAGCAAGATCTGCAGTGGGCTGTGGCCTCCAAGACGGCCTTCCCCAGCAACGACGAGCGCAACCGCCTCCTATCCGGTCTGCGCTGGATCGGCCTCTTCTCCGACGAGCCTATCATCCCGCGCGGCAACCCGCTCGATACCCTCTGCGCTACCCTCGAGAAGAAGATGCAGTATGGGCCCGAGGAGCGCGATCTCGTCATGCTGCAGCACAAGTTCGAGATCGAGAACAAGGATGGCTCGAAGGAGACTCGCACTTCGACTTTGTGCGACTACGGCAACCCCGCTGGGTACTCGGCGATGGCTCGCCTTGTCGGTATTCCTTGCGGTGTGGCTGTTAAGCAGGTTCTTGATGGGACTATCTCCAAGAAGGGTGTCCTTGCGCCGATGACTATGGACATCTGTGCTCCTCTTATCAAGACTCTGAAGGAGGAGTATGGCATTGAGCTGATTGAGCGCACTCTGTAACTGTCAAAAAACCCATAGAATAGGGAGTAGTGATATACAAAAGAGAATGAATCACAAGATCACATTTAACTATGGTCGTCTTGTAAGAAAACGGGTTCTGTGCATTGTTTGCCCAATAATCTACATAACTGCCTGACCTCAGTCGAACAACAAAATCTTGTCCGGTTGAGAAGACCTCTCGGAATCTATACTTTAGTTGGTACACCATTAGGAACAGGTTGGGTTCGGAAAGCTGGTGCGATAACTGGAGAGTGGGCTTATGACAGATGAGCTAGGAAGCTTCAGCGGGAGGTCCTGAGGAAACTAGGCTATGTTAAGCAGGCCATGGGCTAAGTAAAGCCACTAAGCGGCACCGGTACATGTGGAGAGATATCTTAACTATCCTTGAAACATTCTTTCTTCTTGTCTTCATTATCATAAATCACTTTCTTCTATCGTAGCAGCATTGGACCCGTGACCCGGTCCAATGAAGGTTATTGTTATTGCAGACAGGCCAACAAACAACTGCATAGGAAAACAAAAATACAACTCCGGTCAAAAACCAAGCAAAGAGCCGGAATCTGTGGATGAGGATCCGTGTGCGTGTTTGCTATATGTCTTTCTTTCACCCAAGGGAAAGAGACAGCAAGATGGTTGGGGGGTGATGTATGTCGATCTCTGCGACATATGGGTGAGGGAGGGAATGTGGGTAAATGAGTCCGTCTAATACTCTTTGTCTTTGGTTTTTGTATGAAAGAAAGAAAAGACACCAAGTCATGCAGCCAGTAAGAGCTTGCGGAGTCGATCAGAGAATAGTGCCAAACCTATGCCAAGGAAGAGAACGATAAACGTTAGCAACGAGGACCAAGACGAGAAACTGGATGATGCAGTGGATCTGGAAGAAAAAGGCTCGTATTGGCAAAGAGCCGGATGGAACATGGGCAGGGAAGGAAGGAAGGAAGACGTACCCAAAAGTCTGCTTCATGCTGCGGACATAGTACATGTCCCAGTTCTGCTTCGTGACATCCTCCTGGCCAACGGGGACTCCAGACCAAGTGACGCGCATCTGGGTAACGCCATCGACATCGTTCTGGTCAAAGTGAATCTCCAAGGTACTGTAGTGGTCCGCAGGCCACTGAGCCAGACGCCACTTCTGCACCAGATGCTTGGGGGCTCCAGCTTCACGAACTCGCCGGTGACGTTTCCGTCAAAAATCGCGAACTTGCCGCCGGCCTTGGCGCCCTCGAACTGGCGCGGCGGGCTCCGCGTGAACGCAGCAATGCGCTGCGGGTCCGTGAAAGTGTTGTACAGCTCCTCGGCGGTGGTGCGGAACTCGTCGGATGCCGTCACGGTCGTGGTGTTGACGGTGGCTTTGCCGGTGGTCGAGGTGGTTGTCTGGCCGGTGCTGCCGGCGGACTCCTTGGTCGACTGCGGGTGGACCCTTGCGGCGGCGAACCCGCTGGATGGGTTGACGCCAGGAGCGTGTTGCAGGTCCTTGCCGTGCTCGGTAATCAGGGCTGGGCCGAGTTTGGCCAGCGCCTGGCGCAGCTGGGGCACAATTTTAGAGCGCACCAGGTCCTTGACTGGCTGCTTGGAGGAGGCGTCGGCGTGGTTCTCGATCTCGAACTTATCTTCAAGTCAACAATAATCCGGCGAGAGGATTTTAGGGGGAAACATACGACAAACTCATCTTCCTCGGTGTCGTGGGCTACCTCGGGGATGCTAATGGAGCCGGTCACCTCTTCGGCATCGGTGGTCTTGCCTATTGGAATACCTTATTTTAGCTGCCTTGAAGAAAAAACACAAAAACAGCATTGAAATTTGAGTCTACAAACCTGAATATTCTAGTTGCAACTTGACGTCGAACAGGGTGATGACCTTGCCCTTGCGCTGGCTGACATCTACGTCGCCATCCATCGACACCACACGCTCTACTTTGGCCGTCACGCCTCCCTCCTCGGCTGTGATGCAGCACAGGTTCTGCTTCAGGTAATCCTTGGCCCAGCCCGAGGCATCCTTGTTCACCCAGTGCCAGTTATTGGGGTTGTGAAGAACCATGATGATATGATGAAGACAGTTTCTCCTCCGTTGGTTAAATCGGCGGCGTCCAGCTAAATTTCTATAAATCACACAAATCACGCGTTAGCAATGATGTTTTTTCTGTGTTTTCTCGGTAACCGAAAAAAAAAGTGGAATTCACGCGAATGCCACCAGGATCAGGACCAGAAGCGTATTTCCGGACGTAAAAGCTATTCAGCAGTGAAGACGGAGCGAATCCATCAATCTCAGACTGGTGCCAGCTGGTATCTCATCATCTGGGGCAGGCAATTGGTCCCAAGGCCAACCCGAAGGATCGGCCGAGGAGATTGCCGGCAAGGATTGAGTGTGGGAGACGAAAAGAAAGAACAAAACTGAGAGAACTTACAATTTCAGGTTAGTTGAAGAAAGAAAGTCGGGTCAATTGGAGTAAAAAGGGGGGAGAATGCCCTGGAGGGGAGAAAAGAGACAGAGAGAGAAAGGAAGAGAAGGTCTTGGGTGATCGCCACAGAAGACTCTAGAAAGGCCGTCACGTGACCTATATTGATCTAGGAAGCCCGAAGGAGGGAAGCGAACGTGGTGGGATATCGTAGCGGAAAAACCAACAAATTAAAGACATGACGGCATAATACTCGCAGCTACTCCTGCTCCAACTGCTCCATATCCTCCCATCCATCCTCCACCTCCAATTGTTCGCGGACGCGCGCTCGCAGCCCTTGGATCTGGCTGCCCAGCGCCTCCGCCCATTGTCCCTCCACAGTAGCAACTTTATCCTTGAGGTCGGTAGTGAGTGTCAGTTCTTCCTCCGAACTAGTATTCTGCATCTCCCGCTGGATATCCTCAGCCGTATCGCCATGCTGGTAGCGCTCTGCCTCCACGAGATTGCGGTTCGCTCGCATGACAGCTGAGCGCACCTCGTGCAGGAGACAAAGCAGATTCGTCTGCGACTCGATGTATTGGTAGCTTGATTTCTCTGCATGGGACAGCAGCGAGTAGAGGTATTGTAGCGGATGGGCATGGTAGCTCGGGTTCTCCGCGTACTCGGTTGTGGGGATTTGAACCTGGAAGCCTCCCAGACGCTCGGGCACCTGCTGCACTAGAGCAACAAGGGACGGCGCAATGTCCCAGAATGCAGAGAGCTGCACTTCCACGCCACGCACGACGTTCTGCTCGATAGTATCAAGGAAGGTCTCGAAGCGGTCAACGGCCGCGGTCTCGTACTCGACTTTTCGGTTGAGGGCGTCTTGGGAGAAAAACGCCTGCGTCTCACGGATCTTGTCTTCGTTGTTGTTTTGTTTGTATGGCAGTAGCGCAACAGCCTTGTACTTCTCGTCGCGGTCGCTGACCAGATCGTATGCTTCGCGGTGGAGCTGTTCCCGGGCTTCGAACAGCCATTTCAGCTGCGTCAGTTTCTCCAGGAGCTCGGGCTTTTCGTCGCCTTCTCCTTGCGTCTGGTCGGGAGTTTCGTGCTGCGCATCGTCGAATAGCTTGCTACTGAGCTCGTTGATGCAGGCTGTCGCTCGGGCGATACGGTCCGTGAGGATCGTGTGCATCGGGTTGAGCACAATATCTTGATACATATCCAGCTGGCGCTTCTCCAGTTCTCGTTCGCGCTTGTTGTCCTCGACAATCATAGCCGCCTCAGCCTCTGCAGCCTCTGCAAATGTAAGACTGCCCGCCTGGATCTGGCCCTGTATGTTTGACTTGAACTGGCGATGGGCATTCTTGACTTGATCCTGATGCTCCTGGATCATCTTTTCGACATCGACCTGGTATCGCTGTCTGGTGGACTTGATTTCTGAGAGGTCGGTGACCGAGCGTACCGTGGTTCGATAACTGACAAGATCTGGGTGACTATTGTTCACGGCAGGATGATGGCGTGGATATGGTGGAGGGAGAGTAACCAGGCGCGAGATATCAAGTCTCTGGCTTCCCGTCGGTCGTCCACTATAATTCCCGGGCTGTTGTTCATGCCAGTCAGCCTTTTCAGGAGGATATTCATCAGGCCCATAAGCAGCATTGCTGTGGCCCGTGTAGTTTGCCCCTGCATCATCTGGTTTCGAAGGAGTCAATTCCGAATCCCACTGCATAGCCTCGAGAGGCAAGCCCATGTACTTGGACTCGCGTTTGGATCTCTGCACTTTTCTCTCGTTTCCTTCGCCGCTGCTAGATCCAGTCTTCGATTCCCACCAGCGACTAGGCGCGCGGCCCCTGGAGCTCATTTCATCATTGCTCATACTGACAATTGGTGACAAGCACGGTTGGTAGTTATTCCACCACGCTGATTCAGGCCGTCCAGCTCGGTTGGGCGGGATCTCCAATACGGGCGTTGGCTTGGGAGGCTGGCGCGCAGGCGGCGGTACTTCGAAGAGCTGTCTTCGCACCTCATCTATATCCACCGCCTCAGATTCCCAAACTCTGGCGTACCGCTGGCGTCGAATTTGGGACTCGGCAAGAATGAATTCAGAAAAGATCTTTAGAGCCCCCGCTTCGTCTGAGGCATGGGCCTCTTTCTCGACGCAGGCCTTGTATCGTTCTAACGCATCGTTCACAAAGCTAGTATCTTGCTTGATAATTGATTCCAATGACGAGGTCTGGCGCGGTGATTGTTGAGTGATAGGCCGACGAGGCGAAAGGGGCATCATCATCGAGACAGCATCATTGGGCAAATGCAGAATATGAGAAACCGGGCGATCCTCTGCTCCTCGAGATGGCGCACGGGAACGCGGTTGTGCCTCATTGGCAGAATTGAGAGGAGGCGTTGGTAGAGCTTTTGGAGGTAATGACTGAGGCGCTGCCTTCTGGTACGATGATGATGAACCTTCGCCGCCTGGTGAAAATGGAGGTGTATGCGCAAACGCAGCAGTTGGTCCTGCAGATTTCGGCTCCCGTTTGGGAGTAGAGTGGGACGACTGATCAGAGAAGAGGCCGGTGGAGGATGCTCGAGACCGCGATTCAGTCTGCTGCCCTTCCGAGCCAAGGCTGCGAGTGCTTAGCGGTGTGAATCTGGACGATGATTTCGGATGTCGAGTCTGATTTGGGCTTCCACTCGGCTCCGGGAGAACGAGATCAGACGGTCTGATCTGATCCAGGGCGTCCGACCACGGATTGCCGCTGGAGGATACGGCGCTGGATATATCAATGCTTTGGCTTTGTCGGTGACGCCGCTCAATCCGTCGTTCACGAATACCCTTGACGCTCGAGTCGCGGATTGCCGGGCTGCGGAAAAGACCACCACTACCGGGTGTCCGTTGAGACTGTTGTGCCGACTCGCTCGAGTCTGGGTGATCTGTCTGCTCCGGCAACCGAACAGCTCTTGCGGTGTCAATATACAAGGGCTCCTTGTCCCTGTCTGGTCGATTGTTGATATACTCCTCATCCACCCAGTTGGCCGGCGTTGGCGGAATACTTCCCAATCCCGTTCCTAACATCGGCGGTGGTCGAGCTCTGGCCCTCACGGAAGCCTGTGGCGTTCTAGCAGACGACTCTGAGGAGCCACTCACGCTGACCGACCTCGCAGTCGGCGGTGGGCCGGGGGGTGGTGGCGGCAGTGGCATCCCAGGTCCCCAACCACTGTTCGAGGGAGACTCGTTTCTGGTCTGGCTTGCGGACCGCGAAGAACCAGCACTGCTCACCACCGCACCAGCAGAAGCAGCTCTTCGAGACGCAGGGGGACGTATTGCCGGATCTTGTTGGCTCACTGGTCCCGTTGGAGCATGGCTCCGTAATGATGGTGAAGGTTGAGCCTGTTCGTACTGAGCAGCTGAGATTGGCTGTCTAGACATGTGGTTGGATGCGGCAGAATTGTATGGCACAGGCACACTCTGATACGCTTCGACCCGACTATGGGAGATTGATCTATTATTTCCTTGTGGAGGTGGCGGAGGCAATGATTGACGATGGGAGTCGGCATCGGTCATTTGAACCATCGACAGTGGACGGGGCCGAAGAGCAGACCGCCGTTGGTAGTCCGGCGTCAATTCGATGTTGGCTTCTCTCAATTGATTCTGCGCTGGCGATGCTGCCGGAGACGGTGTTGCAAAGTTGGGTTGCCCGTAAGAATCCTGTGACATTCGGTTTTGGTTGCTTGGGGGTGAGTACGGCGGAGGAGGGGGTGATAATGACATCTCTATGAGGATTCTGTTAGTCTCCATTTTGTTGTATGTATACGAGTGTGGAAAAGACGGACCTGTGTGAGTATGCTGCTGTGGCACTATGCGCACCATGTTGTTCATAGGGGGATATGCACCCTGTGCCGAAGCACCACCCACAGGCCCCCAGTCTCGAGGATTATAGGGGACATTGTATGTCGCCGCGTGTCGGGAAGACATTGAAGATGATGACGCAGACCTAGCGTTTCCGGGCGATGAAACGGAGGGCGACTGGCCCTGCAGGAGCGTGAAAGGGCTGGAGAGAGAAGTCGACGACAAGGGAGTCGGGAGGGCACTGTGACCCTGGAATTGAGAGCCACTCAATGCCGTCGTCAATAAAGGTGGCTGAACAGCGTGTTCCCGACGATTCGAGGACCGCTGCGTACTAGAACTGGCAGCTGTCGACGACCAGCCGTGGGAGTGGTGGGAGTTCAACGGCTGCTCGTCGCCTGCATGATTTGAAGCCAGCCAGCTAAGTACAATAATAGGTAGGTCATCAGTACATTTAGATTAGTTAGTCCAGAATAATAGGTCAGCACACCTATTCATATTGAGTGCATCCCTCAGAAGGAGGCCGCGCAAGCCGAGGCCATGGTTGCCGCTGGGGAAGCCAAAAAGAAGAATCCCGACAGCAAAGAGCGGCGCAAAGAAGAAAGGGAAAAAAAGAGCTATTGGCAATTTCCGAATAATACGAGAGGCACGGCACGGGTTTCTATTATTCGCATCAGCTCTTGGCGCACGCGGCGCGCGGAGAGCAAGCCTGTACTGGGAAAGCGAAGTGTACCCTAACGGGCTATAGGGCGAGTTAGTGGGGGCTCAAATGGAGATAGGAACACAACCACATGTCCATTTGAGGGGTCTGAGCAGCTATATTTGGAACAACAAAACTTTCCCATAGTCCTCAGACGCGGCCAGGTGGAGGGTCGGGGGCCGTGATATGCAACTTGGGAATTCTCATCACACACCGCGCCGGGCCCGGCGCCTATCGTCTACGCTGAGAGGTCCAACGCCGGTGTCCCCGCATCAAAGCACATCGAATAGCGATCAGCACCAGGGCCGGATTTAGCAGGGGTAATTAATTTCTGGACAGACCAGGGGGTAGTTGGCACTAAACTACGCCCACCCTGACTGTCGGGCCAGGGACTCGGTGTGAACGGCCAGTCTACAGTTTCTTCGCTTCAAATGCCAGGAACGAATAGGGATGATGGAAATTGTATTGTTTTAGAAGTGATAATCATACTCTCCACCTACAATAGACTTGCAGCTCGGCTAATCAGGATCAAAGCCTGCTGAGATACGAGTTGTAACCTAAACACTTTGGCAAGAATGTCAGTACTCGACACACTAACATATGCGATCGGCAAAAAGCAGTAAAATGAGGGGTGTCAGATAAATGCCTTGTCACAGGCGGTGGTCATCAATTAAAAATTCCTTATGTTGACCGTCGTGATAATATTGAATGTGATTCATCATGGTATGAGGGGGGAGTAAAACCAGCAGAGGGGGAAAAATCAAAACTCACATTAGTGGTAGAAAACAAAGCATATAAGCCTCGTATCAAAGATCTCTATTCATAACCGGTCAGCATCGAGAACTGACTGGACGTTGCAGACACAGGCAGGAGACTCGGGACTGATCAGTCATGACATGTATCGTCTTCGCCGACTGACGTCGGCTAGGACATATGCTTGTCTTTTTGTTGTGTCGATTCATCACGGAAAGATGGAGCCAAAGGAAAGAAAGGACAAGGTCCAACGTACATCTACTTTATAGCATATCTGTAGCAGATTGTCAGCACATGTCATGACAACCGCAATGATGAGAAATTTTCAAAAAAAATAAATGATTCAGGAAAGCATGAATGGTATTAAAAAGAAGGTTGTCTGCATCGAAAACTCGGATAAGACTCGTCATCTAGGGTAATCATCATAAAAGGTGGATGAAATAAAGAAAACAATAAGAAAAAAAAACGCTTACCGTTTGCCCTCGGGGTCTACTATATCTGGGCTGAGATGAGGAACATACTGCCAATCGGAAAGGTCAGTGACTAGTCACATAACCATTTCTCTCTCAAGACCATGAATATCTTGGGGTTGTCTCAGTGGGCGAGGTTTTCTAGGCCTGCCACAAAAAGGGCATATCCATCACGACCGGACGTTGTCCGTCGGAGCCCAGTGCCGCTTCATCTTTGGACGGGTTGAGGATGCGATGATGATGAAATGTTGTTTTGGCTTACCACTCAAAAGCCTCAAGTTCCTAATGGAAATCTTCGCAACGGTTAGCACACGATGCGACAACAAGAGATTGTGTGACAAGATTCAGGTTGAGGTAGAGAGATCAGTTAAGCCATTGGTTATCGTCAACGGCCCGAAAGCCTTGGACGGTAATTTCCAGCGTATATATTAAAAGCGTTCATCATGTAGAATGGGGGGATATGGGAATGATGGGAAGGTGGTCAACTCACGATTTACAAAATTGCCTGGATGCATTATAATAGCATGGGAAGATTAGGTTAGTCCTAGAAGAGCGGGTTAGCTCTGAGCATTGACAGGCAATGTGTGGGTTTTCCAAGGAGAAAGTGCGAGAGTGACAAGCTCAGCCTGACGTGCAAATAACAGAAGTTTCATTCCCCGGAGGGTCAAAGACTCTAGTTTGAAATGGTTATGGGTATCATCATGTTGCTGGGAGGGGGATGGAGGAAGGAAAAGCAGTTGGAACTTACCATAAAATCAAGATATAATGAGAGTTGTCATGTTGAGTGGAAGAGAAGCGAAAACAGAAAAATCAACTTTTTCAAGCTCCCGCCCCGGAACTACATTTTGCCGAGACTAACCCAATCCCGCCCAGCGTTGACACCTAAATGGCCAGGTAAAAAGTTACCTAATAACGAGAGACTCACATGACCCTGTTGCAGACTGGAGGGATTTCATTCTTCCGCGTCGATCCCGACACTCGGGAAGAGTAAGAGACGAAGGATCGAGATTCCGAATAGTAGAGGTGGGAAAAAGAACTTCACAGTTGTCGATATGAGACAGGTCTGGAAATATTGATATCTAAGATAAATCAGACGATCTAGATGACTCTCATATATTACTGTTCTCTCTCCTGTCACTACATTCCCATCATCGAGCGCGACCCACGGGCATTCCCGGTCCACCGGGAAGAAGAAAAACCGGCCGAGGGTCAGGCGGCGGGGAATGACGAAAACCAACGATACCCGGGCTGAGGTCACTGCCCCGCTGCCCGACTATGGCGGGTGACCAGCTTCCAAGTACTTTCATGAGTGCCCCGTGACGTTTAGAGATCCACGACCATCCTTGATCAGTTCCATATAGATCCATTCTTTCCCGACACCCTGAGCCGAGACAAAACTTCTTTCTTCTTCCTCAACATTTCTCTTTCTCCTTCCTCACCATATCTCTTTCTCCCTTCTCACCCATATCATTTCCCGATTAATTCCAAAATGGCCGGCAATGGCAACGGAGCGCCTCCTGTAGGCCAAGAGAATATCAACACCGACATCGTCACACTCACTCGCTTCTTCACCGAAGAGCAGACCAAGTACCCCGAAGCCTCCGGTGATTTCACGTATGTCCCAGCACCAGCTCCCCTACCCCGGCAAATCGCAACTAACCAGTCCATAAACAGACTCCTGTGCCATGCCCTGCAGTTCTCCTTCAAGTCGATCGCCTACTACATCCGGCGCGCGTCGCTGATCAACCTGACGGGTCTAGCCGGCTCGTCCAACACCACAGGCGACGACCAGAAGAAGCTAGACGTGATCGGTAATGACATTTTCATTTCGGCCATGCGTGGCTCCGGGAAATGCCGCATCCTAGTCTCGGAAGAAGAAGAAGAGGTGATCCGGTTCGACGAGCACCCGAACGCGCGCTACGCCGTAGTCTGCGATCCGATCGATGGGTCGTCCAACCTCGACGCCGGTGTGTCTGTGGGCACCATCTTCGGCGTCTTCCAGCTGCCAGACTCCGTGCTGGGTCCCGGCAAGTCCGTGGGCCCGGAGGTGCTGCTCAGCCCGGGCACTGAGCTCGTCGCCTCGGGATTCACCATGTACGGCGCCTCGGCGCAGCTGGTGATCACCATGCGTGGCGGCGGCGTCAATGGCTTCACGCTCGAGAACTCGCTGGGCGAGTTCATCCTCACACACCCCAACATGCAGCTCCCCGCCAAGCGCTCCATCTACTCCGTCAACGAGGGGAACAGCATGTACTGGGACGAGTGGTGCCAGAAGTACTTCCACAGCCTCAAGTTCGGGGGCGAGAAGCCGTACAGCGCGAGGTATATTGGCAGCATGGTGGCGGATGCTTATCGGACTCTGCTGTACGGTGGTATCTTCGCCTACCCGGCGGACTCGAAGAGCCCCAAGGGCAAGCTGCGCATTCTGTACGAGTGTGCGCCCATGGCCATGGTGTTCGAGAACGCTGGCGGTTTGGCGGTCAACTCGCGCATGGAGCGGCTGATGGAGGTTGTTCCGGAGCACATCCACGATCGGAGCGGTGTCTTCCTTGGATCCAAGGATGAGGTCCAGAAGGTTATCGATATGTACAACAAGTACCATAAATAAGCGCCTGGCAGTTTTTGTCTGCTTGAATGAATCATAACTGCTGGACGGAGATGGTGTTCCTATGCTTGATGATTCCACGACAACCTCTTCAACTCGCGGTCTTTTCCTGCATTTTTGCTGAAAATGTAGGACCTGGCCTGCGGTGTATGATCTGTACCTCATCATGGAAATGAAAATGAAAAAAAAAAATGCAAGAAAAAAAACATTAATATGTTCCTGCCGTTCCCTGATCGTAGGAAGACGATAGTACCGTTTTGGAGACATCCACTAGAGATCCTAACATCGGAAACGATAAAAACAATATGTTTATTCTAGACTTTCTTACAGTACACAGAGAAAGAAAATAACCGGGCGAATAAGGGAAGGAATCCCGCCGGGATGCCAAGAGCAATAGATGAATAGAGACATCAGAAAACACAGAGCTCCCTATCTAATCGACAGGGTCTTCCTCCAATAGCGTCTTGAAACTGAACGGCATGAAGGGAATACCTTCGCCCATGAAATGTTTCGACATGGCCTCGACCCAGTGCAGACGAAGAGAGTGGAGCATTGCACTCACACCCTCCATGACTATGAGAACAATCACTGAGAGCACGAACCACATGTAGAAAGTGATGATGATCATGATGACTCGCATGGTGGGGTTTTCCTGTTCGAAGGCGCCGCCGAGAGTCATGGTCCAGAGCACAATAGAGAGCTGCTGGTGCGCGAGAGACAAGGCCCAGAGACGGAGGTAGGAGGCAGTGTGGGAAATGCAGTTGAGACAGAATTCAATGGTGTGGATGACCTGGTGAATCATGACGTCGGCAAAATCGAACTCCTCATGTTCTTCGCCTTCGTTAATGTCTTGGGCAAGCATCGCCACGCCTTCTCCGTCGCTGGCCATGCTGTCACGGAAACCGCCGTCCATTTCGCCCTCATCTTCCAGTGCGCTGACCCGGGATTGTTCTCCAAGTCCCCGGTACCCTAGGGCACGAGCACGGTTGTGCTCCCAGCGGAGATAGAATGGCTTGTAGAAGAGCATCATTGGGACCTGGATAACGGCGACGAGTAGTAAGAGAGTTTGAACAACGGCCTGGCCGGAGTAGAGTTCTTCGTCGACCGTGCCAGGGCTCAAAAACATGAAGATAAGCATGTTGAGCAGACCGGGCGGATTCACGCCTTTCTCCGGCCAGTTCACGAACCATTTGTAGAGGATGGTCATGACGAGGTAGCCGAAGATAGACTGGAAGAAGAGCATGCCGGGGATAAAGTTGCCGATAATATCAACCTTGGACTTGAAATGCCGGGCATTGATGTATTGATAGCAAAGAGCATATGTCATCTGCAACCATCGGTTAGTCAAAGAGCGTACCAAGGAAAAAGGGGTTTACATACGTGAGACCAGCCAAGCACAATACTCATCTTCATCTTCATACTGTTCGAAAACAGCAGGCCATTCTCGGCCTCATGCCAATTCCAGTCCAGACCGATCGGGAAACGGTAACCACCTTTCAGCTTTGCCTCAACCAGTTCACCTTCCTTGAAGTCCTGGGGCCATTGCCACTGACTGGGGAAGAAGGTGAAAGGTTTGGAGAAGATATCGTTGTAGATGAAGCCGGTATACATCGCGAACAGGCCCATCATCAACATGATGTACCGCCCATAGAATGCCATGTACGATATCTCGTCAAGCTTGGTCCGCGCCAACTTCTTCTCCCAGAAAATCAGTGCGACGGCAGTCAATGTCATCAAAAACCCGTGACCGAAATCACCGAACATGATGGCAAACAGGAAAGGGAAGGTGACGACAGTGTACAAGCCGGGGTTGGCTTCAGAGTATTTCGGGATGCCGTAGGCGTTGACAATGGTCTGAAATGCTTCGGTGAACTTGTTCGTTCTGACGAAGGTGGGAGGTGTCTTGTTCGTTCGGATCTGATTGACAATGGTCGGGACAGTAAGGCCCGCCCGGTCGTTGACATCCTGGAGGGTAGACTTGATCAAAGCTAGCGAATTTGTGGGGCACCATGCCTCGGCGATCAGCGTCTTTCGAGCCTGGTCGTAGGAGAATTTGTTCAACGTGTCGTAAACGGCCTTCTCTTTCTTGACGACAATCATCCAAGCCGCGAGGGAACGCGCGATCTGGACGAGTTCTGCATCAAGAGTGTTTTTGGTGTTCCGCAGCACATTGCCCACGTCGCCCAAGCGGGTATTCACTTCGTGAATCTGATCGCGTCGGAGTTCGCTGTTCTCGTCGACACCGTACAGGGAAGCGCCGAGGGACTCGGAGATCTTGCGGATCTTAGCAAGGATGTTCTTGCCATGGGCAAAGATGACGAAAACGCTCTTGTGGATTTCCTCGTTGGTCGTCGGGTCGATAATAGGCTCCGGGATCTCCGACTGGTTCATGTAGAGGTTGCCGCGCAGAGTGCGCCAGAGGATGCGTTCAAAGGCACCAATTCGGTCGCGAGGAATGACGCCAGCAACAAAGCCAATGTTCATCTCGGAGAAACTCTGCTGACCCTGGGTATCGCCGTTGGCACCGCGGCCGCCTTCAACATCCCGCAGTAAAGGAGCTTCATCGTTGTCAAAGGACTGGCGGATGTCCTCGGTGTGGGTATGTGCCCGATCAAAGAAACCACCGGCCTCTCTCAGCACCCAGCGCCACTCCGTAAGCTCGACTTCCCGCTTCTTCAACGTCTCGTAGCTGTCATTGAGGGACGCGACTCGCTGTTCCAGGCTCTCGCTGCGTTCGGCCAACTCGTCAATTTCCGAGGCCAGGGGAGCCGCCAGGGTATCCGAAAATTCCGTGGAAGATCTCATGGGAATGGCAGCCTTGTCCATCTGAGTGTGGAAATAGCCTGAAAGGAGGTCAACAAGCGGTCCTCCAGCAAAGATGGAGTTATATCATACGCAGCTGCCTCTCGACATTGTCCAATCGACGAATCTCCTTGGTGAAAGTTCTCTGGAAAGCGTTGGTGTCCGGGTTAAGCTGGCAAGTATGGCAAGTCAGTGGGGGCGAGCCCAGGCAACATGAAGGGACAACCATGGACTCACATCTCTGAACTGGACTTGGCCAACTTCACCCAGGGCGCTGACGACCTCTCTTCCGATCTCGTTGGCAATATAGAGCTGGGTCAAGCTCATGTCCGCCGAGCGGAAGAAGGTATCACGCTTCGCCATGATGGTTCAGGAGGCTGCCTGTAGCCGTGTCCTTCCACCAGGGAGAGGGGGAAATAAGGGGGAAAAAAAGCTGAAAGGAACGACTTGAGAGTTGATACTTGGTAAAGAAGGGACACAGACGACTGAACGCCTCTGTTGTGAAGAGATCCCGCCAAAAACGTTACTCCGTGGTCAGTCTTTCGGGTCTGGTTGACCTGGCCGCATGTCTGGTCACGTGTGATCATGTGATCCTTAGATGACGTTGATCTCGACGAGTATACAGCAATACTGATATTAGTGGACGTTTAATATTTTCCGATGGTGGAAAGAGTATATACTGCACAGCCCCAAATTGATTATCTGCACTGGTTGGAAAATCAGGACAAATGTACCTTATTGAAAAAGAAATGCGACTTATCTGCTCAACATATGCAAAAGATAGAGACATTGTAGGGTGATTTGCATCTGAATTTACATTCAATCCATATCTACCAAACCGATAATCTAGACAATAATGGAACAGAAAAGAGGTGGGCTCATACGCCTCCTGAGCAGTACTACTAAGTAGACCAGCCGGAACGGGCATTAGGGCAAAGTCCTTTCTGCCCTGGGCGGGTCGAATAATAATTAATACCCCGCCGTGCGGCCACACTTCTCTCCTTCCTTTCTCTGATTTCCCTCAATTAATCACCTTTTGTTAACTCCCTCTACTCCTCCTTCTTGCTATTATTTTGAAGACAAGAATTTCCCCTACTAGAGCCACGATTGACCTCGATCACCTGGCCCGCACCACAATTATGACTAAGACAGATCAGCGAGGGCGGTAGAATTCTGCCAGCGGGAGTGGATATAATTCACTTTAAGGATTCCCCTGTGTCCTTCGGGACATTTGGTCAAATGAAAATATACAGAGAAGATTAGCATGGCCCCTGCACTAAGGATGACACGCTCAATCAAAGAGAAGCTACCAGTTTTTTTTTTCTTTACACGATGATATTTGAGGTAGGGTGTCATCGTCGCTTTTTTTGTATGTGGAATAGGCGAAGGTGGCGGCAGTTCGAATCGGAGATGGGTACCGTTATAGGTTTTTTTTTTTTTTTTTTTTTTTTTTTTTTTTGAAATCAATGACAGGAACCTCAGCTATGACATTACTTCCTCGTTACTATCTTACTCTGATGCATTGATCTGGCAAAGTATCAACATCTCTTCGACGAATCTTGTAGTAGTTCAATTCTGTACATGGCAACTATCAAATCCAACTACTCATATAATCATAGTTCGCGAAGAGAAAGAAGTGAGAAAAACAATCAATTGTTTCCCCAGTCACTCTCCCACGGCGGACCATACTCCGTGTTCAAAGACTGTATCCACGTCCACGACCCTTTGGACCCCTGCATCCAGTTAGTTGGCATGGGCCGAAACTCCAGCCCGCGCTGGATCTCATCGGCACGAAACTCCTTGGTATGGACGAAATAGATCTGCGACTGAGAGTTTTGCTCTAGTTCTTTGGAGTTTTCTTCCCACGTGGGATGCAGGTTGAGTTTGATCATTTGGTGTCCGTATGTCAGGGTCGAGAGATGGAGGCGTTTGAGCGGCGGAATCTTGCGGCTGACGAGGTGCTCGAAGATGGCATTCCATGCCTCTTCAGATGTGAGGCATATTTGGTTCATGGTGAGATCGGTGATCTGCGGGTGATTTGACAGGAACTGGAGAAGGGAGTCTCCGCTGGCGGTGATGCCTCGTAAACTACATTTTTGAAGTAAGGGAAGTCGGGTTTCTTTTGCGATGGATTCGAACATCCCATGGTAGAGAGTGACGGGGTGAAACAGTGTGTTGTAGAGGTGGATCTCGAGTGCTTTGAGATTCGGCGTGAAGCTCAGAAACCGCGCAAGTCCGCCAAAATCCTCCACCTCGAGGACTTGCTCTTCGCCCAGTGCTGCGATGGACGCCACGGCTGATGAAACCTCATGACATGCCAGGGGGGTGCGGGGCGGACGCTCCGTTGCTCCGGTTGGGACCTTGGTCGAGATACTAAGCGCAAGGTCCTCGACGGATTTGCCTGCGTCCTTGAAACCGGGCAGATCACGCATTGCACGGTTGGTGGCAATGTCGTATAGTGGGACACTGCAGCGCGGTGTCTTTTGGTATACGGTTAGAGCCTTCGGTGCTACACCACTCTGGGCAATAGCTTCTATAGTGATGCAGTAGACGCGCGCAGCGCGCATCCAGACCGGGTACCATTTGGCGCGGGAATTCTCGGTGTTCCTTGTCTCGTCACGGGCCTGGACTAGGATAGCCTCAAGGTCTATCCGGTCAAGCTGGCCGATATGTTTGAGACTAGTGGCCAGAGATTTAACTACCTCGTCATATGACCATTCATCTTGGCGTTGTTGCTGAGCGTGCAGCCATGCCAAATTGATATCGGCTTCAGCGAGCACTTCGCGGCTGCAACCCGAGGGAGTTGGACTGCCATCGGGTAAATTGTGGCCCCATGTATCTATAACTTTCCGCTGCCGGGTCTGATCATAGACCGTGGCCATAATTTTCAGGCTTTTGGCAGCGGGTCCTAGTTCAGGGTGCACGGCCAGCTGTCGAAATGATTGAAGACCCAATTTGGTCAGTTCAACTGTTTGATGGCTGACGAAGGTTTTAAACCTAAGGCCGGTGCATCTTGCACAGAGATTCTGGCTGCTCAGACGCAAAGCTTTGAGGGTGTCGAGGTCGAGATACTTCATGATCTCCTCCACACACTCCGGTGGCAGCGAGCTCAGGGTCAATGGTGCACCCCGAGCCATGGTTTGCAGACAATCGATTCTCCTAGGACTGGAGAGCTATCAACCTGGTAAGTAAGTGGAGTGAGTTCGTTTTCGCTTGATGCTTGTGTGCTGTTAGCACGTCAGGGCGGGGTTATCGTGGAGATATATATTGAAGCTGAGCACAAGGCCAAGCCACGAGCTAACTAGCGAACCACAAACCCCAGCCAAAGTACTTCTCAGACCGATGCTAGCTAGATGGAACTTGATCTCTCTAAATTTCCCATAACCCCACAATGCCAGATATTCTCCTTTCGCGGCATGTCCATATCGAAAAGCACCACCGTATCCCCCTCTGCCTCAACCTCATCGTAAACACGAAAGCCATTCTTCAGCAACACCTTCATACTCCCTACATTCTCCTTATTACAAGCAGCGAATAGCTTCTCCCCCTCAGCGCCAGCGCCAATAGTAGTAGTGTCCCGAGGTACAATTCTCTCAAGATTTGACCACGCTTCCACGAGACCCCCAACAGCCTCACTGGCATATCCCATCCCCCAGAAATCCGGATTCATCCCGAACCCCACGGATGGACTCGGGAGCAGAGAATTGATGCCCACTGCGCCGATAACCGTCTGGTCGGGGTCATCGGCTCGAATGCACGCGAAGAGGAACCGTCGACCTGTGGCGCCCGAGGCCTCTGGGTCTGTGAAGGTTTTGCTGGCGATGTAATCTTCGGTTTGTTTGATTTCTGTGTGAGGGACTTTGGGCCATCTGTATTAGGTGTTACTTTGTATTAGCAAGTGTATAGGTATAGATCAGTATTATCCGCCGGGGTATACGGGTGCGAACCCACGGAAGGCTCCGTGCTTACAAAAAATTAGCCACCTCTTGACGGCGTCGATATTCGAATATTGCAGGCGCATCGCTTTTCTGCGCGAGTCGTAGAATCAGGCGTTTTGTACGGACTGGGGTGATATCAGCGGGGATTATCACCCTCACGGGCTGAGCGGGATAGAAGCTCATTGGAAAGAGTTGTGGGGTGGAGGGGTAGGTATTTTCCCTCTGAAGGCGTGGATGAGGTTTAGACACCCTGGCCGATATGCCTTGGTCCGAGAAATCGTCAAGTTTATTGTATTTGACAGAGTTGCAAAGGAATAATTCTCAATCTCACCCTCGTTGACTCATAGGCCGTCAGCCCCATATCGGGCGCCTTGACTGGTGGTAGAGAGGCAAAAAGACGATGAGTGATAGGGTGTCTACGAATAGATTTGTTGAGATACTTAGAGGGAACAGTCTCTAGATCTATATTTTTGCTCATAATGGGAACTTGCCCCAGATCCATGTGAATGCATCTTGCAACCAAGTGCTCAGCATCTATATTCTGGCATAGTAACTATCCATTCCATCAAAGTATTTACCTAGAACCTCAACCCGTACCATATCATATCATACACCAAACCCACAACCATTGCGTAAACCGTTTTACCCTTCCAGCATCACCATTGAAAGAGTACGTACACACCGACAACAGTATAACCACCCTCGACGGCACTCACCAACCCAACAACTCACGCACCCCCCTCCCTCTTAGCATACTCATCCTCCATCCTCTCCTCATAGAGCCGATCAGCCTCCTCCTTGCTCATTGCGCGTTCACTCTCCGCATTCTGTGACGAATCGGACCCCGGTGCGCTGACGGTGCCGCCCGTCCCAGTCCCGAGCTGGCGACCGCTGCTGCTGTTGTTTCCGCTGGCGGAGAGTGTATCGAGAGAGGCGTAGCCTGCTGAGCCGGCTGGGCGCGCTGTTGAGTTGGCCTGGGTCTCCTTGTCGAGGTGGGAGGCTGTTGGGATGGGCATTTCGAATGGTGGAGAGGTAACGTCAAGCAAGATGAGTGACTGATGTTGCTGGGATGAGCTGTAGATTTAAATGTAGTAGTAGTGGTAGTAGTCGTGTGTGTATGTATCCTGGACTGGTAAAGTGGTGAGGTTATAAGGAGGTTGTTGAGTTGGGGTCGTCGCCACAGGTGGTGTGGCGACTGCGTTTAGAGTCACGTCATGCCAAAGCAGCCAGGTCTAGTTGCCACGCTGATTGTCAGTAGGAATGGAAAGTAGTTCTTTCAATGCGTGACCTGAATCGAATCTGTTGGACTGGAGGGCAGTGGTAATGTTATCGACGGGGCAGACTGGTGGACAGACACTTCGGGATATCATCAACAAGGGATAAGCAACCAGCTCTAGAGCAAGCTGACTGCTCTACACCAAACGCAGCAACCTGCCGCGTACGCAACAAGGGAAAGGAAAACCCTTTAATTCTACAACCAGGCTACACACTACAATGCTCAACTACCTACTCATCTCTTCTCCAACATCGAGCCACTGGCCCAAACATTGATGAAAAGAAAGGTCCACAGAGTGGAATGAGAGTGCCAAAGAATACGCCTGTCAATGACCCGAAGGCCGTTGAACAGACTGTTCCGCCGCGCTGTGCAATGCAGGGACCAATCTGTGGTGGACCGCCTTCATGATCGCAGCCACCCAAACAAGGTAAGTATGAAGAAGAAAAGAAAAAAGAAGAGGAAAAGATGTTGGGCGGGAAGCCTTTTTATAGGGGGGCGAAGACGGCGCTAGCGTAAGCGAGACCGGGACGGTCATGTGAGTTGGTATGAGTCAGCTGACCAGGGATGGAATGTTTACATTTGGGACCAGGGAAAAGGTTCGATTAGTTACTTGCTAGCCAAACAGTTCCATGCGATTCGATGGTTGTGTGCGCTCTCGATTGGCTCTCCTGGCCAGCCACCAAACAGGCCCGGCGCGAGCTTGTGTGGAGCCTCCCCCTTTTTTGCTTTTTTTTTTTTTTTTTTTTTTGGTTTCATTTCGACAGTAGCACAAGTCGGCAGAAGGCCGCCGGCCGTATGCCTCGAAGAGACAAGCGTCGGATAACTAGCGCTACGGTGCGGCAAGAGGGCTCATCCTCATCAAAGTGTGCCATGGTTAAAGGAGGTCTAGATGGCCAGGCTAGTGAGCGCTAGAACGATGGAGCCCCTTTCGGCAGACCTAGACAGGGGAAAGGAAATGATGATGTAGGTACCAACAGGGGTACATCAAAGGACTTGATTATTTTCCCCTGCGCTGTCACGGTACACTAACTACTACTGTACTCGGTGGACACCTACCTCTTGAGTGAAGATATGCAAAATCTGCCTGCCATAATATAGTTAGAAGGATCGCTTCCTGTTTTGTCGATACCCTGCTCGTGGCCGTTCCGGCCGCATGGCAATTGCAGCGCTAACAAGTAACTAAGTCACGCCATCGTGCCGAGCAAAGATCATCGACAGTTGATCGACGCTGGCATTGGTCCATTGGCTGGAAGTCACGAGGCTGGCCCCAACTGGTGAAAAAGGGAGTCGGGAAAAGGGGTTGTGATAGGGTGCAATTGGTTGCCGGCCGGGAGTGGATCGGCCGGTTGGCCTATCATTACTGGAAATGTTCCGAAGGTCGCATTATTGATTATCTTCTATCGCTGCTGAATTCTTTTCTGGGCTTCTGATAGACTGATAGACTACTGTTGACGGCGTAGAGCTGAGCTCTAGCGTGAACCATGGGAACAGTGCAGAACAGCTATGGACCATGGTACCCGGACTAAGGAGCTACAACCCTGGCATGTAGCAGCGCAGCGCAGAAGTTAGTTAGGGCTAGCCACTCGTAACTCTCCGACACGGGACCGCAGACTAGTTTCTTGCAAGTGGGTCGCGGCCATTGTGCTTTGCAGTTCTAGACAAGGAGCCGCCTAGACCCAAGGAAAAAAGGGGCTTAATTAGGGGGAATTTAGAGTCACTCTAGTGTTTTGGGCGGGACCCCACGAGCGAGTCGGGATACTGAAATGGGTACAAACGGAAAAAGATGGAACTCCGGGTTGCAAACGTACGTTTGAGAAAAAGAAAGGCAAAAAGTTTGTGTCATCGATACGAACATCATGCCGGTCTACGATCGCGGGCGGGGGATCCAACCGTGGAAATGGGCGGTGATACGTCCAGATCGCATATTACGTGCCTATCGTTGCGAAGAGCGAAAGAGGGGTTGCGACAATCAGAGCTGGTCGGTGGCGAGCACACAGGGTTTGTACACGGACGCCACTCGACCATGATATCAGATAGCGGTGGTCATGGGGTCGGTGAGGTGGTTCAGCAGGGGTATGTTTGAGGAGAGGAGAGTGACTATTATTTCCCAAGGGATCGACTATTGCCGTGACGAGGGGGCCAGAAATCTGCAGGACAGGACGGGCTTCTGTTCTCCGCATAGAGTTCTCGTGTCTCGCTGAGACAAGTGTCACCGCCAGTGATACAGGCGATAGTTATCGAGAATTGTCCTTAATTTGCTGCTGTCAAACCGGCAAGGGGATCCGAGCTGCCGCAAATTACTGACGATCTCAGCTGCATCGCCGATCACAGGAGCATGGTGGGAGGGACCCGGTAGAATCCTGCTGGGATTGGATTGTTCGGGCCAAGCCAGTGCCGGGTTGGGTTGGGAAGTTACCCATCATTAAGTATTCCCTGGCAGAGGGCGCCACACAGAGGGTTCTATCTTTGCCCACCGAATATTGAATGTCGTAGCTAGTAGCGGAGGGGTTTCACAGAATGGACTCCCAAGGTCTGGACGGGTGGTACATGTATACATGAACCCGAACAGAACCCCCTGAAGGGCATTAGCTAAGCCGACCCACCAGTCTCCCTGCAGCTCTTTACCCCTTCGGGCGCCATCAACAAGCGCTGGACTTTTTCTTTCCTTCTTTTCCCTTCCGCTCTCCCTTTTCCCTTTTTCTCTTTCTTTTTCCCCTCTCCATCCCACCTGCAAAGCAAAAAAATTATACCCCCTCCCCTTTCCCTTTCCTAACTTCGTTGTGATACCCCGAGCTACTCTTGCCTAGTGCTTGAAGCTCCTTTTTCTTTGCTTTCCTTTGAGATACCCCAAGATACCCCCCAAACCCGCTTTCTTGATACCCTAATACACCGTCTTTCGGTCTAATCACCTTTAATATCACCATGTCTGACACCAAGCCTGTTGAGGAGACCCCCGTGGTCGCTCCTGCTGCTGAGACTGCCGTCGAGACCCCCGCGGAGACTACCGCTGAGGCTCCCAAGGAGACCGCCGAGCCGGCCGCTGAGGAGACCACCGCCACCCCAGCGGTTGAGAGCACCGAGGCTGCGGCTGAGCCCGCCAAGGAGGAGGCCAAGGAGGTGACTCCCGCCAGCGAGGGCACCCTGGGCTACAAGGCCCCCGGTCTCGTCAAGTAAGTGGAAAAAATTTCCTTTGCGGAAATCGCGCCAGTGAGGGCAAGAACTAATACGATGATTTCCAAATAGGGGCCTCCGCTTCTCTAAGCGCTTCTTCTACTTCAGCGACGACGCTGTTGAGAGCAAGAACCTGACGGTCTTCCACCAGAACGAGAAGCCCGCGACCGCCAACCCCACCGCTGCCTGGGCCAGCCAGACCGGCAAGGGTCTGTTGTTCTTCACCAAGCGCGCGGAGGACAAGGCCACTCCCGCCGGCATCTTCAACCTGGTAAGATTTGCATTGGTTTGAGCGCGGTTGATTGCGAACTGACGGAATTTTTAGTCCGATGTCACCGACATCAGCAAGGATGGCGTGAACGAGTTCCTGTTCAAGGTCAACGGCCAGAAGTACACCTTCCAGGCCGCTACCGGCGCCGAGCGTGACAGCTGGATTGCTGCCCTCGAGGCCAAGTCTACCGAGGCCAAGGCCGAGAAGGAGACCATCACCTCCAGCGAGGGCTACAAGGCTGAGCTCGAGAAGCTGACCAAGCCTGCCGTGGCCGCCGTCGCTGTCAAGAAGCCTGCCGAGAAGCCCGCCGAGGCCAAGGAGGAGGCTGCTGCCGAGGACAAGAAGGAAGAGAAGAAGGAGGAGAAGAAGGACACTGCCAAGAGCCGCTCGCAGTCTCGCAAGCGTGCCAGCATCTTCGGCTCCCTGCTCGGCAAGAAGGACGAGACTGCTGAGGAGAAGAAGGAGGAGAAGAAGGATGACAAGCCCGAGGGTGAGGAGGCCGCCGCCGCCGCCGAGCCTGCCGCTGAGGCTGAGGCTGCTGCTGAGCCCACCGCTGAGACCGCCGCCGAGCCCGCCGCCGCCGCCGAGACCACCGAGGGTATGTTTATGATGCATTTTTGATCCCGAGAAACAGATTCTGACATTTCCCCTAGCTGCTACTGAGGCTCCCAAGGAGGAGAAGAAGGACGAGGAGAAGAAGGAGGAGAAGAAGGCCAAGCGCGCTTCCATCTTCGGCAACTTCTTCCAGAAGGTCACCAGCCCTTCGACCGAGAAGTCCGAGAAGGAGGCCGCTGCCCCCGCTGAGGATAACGCTGTTTCCAGCACTGCTCCCCAGCTCGAGCACCCCGTCGAGGGCGCTGCTGGCACCCCCATCGAGCCTGAGAGCGTGACTGCCCCGGCCGACGCTGAGGCCGCCAAGGACGCCGCTGCTCCCGCTGAGGCGGAGACTCCCGTCTCTCCCGCTACCAAGGAGAAGCGCCGCACGTCCTTCTTCGGCTCTCTGGGTGTCAAGAAGGAGAAGAAGGCTGACACCTCCGACAACGAGGCTACCACTGATGGCGAGACCAAGGAGAAGGCCAAGTCCTCCAAGCTGGGTGGTATCTTCCGCAAGCCCAGCAAGGCCGTGAAGCTCGAGAAGGGCGAGGCTGCTGCTACCGAGACCGAGACCAAGGCCGCTGAGACCACCGAGACCGCTGCCGAGCCTGCTGCCACCGAAGAGGCCCCCGCTGCCACCACCGAGGAGACCCCCAAGGCTGTTGAGACCACCACCGCCGAGGAGGCCAACAACGTCAACGTCGCTGCCTCGACCCCGGTCCAGGCTGCTGCTTGAATAGCAACGCCGCGGAGACGGGTCGTCGAGTTTGAACGGTGGTGGGACTTGTCCTACCAGTCGCCAACTCGCGGTCGTCTAGATGGGCTCGGTTCCTCGACTTGAGTCGCAATGGTGTGGAAACACACGAATCTACACCCGTTCGCTTCGGTTGCTTGTTTGCTTTGCCTCGTCACGGCCACTTTTTCTCAGTCCTCCCTTGCGAGTCTGAGCGAATAATGGCACAGAGATACCCGCTGTCGCTTTTTCTTTTGCATCAACCCAAAACCTTAAACCCTCGAAAAAACAGTCCTTGTCGCCAGCAGTTTTTCCTCAGCTGCTTCCGTTCCTTTCATTTTGACGATCTGCGTCTCGCAACCGTGACTCGAGCGCGACGTGTTTATGCGTTACGTGCGTGTGTCGCCTGACTAGATTGATACCACTGCTTTTCTTGTTCTTGTTCTTGTTCTTGCTGCTTTTCCTGTTCGATACCCTGCAGGGAGGAAGGGTGTGCGATTTGCTTGTTGCTCGGTTCTGTTCTTCTTAGGTCGTTCCGCTCAACTCAAATTGGCCCTCTTTAATGTTGTCTACCCCGTTGTGCCTGCCTGTCTTGCGCGTGGTTACTTTTTTCTTGTCTGGGTGGCCCCGTAAGTGTGGCTTACACCGCGATAGGTAATACTTAATAGAATCTTCTCCGTTTTCGATTACTGCTGTTTATTGTAGCCGTACTTAGCCTACGTGTTGTATGTAGCCTATACTGGTTCAAGATGGAAGACCTCGTAGCATCATTCCAGTCAAGGGAACAGCCGTACGAGTTACAGTTGATGAGTGATGTGATGGAATTGCGTTTAGTTAGTTAATTACATACCCTTCATGCAACCACTTCAAAGACGTGGCACCTCTATAGACCTGGCGCCCTCTCTGCCTTTCCCTCCATTTCACTCCCTTTCCTTCCCCTTTTCTTTTCCCCTTCCATTAGTGTCAACATTCCCGGAATCTATTTCTGAAGCGCCATCTTAAGATGCTTAAACTTCTGAGAAACCTGAATAGCAGCCTTAGCTACGCCCTCCGAAACAAGCATACGAACCATCTCGTCCCATGCATTGGTGATGCGCTTCCTCTCCGAGCTCCAAATTCCACCCTCTTTACTCGCATCAAGCCCTAAATGATGGCCCTGTGCCGCTGCGTAAAGCGAATCTCTGCTCGGGAAACTCAGATTGACGATCATTTTGTCGCCAGTTTGCATTCCAATACCGCCCACCAGACATATCTTCAGCGCCGCGGCTGCTTTGTCGCCCCCGTGGCCGCCGTAACTGATAATGATAGCTGGCTTCCCCTTCCATTCGTGGTATAGGAAGTCGATTGCGTTTTTGAGGCCCGCTGGTATCCCCCAGTTGTATTGCGGGGTCACGAAGATGAACACGTCGAGCGAGGCCACTCTTCGTGACCATTTGCGTGTGTGCTCATGAACATAGCCCTCGGATGGTGTTGTCTTGGATGGGATGCCCGGCTCATCGTAGAATGGCAATTCTAGGGCACTGATATCGATGTAGTCAAAGTCGAATGAAAGATTGTCTTTTCCAGTAGCACTAGCAGAACTTGAGTGAAGCTGAACTGTTTCGAGCACGAACTTTGTGATTTGGTCTCCAACGCGCGGCTTACGTTGGCTGCCGCAGATGATGCCGACCCGAAAAGCTTTTTGGGGGGGACGAGGTAGTCATTCAAAAAGAATCCGTGGATGATAGAATGTCTGTTGGGTTTTTTTAAAAATCAATTGTAACCTGCAAAGCACCGCCAAAGTAGAGAAATCCACGACTTAAATATAGGCAGGTTGAACTACAATAGGAAGAAAAAGCCACGGAATTCCGCGGGACGATTACTTAATTAGGCTAGTCTTTATCCGTTGGTGCATCCTTTCTAATTGTCCATATGGCAAGAGCCGTAGCCGAGTGCTTTTACTTCATTATGCCCGAGATGAACGCTGAGAATCACTTCAGATTCTCTAATGACTGTCTTAAACCTCATTGTTGTTGGCTATAAACGGCAACCCTCCATGTACGCGCATTTTTGTGTGTTTCCTAATTTGAGTGTTGCGTTTTGTGCTTTTACCTATTTTGGGTAGTCGATAAATTTTGTGCAACTCCCAGTTTGCTAAAACAACTCCCTCCCAATCACTGTCATGCCCACTGATCTAGGGGCGGTGTGCAAGTTGCAGACAGTCAACCATTCGACAGGACCAACGGACAGCTTGGGGCGCGGCATACCCACTAGACGAGCTGGGGCTTGCATTTTGATCACAAATGCATGCATACTTGGATGAAGGGACAAATTCTGCCCAATCGTTCCAGACTTCGATCCTTGCTTTGCGTGCTCGAGGTGACGTGGGTGCTACCCAAAATGCACGACTAAACCTGGTACGCTTCAGTGAAACCATACCCCGCCGTTCTGCAGGTGTTTTCATGAGTGCCACACTCTTCAGCATCCACAGCTTATTTCTTGGGAACATATGTGCATTAGGATGTATTCTCCGGTAAGATACAATTTGCTAGTGTTGTCAATCCCCTTATACCCGCGACGACCTTTCAGCTAGCGACTGCGCGATGATATCACAAGATGAGCAACGTACATAACGGTGGCTGGCTGAAGAGCTGGCTGAAGCTGAACATCCACCATAGCCGATCGTTACTAGCTAGGATCTCCAAATATCTGGCTATAAATACCGTGTCTGTGCCACGTAACTACCGCTCTATGAACCTGAGCCTTTTTTTTCGACCATCTTCCTCTGATACTTCCCTAGTTTGAAGCACAACCTATCATCACTATGGCCCTCCAACGGGTTGAAGAGTACGTGCCCTCTACTAATCCAAATTCTTCCACTCTGCCATAGGCGGCACACTTATAACACACCTTTTTTATAGCGTCGGTGAGCTCCTTCAAGCCATTGATACCGGCAAACCTACCATTGTCCATTACTGGGCTCCCTGGCAAGGCCCCGTCTCGCCTCTGACTCCGATGCTTGAGGGGGAAGCAGAAAAGGCTGCCGGCCCAGTCGATTTCTATCTTGTCGAAAACGAAAACTTTCATCCTAGCCTCAGCCCAGATGAGTTGCCTCTGACGGTCTTCTATGTTGGCGGCGACGAGGTGGACAGAGCCCCGTCCGACTTCGGTCCGACTTTGGATCTTATCCGGAGAGCATGCAACTAGGCAGTCGAGGTCATGTGATGATTTGATGCGACGGACTCAAGTTGTTGTGGCTTTCCTAGACAGATCAATTGGATAAAGATTGATCTATAGTCTGAGTAGGACAATTATACATTTGAAATGGAATGTATTCCAAGGTTAAGAAATAGCAAGACATCCACATCCACAAATATGCTCATTGCTTCCTCACATCGTAAGTATTGCTCTGCCACCCCACAGGTGTTTTCAGCAGATGAGGACCAGTAGATATCTCATAGATATGCTACCCCTGTATAATATTTTTCTCAGGCTCTCACCTTTCCAAGACTGTGTAATATCCGCGGACAATTATCTAGACCAGGCAGGCTGTTTCTTATGTTGGAGTCACTTAGTATGGAGTCAATATTTTACAAGGGCCGTGGAGTTGTTTTGATGAGCTGGCTGCGTCCCGGACTTTTACGATCAGGTTAAAAGTTGGAGAATGTTGTAAGTATCCATCGCGCCGGTGATCTGCAGGCTGTTTCCTGCCTCACAAGTGACGTGGTTTCAGGCGTAGGCTTTTGGCTTTTGGTCCTGGTTGTTTCGCTTGAGGTACCCAGGAGTGGGTCCGTAATACCCTAACGCATACATCTACGTAGCACATCTTGCTATACTTGCGTGCTGTTTGATTACAGTCGACTTATGACGTTACTTCTCACGAATCATAGAAGATATGTGTATTTGGATTTAATCAAAAAACCTCGCCTTCAATCTAGGAGTTGCATCTGCCATCACATTGCCTTATTTCCCTTCCGCAGCCGCGGCCTTCGCCTTATCATCAATGGTCTTAGCAATAGCCGGGCGAGCCTTGATACGGTTCAACCAGGAATTAACATGCGGAAACTTCTTCTCGAGATCCATTTCGTTTGACCAGAAGAGCGCAGCCACCTCGAACCACGGCACAAAAGCAGCATCGACATAGCTATACTTGCCGCCAACGAGGTACTCCTTGTTCTGGAGCGATCGGTTGAGCACGCCCGAAACACGACGGATCTCGTTGACGTAGCGCTCGACCGCACTAGGTACCTTCTCGGGGTGATAGACCGTAAACCAGGTGGCCTGCCCGAAGTACGGTCCCTGGCCGGACATCTGGTAGTGTAGCCACTGCTTGCTTTCGTAGTACTCCTTTGAGCCGGCGGTGAAGCTAATGGCGTGTTGCTTGTCGTATGTGTCTACCAAGTACTCGAGGATGGCGCCGGATTCCCAGATAGTGATGCCGGTGTTCGGATCCTCGAGTGCGGGAACACGACCGTTAGGATTGATAGACTCATAGGGTTCCTTCTTTAGGTCGCCGAGATCGACCAACTTGAGCTCGTAGGGAACCTTGAGCTCTTCCAGGATCATGAGGACCTTCCAGGGGTTGGGAGTGCCGGCATGGCCCCGGAGGGTCCAGAGAGTGAGCGTTTTGAGAGACATGGCGATTGATTGATTGATTGATTGGGAGAAGTAGAGTTCGATACAGAGACTACAAGGATCGAGGGTTGGTCTGCTTAAAAGTACTTCAATGGTGGGTACATCAGGATATGGATTATTCAATTCGGCACCCGAGAAACCGAAGGCTTGATAAGCTGGATAGTTAATTGTCTCTTGTAAGTTTCATCAGCGTTTACTGGGTCTTGGTTATCAACACAAACCCCGGACTATGCAGCCAACCCGCCTGGACTCTCGGGACGTTGATTGGTCCTTAGTCATCAACACAAACGGCACAAACTGATGCAAACAAAACTTTGTTTGGAGTGGGGGGATTAATAATTGCAAAGCGTAGCGAACCATTGGTCCTTGTTCATCAGCACAAACAGCACAAACAGCATAAACTATGATACAAACAAAACTTTCATGCGGCATTAGTCAAACGATTCGAGCGGCGACAATCCTGCCCGTGATATTCATAATTAGCAGGAGCGGGGCTCTCGTAGATAGAACAATTTTGTTTTCCAGCTTTTTATAACTTGATGATTTATAATAGCATCTATTTAATATATAAATTTAATATTAGCGGTTCCATATGGTCAAGTCTGTCTGTCGTATATATAAAACATAGCTTCTTGCCAGTCCAAGTTCGGGACTAGCTGTATGATCCTTTACTTCGATAGCTTTCTTTGCTAATTTTCTGGATATGTCGGCCGACACACTCTCACTTGCAGGAAAGACTGCTTTGGTTACAGGCTCTGGCAGAGAGTCTGGCATCGGTGCCGCTATTGCCAGAGCTTTGGCCCGGAACGGCGCGTCTGTAGCAATTCATTATGTGTCGGAAGGCTCCAAGGCGCGGGCTGAAAAGGTAGCGATTGACATCAATAAAGAGTTTGGCACCAAAACCACCGTCGTACAAGGAGGAGTGGAAAATTACGATACTGCAAAGAACATGGTTGAGCAAATTCTGCAAGCATTTAGCGTCGACCACATCGATATTCTCGGTATGTCATGGGCGCCGTGATGTTCTTTCCAGGTCGTTGGACAAGACTGATTGACTATTTGTTCTAGTCAACAACGCAGCGGCTGCACGCAACACACCTCTCTTGGAGGTTAAGGAAGAGCAGCTCGAATACGAATTCGCTGTCAACGTCTTCGGCGTGATTTACATGACACAAGCTGTTGTTGGCGTAGGTCGAATGCCGCAAGGCGGCCGCATTGTCAACATCGGCTCCATCGCCTCGAAAATCTTGGTCCCACCTCCTGTATATGGTGCGACAAAAGCTGCAATGGATGCCCTGACCACGTTTTGGGCTGGCGAGGTAAGCTTTCTTTCGTGTTTTGCCACTCTCTACGATCGACAACCATCTAACGAAACGCCGGACAGCTTGGCAAGAGCCGTGGAATTACCGTCAATACACTCGCACCCGGCCCAGTCCCAACAGATATGTCGAAAAACTATCTGGTGGCCCCTGACGGGTCTCCAACTGCGCTTCAGCTTTCTATGTATGAACAGACGCGAGCTGCGAATCGCCTCGGGTCAGTGGAGGATCTGGCTGATGCTACGCTTCTGCTAGTATCAGAAAAGAGCCGGTGGATCACTGCACAGTTTATTTCAGTTAGTGGCGGAATTACCGGGACCATGTAATCTGGGGGCTCAGTTGACGCGAACCCTTGACTAAATGGATGTGGCCATTTCGGTTCCCAACGTCGCGTGCCCTTCTCAGGGATCGCAAGTATCTTTCACGCTGGCTGTAATTAAGTGCTTCTGAAAATGTACAGCGAGCTTTGAAATAATACTGTCATATTCCCTCTGCAGAGCTCCCTTATTCAAGTGGTTTTGTAGAGGGTCGGTAGACCCAAGATGGAGCACGGAATGGTGAGGTATAAGGTAGGAGTTTCGGACCCTTGTTGGGACTTGGGGCTTAGAACCTGACTGCCAACTCCATGCGCGCCGGACCCACATCACCACTTATCGGTTCAGTGGGATATTATTATTCTTATTTAATCAAGTTTATTGTCCAATTAAGCCTAAAGCTATGACAGACCAAGCTCCTTGGGTCTAGGGCTATCAATTGGCCTTGGCTATGATATTCTCGAAAAGGAAAGAATCGCTAGAGCGATCGTCCATTTGAACCCTTTACATATTCCCCTCTCCCCCTTTTCAGTCCTTTACCCAAGGGATCCAACGGTTGAAGTTCGATCTGTTTGTCTTCTCTTCATGCAAATCATCCTCCGCCACAGAACGAATATCAGGATCCCACGTACATAGCGCGCCATAATACGTATCCCACTCATCTGGCTCAATCACAACCTGAACATTCTCCAATTTCTCCAAAGCACCAGACACAACGAGGCTCTCGTCATGGTCCCCACGAGGATAAATCCACAATGCACCACCGCTGATCTCTAATCGCTGCAGCCCCGGCCATCCCTGGAGCAATACAGGCAGCAAAGTGTGTTTCAGCGGCGACGGAGGCGGGGCCGTGAAGCAACATCTCCGCACGTAATAGCGAAGTAAGATATCAGCCTTGCTTTCCTTGCTCAGCTGCGAGTACACCAGCCGAACTACCTGTGGCTGCACTATTCGTACAAAATGCGCCAGTTCACCGTGGACGAGGTCCCCACGCTGCTGCCAGTCGAAGTGGTATTCCACTCCGGCGTCGCCTATAGTGAGACGTACGTGGTCTAATGCACGATAGGTGAGCGTCTGGAGGTGTGCGCACCGGGTTTCTAGCTCTGGGGTGAAGAGCCCGGTCATGTCGCCTGGTAGCACCTCCGAGGGCTGTTCCTCATGCGCCGGCCTGTTTTCGGTCTTGAGGCGTAAGATCCGTTCATCACGGCTTCGGACGCCGGGGAAGTTGTTACCATCGTTAGTAAGACCGCGCTCGTGTAGATGGTCGATGGTCAGGCTGTGAAGCGGGAATTTGTCTGTGCCGTGTAGGATGGCTGAGGCCAGCGCGTAGTGCATCTGGCCGCTGAGGGAGATGGCGGTGGCGCGTGGAAATAGGGAGCGTACTGTTGGACACGGATAAGGATGGGCGTATCCGCCAAATATGTCTATGGAGACGGCTTGGTCGAGGTGGCCGAATAGGGTGTAGATGTTGTCCAGTTCGTGGATGGGTGATGAGTAGGGACGAGCCCAATGAGGCAGTCGACAAACCGTGTGCAGACTCATGGTCCACGAGAACGAGCGGACAAAGCGACCTAGTTCCGGTTGTCGCAGTATTTGCTCCATGAAGAGACTTTGGCGGCCGAAGATGATACTGTCCTTGGGCCAGCGAGTGGTCATGCCTCCGAGGGCGTTGGTTTTGATATCGGGTTTGACATGATGGACACTGAGATCGATGTGCGAGTACAGCGCGGGCGTGCAGAGGCTATGCATATCTCTGCACGTCTCCGACAAATGTTTAACAGATGGCTGGTCCATGCCTTCAAGGATGATGAGCCATATCTCATTGCTGACCCGTTCCAAGGCATCCATCTTGGCGGTTTTGGTGAACACTCAATTTCTGATACTCGGTGCAGCTAGATGGATGGGTTTCGAGTGTAACTAACTCACGACTTCCTTGCGGGTGGTGTGTTTGTAACGGGATGAATATTAGGGAAATAGCGGATCGAACAAACTCGGAACTTCCTTTAGATGCAGGTTTTGCATCCTTTTGATCGACCAGGGGCACTCGCCATTGGCATTACTCTCGATGACCGTGTCCAACAGCTGGCTTGGTGATGTGACAAAGGTCAGAGGAAGCGGGGCAAGCCAGCCCAGTGCCTCAGCCTCCGCCTCGAGCCGCCTCCTTCACTTTACGGTGTCCCTCCATTTAATGCGGCCTGCTCAAAGACGGATCTGCGCTAAGCCTTTGGCCGTGGGGCCAGAAAAGAGTTATCAAGTGTGTACTGGTCAAGCCGATTTCGAGAAAGACTGTAGTAGCCTATGCCATCTACGATACAGATCCGTTCTCTACTATGGGTTATGTCATAGATAAGCCCGTGCTTTAAAGGAGCTAGATTTAGGGCTATCTTCGTTCGACCACTCACTCTTGATTGTTAAGATAGCTCTCCCTCCGGAGGCTATTTTGGAGGTAGGGTATGGAGGTGTCGGATGTACTGAATTTATAAGCGAATACATACTTGAAAGTACTAAGTACTCTACCTAAGAAGCAATACACGTCCAACTAATAAGGGTACTCCGGAAACCTCCTAATATAGACGAGCATGTCTTGGCGTTGGGGCCTGGAGAATCAATCGAAGAGTGTAGTGGTCGCAACAGTTTCGGACGTACTGAAGATGGCCTCTCTTTCGATTCTCTTAATGCCGGCATGGTCATGTCTGCCTACCAGGGGGTGTAGCCTACAGGGTGTAGCCTGGACCAGTTTACGCCCGCAGGCATCCAGGCGACCGATCTAAAGAATCTGGCCAGCCTCACAGATAAGACACCATAGTGACAGTTGTCCTCTTTATACTCACGGCCATCGACCGCCCTCTCCGCGGCATGCCATCCCACAGGCCACGAGACCGGTCAGCAGTGGTCAGACGAGCCAAGAAATCTAGTTCGAGCCCCAGAAACGAGGCTCCAATGAGAGCGGGCGTGCTCGGTCAGCAGCGGCCAGGAATTGCGTCGGAGTTTCCTCCCAGATCCATGTCCGAGGAGGGGGTGGGTGCAAAGTCAATTTTCACGCCCTTCGGCAGGACTAGGATCAAAACGGGCATCGTAGGGGCACCCGCGCCCACGGACACAGCCCGCGGCGGGGAGGCAAAAGGGAAAGGATCGGTGGAGCCGGCCCAGGAATGTCTCCGTGGTCCTTTGCGGGCACGAAGGAATAATACGAGGCTCAGCCCCCTGCGGCGGGGACCTGTTTGGGATGGATGAAGCAGTTTGGCTTGCGTAGTCGTGGGAGTGATGTCGAGCAGAGAAACCGGGTGGCATTATTGGTCCCATCGGGGATCCTACTCTCCCAGGCCCTCGCGAACCGAGCCTAGCGAAGGTACCTGCAGTGGGCCTGGCTGCCTAGGGCTTACCCAATCACCACGGCACAATCGCGGTGACTCACACCCCGTGACCGCGACCATTGGTTCCGGCCAACGGGAATAAGAAGTGCCTGAGTCCCCCGTCGATGCCTGGGTCTTTTCTTTTCCCTTTCTCATCCCCCGCTGACTTTTTCCAACACAACCACACCACCACCATCACCAACCCACCATTCTGCCCTCTGACCACCACACTTTTCCCGTTCACAATTTCCATCATGGAGGCTTATTAAGCTCCCCCTCGCCTCAGCGCCCGTCTTTCTCTCCCGAGAACGACACGATAGATCCCCACCATCTCTCTTCTCCTCTCCACTCTTCAGAAGTCCTAGGACCTCTGAACTTCAGCAGCGCCTCGCGTAGCTCAAGTTCTCTCCCCTCCAACATTTCCCCGTTCGACGTCACGTCGTTCACCACGGATCACCACCAGCAATCATGGCTCCCCACGCCCCCGCCCCAGACGCCATTGGCTCCCACTTCGATCAACAAGAACAGCGAAGACAGCAACAGTCTCTCCGAGGACTTTGTGCTCTATCCCACCTCGCCCGCCCGTCCGCAGCCTCGCCCCAGAGACTCGCGTGCGCCAGCACTCGTGAATACAACCCATAGACCGTCTGCCCTGCAGCCGTTCCTGGCCCAGAATCAAGCTCGACGACACTCCTTCACTCTGCAGCTGCAACGTCATCTCCAGCAGCAACAGTTGTCCGGATCGCCCGTGCAAGACCCTCGATTGGCCAGACTCGCTTCGCAGCAGTCAACTCCGTCTTCCTCTTACCGGTCTCCCAACGCTTTGAAGCGTCACCCAGCGTCGGTGCCTTCAAACTCTCCACACCCCAACCGCCCTCCCGTCCCTTATTTTAACACGGGCCTCGCCGTGAACCAACAACAGAAACATTACTCGCGCGCATATCCTCGCATCATGTCCACCCCCAACATCCAACAAGGTATTTCCGTCTCCGACGACCTCTTCCATAGCCACATGGCTAACCCCGCTCCCACAGACTACGACTTTGACTACGACGCCCTCCTGGGGTTGTCCTCAACCGACTTCATGGAGGGTGCCAAGTCTCCTCACCCCTTCGCCTTTGACCAGCTCCCGCTGGGCTCAGAGGCCGGGGTCGAGCTTGTCACCGACGCTCCGACGGGCACCATCTCGCCCAAGGATCTGATGATGGACTCCTCGCTGCCACCGTCGACTTCGTTCACGGATCTCAGCACCCCGTCCTTCGACTCGCCTGGCAACTTCAGCCAGAACCCGTCGCCGATGTTCACGGACGTCGACCTGGTTTCCGGCCACGAGGCCTGGTCTCCCCTCTTCCACGACAGCGATGCTGTGAACGCCTTTGACGCGGCCCTGGCCGAGCCCAAGTACACACAGACGGCAGCCCCCGTGGCTCCTCTGTCGCCGGCTCCCATGAAGCGGACTGCCTCGGCCACCACCAAGCAGTCCTCCGCCACCCGGCCCTCGTCCGTCGCCGGTGTCAATGCTCGCACGCGCAAGCCTCTGAGCCCCGTCACCTTTGACGAGAGCGACCCCGTCGCCGCCAAGCGTGCTCGCAATACAGAAGCCGCTCGCAAATCGCGTGCTCGCAAGATGGAGCGCCAGGCCGGCTCGGAGCGCCGTATCGCCGAGCTCGAGGAGCTCCTCGCTGCACGGGACCAGGAGATCGAGTACCTCAAGTCCAAGCTGCAGGCTCAGGAAAGCTACCAATAGTCGTTTGTCTTTCGATGTTGTTTGTTTATGTGATATGCGTTTGCATAATTGTTTGATGTTCTTCTGTCATTGTCCTGGTTACAGGGATTGTCGTGGGCGTGGGTCGAGTCATTTTCATTTCACTTGACGTCCACCGGAGGTGTCCAGGGTCTTTGCTGATCCTGAACCCTCCACAAAAGTTTCATGTGTGCGCACATCTGGACGTCTTTCGTCTTATTATTACTGTTTTGATATTTTTGGTTTCTTTTCGGTTTGGCCGGTTCTGACTGTCTCCCATTAGATGGGATTGACTCGTGGCTATATTGTTTTGTTTTTGTTTACTTGATAATTATATCATTTTCGCTCGCTATACTCATCATTCCTTGTATGATCTTCCCGTACTGTAGATTTGTTAATGGTGTGTACCTAGTCCATGTAGGGGCTAGTCTATTCTCGATCACTACTCCTTTCTCTAGATTAATGACATCGACCGATGTTGTATCACACGGTCCAGGATTTGTATCTTGTCACCTCCCACACTCTTCGCTTGTTTCCCAACCTTAATGCCAAGATATACTAGGCTATAATTGGAATAATACGGACTATTAATGTTCCTACATTCTTAACTTACCCGCAAACTATCGTACAGTGGTGTTCCAAAAGTCTGAGACCCTCTACCTACCGCCCAAGTGCGTAATGGGTTTCAGATTTATGGAACACACGGTATCTGCTATGTCTCGAACGGTATAACTGATCTATGGAAGCTAGGATTTTCTGTCGCTTCCTAGTGACATCTGTACGAACTGGTACCAATTGAACCGATTAAGATGATTGATTGAAGAACTGTCTGTGAGATGTCTGTTGAGAGCGACTCTACGCCTGAGAGGCTAGTTTTGGTGTGTTAGGACACCGGTATTCCGAATGGACCCGGTTTACTATACAAGCGATTATGGGGAATTGCGTGGCCACTAATGCAGCCTCTAGTTGTAGAATACCGCTCCTCGGATGGACATGTTCCATAGAATTGCACAAACTGGGTCGCAGGCCTCCGGATTGTTCAAGTATAAGCTCCATATTCCTTGACTCTCGTCTTATTATCCGGAAGCTGGAGAATCTGGCACCGGACCCACCTCGGCTTACCGCTGATGCTAGCCCGGAAACCAAAGTTCTGGGAGGCTCTTCGAGACATTAGTTATGGATGCCGGCATAGCCAGATATGTAGGCAATATAGTATGGGCAGGTTCTCCAGCTCTGAGCAGTGCAGCATTCGTGAAAGATCGGATGGACCTCATCGGAGCGCATTTTCACTTAGTGAAGACGCCTTGGTTGCAACCAAGCCGGAGGCCATCAACGAAGTGAAGAATATTTTTAGGCTTCTGGAGACCATGCTCCTGGTTGACGGCCGACAATGGATCTTGAATACAGAGAATCCCAGCCTAGCGGATCTTGAAATATCTTGGCCCCTCCACTGGCTTTTCCCGACACCGGGATCGCTTCCTATGAACCAAATCTCATCTAAGGTGTTCCCTAAAGTTTTGGATGGGTTGAGCGATTTCTGACCACGGTTATAGCAAGAGAAGGCCAGTTACCAAAGCCTCAGGGCTCTCCAGGAGAGGAAGCTGCAGACAAGATCCTCACATCGTCATACAGCGAAGCCCCAAGCCAGGTGGAGCCCAATCACGATAATCTGCATCAGGGGCAGTTGGTAGAACTTTGGCCGACAGGTACTGGCTCACGACATAGGACTTTAGGGAGACTGATTAGTTTGAATTGCGAGGAGCTGACACTCGAGACAACCGGAGATATGATCGTGAGGGCCCACGCTCCAAGGCATGGATTCAAAATGACTCCATATAATGAGAAATAGACAGCCTCATAACTTCTCTACGAGCTCAATCACATTGCATATATTTCTTAAATCGGGTTCAGGAATCAATTCGTGAGAGTATATGGGAACTCTAATCTCTAATCTGATTTTGAATATTGCTGTATTATAATCCAGCTCAGACTTGCCTTTCAACCCCTCATCAACCACATCCATCTCCCGCATCCACAATCCCCTCAAGTCTACATTATAGCCTCCTTCTTCTTCCTTCCCAGTCCCACCCTCTTCCACCCAACCCCAAGCCTTCCGTCCTTCCTCCTCCCAAGCCCAGATAAATAAACGGACCCTGCCCAACGCTCCCCTAACTCAATGAGCCCCTCGCCGTCCGGGAACTGCGGTTGCTCTAAAGAAGATAAGGGACGCAGGGAGGCCGCCTATTTGGTCCAGTTTAGGAAAAGAAAGGGAAGGAAATGTATTCATCCGTCCGGGACGGATGGATGGATACAGATAGGATAGGATGATTGAATGAAGAGTGTAGGAGGGAAGGAAGTAGAAGAAAGAACACAGACGAGAGAGGGAGAGAAGGGGGTGAATGTGGTTTCGGAAGTATCTGATTCTTGGTTTTGTCATCATTGCTGGAGGTTTTCTGTTGGTTGGTGAGGATAGGTGGTCGGGGATGCTGTGTTGAGAATGTGTATATGATTGGGGTATGAGATGATGAGAGGAACGTGATGAAGAAGTAAAGATCAGTCCAGGGTATCAGTCCCCCTCGATCTCCCCGTCTCCATTTTCGCTGTCCTCGCCCCAAATTGGATAGCGCGCTTCTTCTCCAAGGAAACAGACCGCAACCCCAACCGCAAAGCAACAAGCCGAAGAGCCAATTTCTCAGCATCTGGCCGGCGGCCACCGTCGTCGACGATCGGCTGCTCTTCTAGAGGCTCTGGTAAAGGTAGACCAAACCCGCACTTCTCCCACACAGGAGCGCGGAGCACCCAAGCGACGAATTCCTCATCCAGGTAGGGAAACCTCGTCTCCCGGCTCCAGTGTGAGAGGACGCGGTCGTCGCGGCCGAGGTTACGCTGCCCGAGCCGGCTGACGTCGAGATGGATCTCTGCGACAAGGCCCTCGAACCCGTGCTTTGTGAATGCGACCCCGTGTCGGCCGTAGCCGGCGAAGAGCTCGTCGGCGCCTAGCCCTGAGAGGAGAATTCGCGCGCAGGTGGTGTAGTCGTTCTCCGAGGAGGCAGGGGTGGTTTGGGTTTGGGTTGTGCCTTTGCCGCGGGCTGCGAAGTAGAGGGCACATGCGATTGATAGGTCCATTTCTGTATTGTGGGGTCTCATCAGGCGCTTGATTTGGTCCCGGTGCGCTAATGTTTCGTCGTATGGAATGTTAATGGCGATGAAGCGCCAGATACGGCCGGGGCAGGAGGTTTGCAGTTCCTTGTGTGCGGAACGACCGGTTATTCGATCTGGGCAGGCTTCATAGATGGAGAGGGTTGGTTGTGGTGAAGAAGATTTTTGATGACTGGAGTTCGCTGCTGCTGCTACCCGTGGATTTTCAAAAGCCACATTGAGCAGGTCGATGGGTTCATCCAGAGGAAGAAGATCGTGTGAGAGTCTGGCTAGCAGCGTACAGTCTAGACCGCCGGAGAAAAGAACAGCGATTTTGGCGCTGCGGCCTTGAATATACCCAGGAGGCTCGGGAACATTTTGGATTCTTGGCTTCAGTGATTCACCGAGTCGTGCCTCGAGGTCTTGAACAAATTGAGAGTCTGTCGTTAGTGGAGGGGGTTGCTCCGTTGGAATGGACATGTTCATGGGTGGAAGTGGAGATTTCTGCAGTGTTGTCAGTTTGTGGTGCTCTCCAGATTGACCTGATGGAACTAACCAAATGCCCAGCTGGAGGTTGTGGATCAGAGCTCCATGGCAAAGTCTCAATCTTGTACATCTCCGAGAGAGACTTTTGTCCTGCCTGTGGCGGACCCGAACAGTGGTTCAGATCAATCATATGAATGCCATCAGTGCCGACCTCCTCGAATCCCAGTGATGAGGACGACCCATCACAAAGACTGACAATCTTCAAGCTGCCATTCTCATCAAGCCCCTGCAGGAGAGATCTTCTGCCGAGGCAATCCCTGCTAAAGAAGAGTCTTGAGTTGCGCGCGTCAAAGAACACAAAGGAGAAGGGCCCGGAGATGCTTGCAATTGCACTGGCTAGCTTGTGAAGAGCGTGCTTACGATCACCATCACCATCAGCTAGCGTCACAGCTCGTAGAAACAAGGTGAAAATATGCTCTGTGTCATTGCCCTGGACCCTCTCACCGGCGATCTTCCAGGCCTCACCGTTCCAGCACAGCACAGACTGTGTGGCAGGGTCTACGAGAGGCTGGGCGTAGACATGGTCACCTCTCAGTGACAATACGGTTGAGATGAAGGTGAGATGCCAGGACTGCACTCCATTGATCTGGACTGTGTGAGTGCAGACACTATCTGGTCCTCGGGATACCAGCAGACGCTGTGTTTCTGGGGTTGGGTGTATGGGTGCAGAACCAAGTGAGCAGAAGATGCCGCACATGATGTGAAGGGAAATAGTAATCCACGTGACCCCCCCAAATCAATGGACCATCGATATTGTTGTCACTCTCAGAACGTTCATCATTTCTTTCAGACTGGGACACATTTACTCAAATCCAGCTTCCGACGCGAGAAAAAAGAGGTAAGCGGGCCTCGGTCGAACGATGATCCACTCGCGGGTCAACAATCAGGCCAACTGATAATCATCATAATGCGCCAGCTTCCCCCACGTTGCTTTCGAGCACAGCGTTCTCCCACTTTTTTTTTTTTAGCATTGGCGCGCATGAATAGCCCAGCTGATGTCGACCACCGAAGCCTCGTCCCCTCTGGGAAAGGGGGACGAACACATCTCCCACGGGGAAGCACCAGAGAGGTCCGGGCCATCCGTACCGCTTGAACTTGCAACCCAAGCAACGCAGAACGATGCCTCGGAGCAGCACGAGGACCCCACACCAAGCGACGTGAATGCAGAAGCAGCTCAGGGATCCCACTCCTCGGAAACCGGAGCGAATGCGACAAACCCTCCAACTGCCACGCAACCCTTATCCTCCATCCCGCCTCAGCCCGAGCCGCCCGTCGAACAAATGCAAGGACTGTCTTTCCCGGCCAACACCACATCAGAATCTCCCCCCTCATCTAGCACGAGCACTCCTCCACCCCCTCCCCCAGAAAAAGACGATGCATACCTCAATCAGGCGTCTGCGGCTCCTACGTCCGCGCCGCACTCGACTGGCGACCCAAGCTCCGCGCCTAGCTCCGAGAAAGAGCTGCCGGACGTGCCTAGAGACAACAATTATGAGTTGAAACGAGGCGGCCAAGGCGAAGGAGCTCGGGAAGACAATGATTCGCAGCCAGAGATCCAAAGCATCCTAGGACAATTCCAGGACCCTGCGCGGAGTACCGGCCAGGACGAGATCATGTCTCCTCGGATGGAGTTGGCGGAGCAGCTTCGCGGCGCTCAGACTTACTTTCCCCCGCGAAAATCCAGTTTGGATCATATGAAAACTGTCGAACCGGGAGCTTCTACTGTACCGCCAGACAACCAGTCCATCCCCAATGCCCCGACGCATCCGCAGAATCAAACAGACCACGAAAAGCCAATGCTCACTCGGCAGTCATCGACCTCGACTGCCCCGCCGCTACCAGAACCCGAACCAGACCAACCCTTTGACTTCCACCGGTTCCTGGAGCAGCTGCGTCACCGCACCGCCGACCCCGTGGCTAAATTCCTACGCTCATTCCTCCTAGAGTTTGGCAAACGGCAATGGATGGTCCACGAGCAGGTCAAGATTATCAGCGATTTCCTGGCATTTATAACCAACAAAATGGCCATCTGCGAGGTCTGGCGGGACGTGTCGGATAGTGAATTCGATAACGCCAAGGAAGGAATGGAGAAACTGGTCATGAACCGCCTGTACTCGCAGACCTTTTCACCGGCTATCCCAGCGCCTCCAACCATTCCTAGGAGTGCTAGCCGAAGTCGGCGGAAAGAGATAGAGAGACTTCATGGCCCATGGCGGCGCGGTCAACACCAGGAGGACATTGAACGAGATGATATTCTGGCCCAGAAAATTCGCATATACAGTTGGGTCAGTGAGGAGCATTTGGATATCGCCCCAGTGAGCGGTGGCGGGCGCCGATTTTTGAATCTGGCACAGCAGGGTATGTCCTTCAATTTTGACTTGACGAAGCGATCTTCTAACTTGATCATCAGAGATCTTGAAAATCAATGGCTATCGCGCACCCCGGGATAAGGTTATTTGCATTTTAAATTGCTGCAAGGTGATCTTTGGTCTGTTGAAGAACTCTAGAAAGGCCGACACCTCCGCCGATGCATTTGTTCCGCTTTTGATATATGTGGTGCTGCATGCCAACCCGGACCATCTTGTCTCCAACATTCAGTACATTTTACGATTTCGTAACCAAGAGAAGCTTGGCGGAGAGGCAGGATACTACCTGTCTTCACTGGTATGTCCTTCTTTTCCTATTTGCCTCAGCCATGCAGCTAACATCCGTCGCAGTCCGGGGCCATTCAATTCATCGAGACTCTCGACCGCACCAGCCTAACGGTCAGTGATGAAGAATTCGAACGCAATGTGGAAGCTGCCGTCTCGGCGATCGCCCAACAGAATCGCGCAACCGAGTCTCTGGACGATAAACCTACCGACCAGCCATCTACTCCTGCCAGGGTGTCTTCGCAACCACCAGCAGGAGCTGGAACTGGAGCAAGCCGCAAAGATGCATCGCAGTCAACAGACGAGGAATCCTCTGCCCCAGTCGCCGGCCTCCTACGAACAATTCAAAAACCGCTCTCCACCATCGGCCGTATGTTCTCAGACGAGCAAGATTCCGGGTCTTCTACTTCGCAGCAGGAACATCCACTTCATCCCGCCACAACACCTCAACCGCCTCGCCTGACCCCTAATGTCTACCAACCCCCGCGCACAAGCAACGACGACAGTCGAAGTGTGGACGACGAGCGCTCCCGCCAAGAGCGAGAAGGCAGCGGGGGGAAAGTTCGTCGGAACCTGGCACCTTCGTTCGACGCGCAAGATGCAGCGGCGCGCCAGGCCAGCGCCGAGGACGCTGAAGCGCGCCGCATCCAACGTGCCGAACATGACACTGTCGTTGAGACCCTCTCGAACATGTTTCCCAACCTGGACCGCGATGTCATTGACGACGTGGTCAAGATGAAGGAGGGAAGGTGAGTACTTGAAGTCATCTCCACATTGATTGCTTGTCTTATACTGATGATTTGGACAACAGAGTCGGTCTAGCTGTCGACGCATGTCTCGCTCTCAGCGCAGAGTAGTATATACCTTTCCGCATTTACCTCTTTTTTCATGTGAGCGACCTAGGGGGTATAGATGAACTGCAGTGTCACACCGTGGGGCCCTTTCGTTATTTGCTTTTCCTCTTCTCTGTTCTGGACGAAATTAGCGAGGTCTCATTGATGTGCCACACCGAAGCGAATGGTGAATGCGGGCCTATGTTTTCTAATTTTTTTTTCTAGCCCGCCCGCTCCCTTCTAGGAGCAAGCAAGCAGTCTTGTACCTGTACCTGCTATAGTCATGACATGGCTCTCTGCGCATCCAATACACCTTTGCATATCGAGTGCCTATGTTACCTTGCTTGCAGCAACGGGAATCTAGATGCTCTTCAATTTTTCTTTGGCTGCCGCTGTAAGTATGCATCTGTACGTACTAGATTTAGGCCGCCGTAAGAACCTGACATTTCGTATAGAAATGCATTATGAGTAGCTGTTACAGAGTATATTGCTATTAAGTGTGGAAGTTCTTCGCCGTATGATAGCTGATCTGAGTTGTTCAGAGACAGAGGACAACCACGAGAAAACGTACTATATTCACTGGCTAATCGAAGCAGCTTTTGACACAACAGCCACCACATCTTCTGGAGCAGCTAGAAAGGCATCGTGGCCCGCATCCAGTTTAGTGACCGTGTATTCCCCAACACTAGCCAGATGTTCCTGAAACGCCGGTGGAACACACACGTCCTTCGTACACAGAATGTAGAACTTCGGACACTTGATTTCGGATTCCACATACTGTGGAAACAAGGTAAAGCTCTTTCGCGTTTGTCCCTTATGCAGATTAGCCCATTCGGCATCGGCCTCGTCGGGACTCAGATTGTTGTAGAACAGTTCCTTTGCTTCTTCTTTCAGGTGAGTGATACCATTCTGGATTTTATAAAGTTAGTTAGTGGCTAAGCGAATACCAGAGAATAAACTCACCTCAACGAATTGGTACGGCGTAGGCGGAACAATAGTTTCATCCCCCATGATTCCCTTCCCACGAGCAGGAAACGCAAAGCCCGCAAGGCTGACAACTCCGATGATCCCGCCCTTGAGGCCCCTCTCAGCACGCTCAACAGCGGTGAGGCCCTCCGTGGCATGCGTAGCCGGCAAAGATCCATAGCTGTGCGAGAAAATCACAGCCTCTCTGCCTTCGTCCAGCAGAGGAACTAGCTTCTTTTGAATCTCAGCTGCCTCGTCAATGAATGTCACCTCTGGATCCACGGTGTCACCGCAAGAAGCCAGGTCGTAAGGAATCACTTCGTGGCCCTGAGAGCGTAATAAGGCCGTGATCTTGCGGTAGTGGATTGGCTTGTGAAAAGCTCCTGGCACAATCACTATAATGGGCTTTTGAGATGCCATGATTATGACTTAAGAGGTCACGCATAGTGATGAGACCGGGAGTCTTGCAGCAATTTATGTTTCCAATTAGTAAGGCAAGAATAATCCGACAATTTCCCTAGAATCTGACGTGAGATCGAGTGGAGTCTATGTATCCTTCTAAAATACCAGCTTTGCGGGCCCCGCTTACAAATTATGTCTGGCGTCCTTCGGATGACTACGTTCTATAATATCATACCGTAGCATGTAATCTGTTGGTTGAACTACTTGATTCTGGAGCCTATTGGTTCATGATTTACTTCCAACAATCTATTTTCCTAATTAGGCATAGCTTTAAGATTTTCTGTTGAACAATTCGAGTCATAGACCTAGCCTTATTAAGGCTATGATCGGCGAATTCACTACGTCTGCTTGGTTAAAGCATTCAAGTTGCGGGTATGAACAGCCCCTGCTTAGGTGGACTGTGTGCATCGATATTCTACAATCTTCTATGGAGTCTTGTGGTATTATAACAATGGCTACTTTGCTATGTTAACTGATGCGATGCAAGTGAGCAGGGATGATTCTTGAAAAAGTCACTAAAGCTAGATTCAGTAATGTCTACTAGTGGAAGCCGCCTCTTTTAAAGCCTCCATGCAAAGACTGCGCTTTGACTATTTGCGGTGTTCGTCTACGGTTGGGGGTCATGGAATTTCGATTAATAGAGGGATGGTCAAAAAAGGATCGGTTGGAGGGAAGAGGGTAAGGACCACAACTACCGGCAATTACATCGAGTCTAAGACTTCTAAGCCCAATATGGGCGAGCAGCTGAAAAGACATCCTGGCCTGCATCCAATCCAAGAACAGTGTATTCCCCAACACTAACCATATGTTTCTGCCACGCGGTGGAACACACATGTCCTTCGTACACAGAATATAGAATTTTGGTTTGGACACTTGATTTTCGATTCCACGTACTGTAGACACAAGGTGAAGCTCTTACACGTTTGTACCATATATAAATTAGCCCCATTGTCGAGGCAAAAAACTTTGGCTAAATATGTTTTTCAACCATATAGAGGATCGCACCTCTTTAACCGCTGGACAGAGAGAGGAGAAGAGAGAAAAATCGTTCGTCTCAAACAGGAAGCTGGATGATCAGGATGGCAGATACGCAGCTCAATGCTGAAAGATAGGGAACAGAGACCAGCGAATTATAGTAGACATTGGTGTATCTATGATTGGCCTTGCCAAGTCTAGAACATCGATTCTTTCGAACCATGGTTGCCCTAGTATCCGGTACGGGCACGTGATATGTAGTGGCGATCAAGAACGGTGGCGAATTATGTTGCTGCTTGCATCATACAGATAGCTGTTCCGCATAGATATAGTAATGAATGTCAAATGGCATTCTATTGAACTACAGAATTTCCGTGAGGCCTAGTATCAGGATCGACTAGTCGACGATAGGCTGATTGATTGTATTAAAGAGCATTTTTGGATCTGCTAGTACGCGAAGACATTTCTATGCCACCCAGTGCTTACATAAAAATCTGAAGCTTAGCAGATTCCATATAGCAATGGCTAATCTGAACCAAAGAATCCTATTTAACCGGTTGGCAGGCTGTTTGCTTATAAGGGCGGGTTCGAGACAGGGTCGAATCGGGCCACCTTAGTCCACGGATCATACTTGAGTAAAACCTAGCTGTCACTTTATGCAGGAATTTAAGTCTAGAATGTCCTAGATCTTCACTAAACACTATATCATTGGCTACCATTTGCAGACCTTAAATTTCACTACTTCGCGCCTCTCTGTCATCTCGATTGTTAAAACAACCTTTATAACGGCCTTCTAAATCTGCTTCTATTTAATCCTATGCATCCACACCAACCTCCCAATTTCTATACCTGCCAAGTTCTTAACAAAGTCCAGTTAAGACTTGTCACTAGGCGTTCGAAACGCCAACAATGCTAAATGGTCTTCGATCTAAGCCTTCCTACCGGGCAGCCTGGCGGCTGACGCTCGATGAAGTGTTGACGAACACGGCGCCTCCACCATACAATCTCAGCGCATTTATAACATATCTCGCCCAAAGCTATTGCCTCGAGACCCTAGATTTTATCCTGGAGGCGAGGCAGTATTGCGAATGGTACAAATCGTTAGTTAAAACAGCAGGAGGATCTATTGGGACGATCGACTCCTCGGCATGCATGAACCTGAGTATGATCTATCGGGTTCTCCTAACGACGTACATTCTCCCTGGAGCCCCCCGTGAGATCAACCTGTCTGTCGACTTACGCGATGCCCTGTTGCGTTTCAACGATATGTCGACACCACCCCCACCTGAGGCTCTTGAACCCGCCGTCAAGAGCATTCATGACCTGATGGAGGGTTCAATCTTCGATTCGTTCCTGAACAGTCGCTCCACCTTTTTGCAGAGAGACCGAGCGTCGGGAGATTCAAATCAAAACGACAACAGGTCTGACCGCTCATGTACGGACCCAGAAAATCAGCCGACCAAGCCAGATCGCGTAAAAGCTACGCGCCGCCTGTTGAGAAGGACTTGGTCATGGCCTCCTTGGAGTCACTAGACCGAGCGAGCCTCGCTCATCACACTATATGTGAGCAACACCCAGCTACGCTCCTGGCATCGGCAAGGAATCTCGCGAGTCCTGCCAATGTTTTGGCAAGACAAAGTCATACCGTGATATTTGAGATCGGATTACCCCACATACTCTCAGGGATTCTTTTCCGAACCCTTATTTACGCTAAAGTTAGATTAGCCTTAGATCCTCCACATTTAGAAAGAAGCACTATGTTTTACATGCCTGTGATGAGACCTATTAGAGCGTATTTTGTGTGAAATGGTTTACACAAGCTCTTTTTGTACCCCTCAGTCTGTTACCATGTACGTCGAGTCTCGGACTTTCAAGCAATATAAGAGGCAAGTTCGCTTTCCAGTTGAGTTTGTTTTATTTGACAAAAGCTCGGACCTAAGTAATAATTGGAGAGGATCCATCATGCTACTTTAAGCGGACGCTGTAGTGGCCTCCTGGCAGGTCCTCATAGGTCAACCCGTCCGTAGATGAAGTAGGTGTAACAATACCACTGGGTCTCCGCACAACCAAATTTTCCGGCGCGCTAGACAAGATCAATGTCCCTGATGTCCCACTGGGCGTCTTGAAAGCCCCAGTCACGGTGCCGTTACTACCGTCGGTCTTCCAAAGGGCAGAAAACTGTCCCAGCGGGGTCTGATAACCACTTTCGACTCGTTTCAGACCTCCAAGGCGAGGTTGCGCTTTCCATTTCTTTCCTGCCGCCGAGACGATCTGCAAGCCGGCAGCGTAGAAAGTCAGACTTGATGTCGGGCTGGTGGCCCAGCCGTGGGCGTGACTGATTCGAGCGTCGTTACTATACGGCGCATAGTGTAAATCTCCGTTCGTAGAGTAACCCTCGATCAGGCTACTATTGGTCATTCGTGGATCGTCGAGCATAAAGTCGGCCCACATGAACTCAATGAGATCAATGGAGCGCTCGGGAAATCCCGCCAGGAAGTGTGCCTGTACTTCGAACCCGCTCGCAAACGGCGAGATAGTGGCTCCGGCCTCTGGCGCCGGAGCACCGTAGGGCCTGATCCACCGGTTTTGGAGGGCCGCGCTGATATCGGCAGCTCGCTTGGCCTCGACAAGACCGGCCATGATGACCCATGAGTTACCATCTTGCGGGTGGATGGCAGCCGCGGTTTGATTGACGTCGTTGTCGAAGAAAAGATCTTGGGTAGGATCCCAGAGTCGTTCGTTCACGGCAGCTTTGATTCCATGCATGGCTGATCTCCAGACATTGTCCAGGCTATGGTCACCAAGCGCATTTGCAAGCTGTAGGCTGATATCCAGAGTATAGTATAGGATTGCGTTGGCCTGGAATTCTCCCGAATTAGGGTTCATGTAAGCAGCAGTACCTGGACATGGCCACTTACCTCGACATTGTGGCCTCCCATACCGGATCGCAACCAGTCATTGGAACTCGTAACGTTTGCCATGCCAGAGTCATCAATGGTCCCTACACTCCAAGAGATGGCCCGCTTGTATTGATTCCAATATCGGGCTAAGTAATCGATGTCTCCCGTATATAGATAGTAAAGGTGGAGGTCTTGTAGCGTGTACAGATGGTAGGTAAAGCTGAAGGGAAAGTTACCGGGGCTCGTGAATGGGGTCCCTGCCCAGGGCAATTGTCCATCGGGCTGCTGGAGGATGAACAAAGAATCGATTGCGTTTTTGATACCGTCTAGGTTGTTGGTGGAAACGAACACAGATGGAGCAGAAATAACGACGTCGCCAGGCCAAACCAGCCTGTCTCTCTTCGCCCCATCCATGAGGACCGAGGTACCATCTACATATCGGTATTAGAGGATTGGGTATTAAGAGCAGGTGGAAAAGAAGACGAGAAGGAAAGTCTCACTAGCAATGGTGGAATTGAAGTACCAATTAGTGCCAGAAACACTCAGGGCATTTCCCGTAGCCGGATCGGCAGTGCACAGTTGATTGGTATACGCACCCGCGTACCAGACACGGTTCAACTTTTCGTTATCGCTATTGAAGTAACCTTGGTAGTTTCTTAGATTCTCCATCTCTGGCGATGCAGTAAAGTTCACTGATAAATCGCCCAAGGAAACGGTTCCGGTAGAATTGTGCCAGATGCTCATATATCGAAATCCACCGCGTTGATGATACTTATCAGCATGATACTGCCCTTTGTGGGGAATCTTGAACCACAACGGGCTGTCGAATGTCCCACTTGCCGCTGAGTCGCAGTGGTATGGGCTAATCCACATGGAGCTTTCGGTGAAACTGAAACCAATGTATTCATTCGAACCAGAGACAGAGCGGATATCGAAATCGACAGTACCAGCTATATTCTTGCCGAAATCAAGGGTGATAGAGGAGTTGCTACCCAAGACTACACCCTCAGAATTGTGGATGCCGGTACAAAGTGTATCGGGGTTCTTGACGTCGCCGTTAGTGGCAAACAAAGAAGCACACTTCACGGAGCGGTCTTCCGGGGCCAAAATGTACTCTTTGAACTTGGTTGCCTTGGCCCAGTCAGACCAGAGCAGGCCTGCTGCGAGGTTTCGAAATAGTATTCCGCGCATGATGTGGTAGGGGTACTGAGGTATGCTGTAGGGTGTTTGTGTTGTTACCCTGATGGTACCTGAAGCCGCTTTATAGCATAAATACTTCGCAGCTCCGCAGCTCTCATAACGAATCGGGGTGAAATACACCGAGCGTCAATTTCCTTGGGGTGTCATAATGTTTTCTATTGGACTGTGTTTCCGCCTAAACGGGCCGGAACAGGAAAAGTGTACATTAGCTTATTGCAGCCGACGCTTTGACAATGCTTCGACGATTGTAAACTCCCCAAGGTATGTGGCCATACTTAAACAACCGTTATGCAGATCAAAGGGCATAATATCTTGCTACAGTTCCAAGCGTTTCGCAGACACAGAATTCCCGAAATCAGACTTGGGAAAACGGAAAGAAGAAATGGATTATGGCGGCAGAGAGGATTGTTCGCCCCCTCAATTGCCCATTACTTCCCCATCTCCACATGCAGACTATTTGGGATTTGGTTCCGCGAACAAGACCCCTGACATGAATTCAAACTATCTTCCGTTCTGGAAAGGATAGCGTCGGCATTTGCTCTCTGATTGGGTTGCATACTCAGCAAGGCTGCAGAAACATGATACTAGCTGATCTTGAGCGGCGATGCTTCGCTATTTATTCTCCCGACCTCCTCACTGTCAAAATAACAAATATGTGGAGAGAATGTGGGGAAAATTTGTGTAAGGGGCGGCCCGCGGTTTCGGTCTATTAATCCACATTTTCTTGTTCTTCAACGCTCATGTTACAGCGATATTCGAAATCAGATATACCAACATCCTCACGCGAATTGATTTCCGAACCCTAACCTAAAACAAGCTAATCATAAATATGGTGTAGTCGTAGATCCTCAGTTTCACAGAATAGGCTTCGTATTCTACATGATGCTGGCCAGACCTTTGAATGATGTCCTGTATTTTACGCGAGAGTGTTACTTGCTTACTGCCTGCGTGCCCCTCCTTGGCTGCTGTCGACCTCCCTAACCAAAAGGCTTCTTCTTTCCATTGACTCTGACTATATTCAACATTAAGATACGCAATATAGCATTAAGGCCGCGCTCTCAAAGCTGTATCTCATCCGTGACATGATAGAGAGCCAGTCCACAGTAAACGGGGGGGCTTTTGGTAAACTAGTTCTGTAAGCATACACTCTTCAGCGGAGCACATGATCTCTAGCAACACTAGAAATCCCTCCCTAGCAATGACCCGCCTGTTAGGAAGATACTAGTACTTTTCATCGGCTGTATAATAGAATGATTGTTCAACCTCGCTGTTTGGAACAGCTGACGAATAGTGGGGGTCAATAAGTCCAGGGCTCCAAGCTGAGGCGGAGATGAAGCAATGGTAGCTCGATGCCGAGTCCAGCGGTTTCACACCGCAGCATATTAGTGGGTACCCGTAGATACAAATAGCGTGTTTCGGAGTGAACAACACTATGGAGACACACTGTATGTCCGATGACACTGGACAACCTAAATATTCTAGACGACAAATATCAAGAGAATAGGAATTTTAACTAAGAAAAGCTGAGTTGGTGGGGGCCGACCTTATATGGAATAGCGCGCGCCGCAGAGAGTGGGATAAATACCATGTACATGCCACGGTGTTACGTCGCCTAGTCACATCGATTTTCTCAACTAGTGTCAGATTCATAAATGGATATAGGCAATGTGGAGCATTCCACTTATGACAATGAGTAAGTTCAACAGGCAGTGAATTCTCGCTAGGTTGAGCATACTGACCCTTGGTCCTGAGATAACCAGAAGTCCACTTCAAGTTCTCGCGCACAATCTCTCGGTCGCACTGAGCATCCTTCTCCTGGCATCGCTTATATACCTCATCGTACACTGGCTTGGGAGGCTGCTCAACCCTATCCGTCGATCGGCGCGACTCCTTCGCATGATACGACTATATGTTTGGCCTCATCTGCCGGGCGAGTTCGAGTACGTCGTGGTAGCTCTAGTGATTAAGATTTTAACATATCTGGACTTCATTCCTTCGACTGATGGGCATTATCACTATATCGTGGAGACCATGAGGATGTTGAATAACGGTACGAGGGATACTAAGACCTACACAATTTGTGGGAAAGAAAATATGGAAATTGCTACCAGTATTCTGTCCTATGGAGCAGCAGCAGCGTCTATGACATGGGATGTTACCTCAACTTGGTATGTCCCAACAACGACAAGACCAACACTAGTTGCATGAGATAATGGTCCGAAGGGCGCATGTTCTTCTATGCCATCAATTTTGCAAGGGAGTATAGTAATAGAAAAATTCCTATTCTGGGGTAAACTGACTTCGAATATTGCTGTAAATCCGGCAGCGTAGACTAATCCTAAATATGTTACTAGTTGCCGGTAGAATAACCTACGTGGTATGTGAACGTGATCGCTTACCTAGTCGATGCACAAGTAGGTCAATATATATCTCTCTAGATGCCTAGCGCAAGGCTCTTCTCCTGCTAATTTAATCAATGAGACGGCCAAAAACGGCCGCCTTTGATGCATGTTCTATCCTTAACTGTATGTCTATGCAAAGGATGCTTTACAAATGCAGTGTCATTCCAATATGACCGCTATGTATGCGGAAGATATACACATCGGTAACAATATCCACAAGGAAAGAGAGAAAAAAGATCGCTCAGCATGCCACCCAATGAACAATACAAAACGAACAACAGCAGCAACGGGCGCTAAAGAGATCAAGCTGCCATGGTAAGAACGTACCTAGAAATATAAGTTAGCAAGCCGTATTCCACGACGCGAACCCCACTCCATCGAACGAGACTGTCAACTTACGAGGTAATACTATCCATGCGCTCCGTAGTCAGCTTCAAACAAATGGTAAGCAACTCCCTCGCAGCCCTGGGCTCCTCTTCCTGGAGTTTCTTCCAATTCTCCGCAGAAAGACACCACGCCACGCAATCGCATTCCGCCTTAACAGTGGCCGTGCGACGGGTATCACTGAAAAACGGCAGTTCGCCGCACGGCCGGCCCGCAACGACGAGCTCGAAGTAACGGCCCTGCGGAAGATCGTACTCGGCGCGCAGCATGCCGGACTCGAGGAGATAGAAGGCGTGCGGGACATCGCCTTCGTGGTAGAGGACTGTTGAGGCGGGATAGGATTCGCGGGTGAAATAGGAGCAGATGGGGAACCAGAAGTCTTCCGTTTGGGAGGAGAGGCCTTGGAAGGTTTGAAGGAGGAGGGGGAGTGGTTGGCGCATGGCGGTCCAGGCGGGCGCGGCCATCATTGCTGTTGTTTCGTGTTCGCGGATTGTGGTTGTTGCGACGCGCTGCAGGTATTGCCCGCGTGGAGAACTGACGATGGTATCTGAGAGGGTTGGGTTGGTGGTTCGTTGTTGGCGTTGGTGATGTTGTGGCGCTTGTGGGACGGGAACGGGGACTTGGAGGAGGGTTGTGGCACTGTCGGATTTGGGGAGGAGAGCCTCTTGACGACTGTAGAGGACTTTGAGGTAGTTGTTCTCGCAGAACTCAAGGGCGGAGTTGAGGTCCTCGAAGATAGGCACGCCGGTCTCGGGCTCGAAGAGACCTACGTTCTGCAGGCTCTTGCCCACGTCACCTTCCATGTTTAGTCCGGAGATAGTAGTCTGGACGCTGTGCTTGCGCAGGATACGATTAATGCGGGTGAAAGCTTCGGCGGCCGAGAAATCAAGCCCGTAGACTCGAGAAAAGTCAAGGATCAGGAACCGGATGGGTCGCTGCTTGAATGCTTCCTCCTCAATCAGTCCGCGCATCGTGCTCTCGACGTTTACTATTGTCCCGAAGAACAAGTAGCCGCCCAGCTTCATGACGAGGGTCTGTTGGCCCGCTTCGTGGAGGAATTGCTGCTGAAGAGGTGGCCGGCGAACGGTGGACCCTGCGACTTCTCCCGAATACGTCGCTCGGATGGCGGATTTGCGAGATGTTTGGACCACAAAGTTCACGCATGCCAGGATGATGCCGACCAGGATTCCAGTAACGAAATCCCAAGCGCCCATCGTGACTACAATGATAACCACCTGGAACGTGAGTTAGCAGATCCAACATTGGCCTCCAAGGATCAATACATACTGTCAGATATTCAAGTCGAGATAACTTTCCCCATGTGTCCACGAGGGCTTCCTGCAGTAGCTCGATACCCAATAAGAAAATTAGGGCGGCTACAACCATCACCGGAATAAAGCCAACGATGACCGGACCAACGACAAGGACGCCCACCGTTGCCGCAGCAAGCATCAGACCGGCAAGCCGAGACTCTCCGCCGCTAGCAATGAAAAGAAGACTGTTGGTATACACCAAGTAGTTCTGCTTGGATTAGCGCATCCCCCTGTGATGATAATTGAAGACGTACCTGAATGCTACCCGCAAATCCTGATAGTGCATTTGTCACACCGTGTGCCATGAGCTCTCTGTCCACATTGAGATTGTCCTCTCCGGTAGAGATACCCAGGGCAGGCACATTGATTGGGACGTGAAGCACGCCGAAGAAGGTCAGGGCAAACATTGCAGGGATGGTATCTGCAAAGGCAGCCCAATCGACCGCAGAGAAATCTTGTTCGAGATGAGCAAAGTACTTGTCTTTGAAGAGGAATGAACTCACCATAAAGGGTATAAAAGTGGTACCAAGGGTTATTGGAGGAAGGCGCATCGAACACCCATCCATTCTGGCGCAGAGCATCCATAGATACCCTGGCACTAACAACAGCAATGTAAAACACAGCCGCGACCGCAATGAAATACGCACCAACAAGAAAATTCGACCGAACGAATCGCTTCAGAACAAGAAGACCGAGCGCAAGGAACAAGGGTATCATCCAAAGAGGGAAAGTATCAAGGTGAAAGAGTTTCTGTAAGGTCTGGAAATTGTACTCGAGCGAGCCAGGCAGACGCGCCGAGACCTCGACTCCAGTTTGGAGCAAGAAGTAGCCGACACCGCCAATGCAACCGATGAGGATATGGCGGGGGAAGAAACCGATCAGCGAGCCCAACCCGGATATTCCCATCAGAAAGAAGACCAGACCGGTTAGGACGGAGCTGACGGAGAAGGCTAGGATGGTGGTTGCAAGGACCGATTGGGGGTTATCCTTGCCGATTCTGTTCATGATCGTAAACGCCATGGAATGGAAGAATGGAACGACCTCGATCATCTCGCTGCCGATTCCTCCTTTGAAGATGGAGCCGCCCGAGGAAAAGATGACCTGGGAGATGATTGTGCTGACGTAAAACATGGAGATGCCGTCTGAGCCCAGGTCGGCAAAGAGTGGTTCTCCTAGTGGGAACAAGATCATGCCGTAGGATAGGGCGTCCAGGATGTTGAGTAAAAGGCCAAGCAATACCGCCGGAAGCAGACTGATCGGATACACCACGCCCTCTCTCCACAGGGCGCGCCTATCCCATGCCTTCGGGTTGGAGAGTATTCGAATGGACTTCGTAATTCTTGATACGCCTTTGATAAACGGGTTCGACGACCGAGGAGTAGAGCCACCCTGGCTCTCCACATCATTCACAAGGCCGTAATTGCCCGAAGACTTAGTCCTGGTTTTGGACAACAGTGACGTACGCTCGTTACTCAGAGGCTCCGGTTCCTCATCATCCAGAATGGTAGGCAGTGGAGGGAACGAATTGTCCTCGATCACAGCCCCATCGTCACTCGCACTCGTCGAAGGACGACGTATCATCTCCGTCAGTGCGGACGACGCCGAGCTTGGGCCCACAGGAGCAGATCCAACATCCAGGGACTCCTCGTCCTCCTCATCAACAGTGGGATATGAGCCACTGGCAGAATCACGCTCCAGACCTTCCCGGGCTTGGAATATATCGAGACTCGGAGGTAAGCTCGTGCGATCTCGCCTGCCGAGAGAGCTTTTATTCAGGGAAAGACCGTACGTCGCTAGCTCGGCGGTTTGTTCGCGAAGACCGGTGGAGGCATAGTGGCCTGGATCTGGCGAGGATCATTGGGTGGTCAGTAAAATTCGCTCTCGCTTAAAAGTACATGGGTCGGTCGGTGGCACTCACCAAGGGTTGGGTGATAGGTGCGGTGATGGTATGATCGGCCGGGAGTGCGCATGCTCGAGCTATTCGTGTAGCTGGAGGAGGCGTCGGCCCCTGTGCGTCCTGGCGAGCTGCTGTCCAGCGCCGTCACGGGCGACTGGCCGAGCAGGTCCTCTGCTGCGACCGAGCTGTCGGAGTTCATGGGGCCTCGCCGGGACAGGGCTGATGCGCGCGAGTCGCTGCGGCCGCGAGGTTGGAGCACGGGCATGGGTTATAGGCGATGAAGGACATGCCTGGAGCAGATGGTGGTGTGTCTTATCAAGAAACTAGCAAGGTTGTAAGTCGCCCGCTCCACTTAAGTTACGTTAGTTAGATAGCACGGTTGACTAACGGGTCTTATCGCCGGAGTGAGTCTAGCGGGTCACTGGGAGATAAGATCCTAGTAGGAGAATGGTATTCTGATTGATTCCGATTCTTGATTATAATAATACCAACTAATAATGGTAATTTGACAGCCCGTCGCTTCTAATGATCGGCTAACGGTGTACTTATGTCCGGCTCCACCTCCGATCAACTCCACTGGAATGCATATCTCATAGGATCATAGGGTATCGTACAAAGTAAAGCTAGCTCAGTCGCTCCAAAAACCCCTGCGCAATGAGCCGTTCCACATCCCCCTGCCGCACATACAGCTGGCTATTTTTCGTCAAGTTGATCACCCTATTCATCATCGTCGTTAGTAAAGAACACGATTAGAAACACCAGGGCATACCCATATTCCGTCTGAATCTCACCCGCGTCCTTCAACACGCGCACATCGATAAACAAATCCCTCGGTGGCTCCAACGAGCCTGTTAGGTCAATATCCGTGAATTGGCCCTTATAGGCCGCGAGCATATCGCCATATAGCCGAAAATATTCCTCCTCCTCGGGGCTGAGGGAGCTGTGTCCCGCCCCGGCAGACATCGCAGCAGCAGCAGTGGAGCGTTCCTCAGCTGCGTCGCTGGGCTGCTGCTGCTCCAGCACATCAACGCCCGTCCAGCATAGCTCCTCCAGCTTCTCGGTGCGCACGCGGTGGTACGCCAGGAGACAGCGCTTGTTGCGTCGCATGCATAAGTGGTCGACTAGCAGCGCGCAGGCGACGGCGGGGTCGGCGGAGGGGTTGAATTCCCCATGGAACGGGTCTAGGAGGCGGGCGACATCGCGTTCGAGGTCGCGGACTTCGCGGGTCACGGCGCGGACGATCTCGGTTTGGTAGGGGGGAAGGTGGGCGAGGGTTTGGGTGCGTTTGGCGTGTTGGACCTGATTGGAGGATGATTAGTAGTAGATTTGACACCGGATGGAAGAACATACGAGCTTGTTGCCCAGCTCGCCGTACATGGTGGCCGCGTCGAAGGTGGAAGAGGGAGACGCGCTTGGGCTGGGTGAGGGAGGGGATTAGTCAGGGATTGAGAGAAGGAACATGTGAAGTATGAACAATATTTTAGAATCATTAAATAGTAACAGATAATAGTTATCGGGATTGAATTAGTAATGCCAATAGTTAATACTGCATGGAAGCTCGCATCCGATTGTAATCGCCCTGCGTAATGGGCTCGTACTTGGCCGGGTCGGTGGCCGTCCGACACGACGGAATACACTCGATCACCGAGTCCGGGTCCGGCGCCAGGAAGTACGGGATGGAAAATCGTCGACGGGTCATCCTTTCTTCTCCTGCAAACCGGTCTGCCAGAGGCGGAAGAGTGACTCGGTGGCTAGTTGACCTCAACTGGTCTGCACACATTAGGGCATATACATAGATCATATCACAAGAAGATGAGACACGCACCGTTGCTCCATCTCTGTAAGAGATCCCCTACATTCATCACAATTGCATTCTTTACCGGCGTGGCAGGAATAAATTTCCCCAGGCAGGCAACGTCCTCGACCTCGAGCCCACCGCAGTCATCCTGAAAGAGCAGCGTAATGGAGCTCCAGTCCGTATGAGCGGGACAGCGAGCCACTCGGTCGGTCTCGAGCGCCTCAGCTGGAATGGGCGGGTAATGTAGAAGACGGAGCTGGTTGTTGTGGCCCGAATGCTTCTTCAACAGATAGTTCTCATCCTCCAAGTCCAGTCCGATGGCGAGGGCCTGCAGGATCTCGCCGCCCACACGGAAACACTCCCAGTAGAACCTGGACATGAAGGACTGGAACCCCGGTAGTGCATCCTCGGGAAGCCACTGATTGGGTTGGCTGGGGTTCTCGTCACTGCCAATGTCGTAGCTTTCCTATGTACTGGCCATCAGAAGGTGTCGCAGGCTGACCCAACAAACAACCTTGAAGCTGTCGCTTCAAAAATCGCATGCGAAACACCCTTGTGAAAAGGAATATTCACCTTGACATCGGGAATTTCTCTCAACTGCCCAGCCCGTTCCTGGTCATCCTTCTCGCTCATCGCCTGTGACACTTTCTCCAGCCCCGGCCAAGAATAGCCCCGATGGACTGCCCATCCCTCCGGATGAGGCGCTTTACGTTTTTCGGCTTCGGGCAGGTCAAAAAATAGTCTTGACCAGCGGAATGCGTCCTCCAGTAGGGTCTCGGGCAGCGAGTGGTTGACGATGTACACAAACCCGACCTGCTTGCACGCGGCGACGATGTCCTGTGCCACGCGCTGACGATGGGACTGGTCGGAGGACCACCGGGCAAAGTCCACAACAGGGATGGTGGTTTGGGCCATAGTTTCTAGTAATGTCTTGGTTGTGTAGTTAGTTAGTAGTGAGATGGATGAAGTGGATTGGGCCGACTGGTTGCCGTGGCAAGGATGAACTAGCCTCGTTTCGGGTCAGTGCCCACTCTGCCCTTGTAACTCTCCTCGTGTACCTCTCTTCAACAAACTGAACTGGTCAGTATTGATTCCCCATTGTCCCCGGCAATCAATTAACTACTCCTGACGACGGACTGACATCCACTTGCCTCTTCCGGTAGTTTGTTTATCCCCCCACTACCACGCCTATGTGCGCCGATATGCCAATCTTCCCGTCGTAACCAACCAAAAGAGAACAAAAGACAGAAACTCGCCGGAATTCAACCACCGCACCAGAATGCGGGCCATGCGGTGGACCTGGCTGGCGACCGCATTCCTCGCCTCCGCCGCGCGATCGAGTGAGAGCGAGACAAACAGCCCCTTCATCGCACCCGCCAACGCCGAGACCAACAACCAGCGAGCCTTCGAAGTGCTCCAACTCCTCAGGCGAACCGAGAACAACTGCCCCAGTGGGTACAATCCGTGTTCGAAGCTCGGTAACGCCGACGCCTGCTGCCAAGATGGCACGATCTGTTCGCGCGACTCCGCCAACAACATCGCCTGCTGCCCGACCGGCGCCAGCTGCACGGGCAGTCTGACGGCCGAGCCCTCCGCCACGGATGGAAGCAGCTTTATGTTCCCCCACGGTGCGACGGCGGCGACGACAACTAGCAGCGCTTCCTGGGCGGTGATCACTGGGTCAACGCTCGCGGGGGCGTATCCGTTTATTTATGTGCCGACGACCTTTGACAACGCCCAGACCTGCTCCTCTTACTACCATATCTGTCAGTCGGAGTACTCGCAGTGCACAGGCGCATTGGTTGGTCGCTATGGAGTCACCGTCGGGGGCGCAGGCGGTGCCGGCGTGACGGTCGAGGCGATAACGGACTCGGCGCAGGCCACCTCGGTTTGCTCCAGCTTGAGCGTGAGTGCCTGTCATGGTTTGGAGCTTGGGTATTGTGGGACACTACAGACTGGAGCGGCGCAGGCCTATGGCAATGGCAATAATGCTGCGGCGCCGGGCCAGACAACGAGCCTACACGACCTTGCGCTGGGACTAATTGTTGGGGTTGCTGGGATGTTTATATGACGTGATGTATCTGGATGGATGGGTGTACTTTGATCCTTCTTTTGTATATGCTTGATTCTTATTACAATGACTGCCCATATGGAGTTTTGTTTATGGCTTTGAAATGGAATGGAATCGGTCTTTTGGCTATTTGCCCTAAACCCAGTGATGATCAGCAGAAGGCGACAACTGGGTATCCCATTCCCGCTTTGTATGGTAATCATCTCACTTCTCTCACAGTATAAATAAACAACACACAATGTCGGCAAAATGAACATAGCTCTACATCTGACAATGGCCTTTATGGGGATAATTACATACTACCACTGCACAGGAGAGAACCCGTATGCACCACCCAGATGTGCAGACACTCATGTGTTTTTCAATCCACCTTTTGACTCTTCTTCTTTTTCAGTCCTACCGCAGACACGACACCCATCTCTCCCGTGGTCGTTTCCATCATTAGTCGTTGCAAACGCATTCCGAACAAGAACATTGTCAACCACCGAGGGAAACGATGGGGAGATGGCCACGCGGACTGCATACTTGGCGATGTTTTTCTAGCACGGGACATTCGGGAGATAGTTACGTTAATACTCCAATCGCTACCGGAGATGGCAGATTTACTGTCAGTAATATTATATTAATCATAGGGCATGCGTACTCATATCTAGTAATACCCCAAATTTCTAAACTTAGCACTTAGTACTTTGAACTCCATAAAACTATAAGATGTTGTATTCAATAACTTGTTAATAGCTTTAATAGACAATTTTGGCGTTTGCTTCTTGCGATGGAAAAGACATTGAACAAAGCTTATAGCTCAATCCACGGGAGTAAGCATATCTAATCCATATTCATTTTGAGAGGCGATGAAAACATAGGGTTTCGCATTTTACATCCGAGATCAGCGATCAATACGTCAGAAGTACTCGCCTGCAAGTCGGCTATATTGTGCCGAATTAAGGGCGAGTAGTGTGAATCACATCGCCCACCATGATCTGTAATATTTTCGTCGGGAATGTTGAATAAGACCAGCTACACTTTTGTAGGCACCCTTAGGATACTACGCTCCTTTTCTATTAACTGACCTTCTATGAAGAAAGGAAACAAGTCGGCTGACCCAATCGCGACGTCTACAGTGAGTTGTCTTACAACAATGAAATAAGGGTGGTGACATGATGAGAAACGGCGAAGTGAGGGACGCATTTAACGAGGGCGTGATCGGCAAGCCACCTAAGCGAACTGGAGTGACACAAACGTCTCCGCGGGACCCGAGAGTATCGTCTCGGCCACGATTGGTCCGTGCCGTGATCGACAAAGGATCTGCAGGCCCTGACAAGGGAGAAGCGATCATCTGACGGCGTCCATGGAGAGAAGGGTGGATTCAGGGACCATGGCCTGATTCTGGTATGATCGCTTTGGAGACAGATCCTGAATCATGTATCAGTGGTAAACGGGCGACGTGCAGCACGCTAAAATGCATAGATGGCATCCTAGCGCCACCGGCTTCGATCCGATTGATCCATTTTCTAAAATATGCGAGATGGAGATCATTGCCCGCTGCGAACACGAAGAGGGGCTCAAGGCCAGCCAAGGGAACCATAAAAGGAATGACAGCAGGTAGCCCTTTCAGCCAGCCACGGGCGAGAGGTCTCCCAATTTGACCCAAAATTTGTAGTTGGTGTACTGTTTAACTGGCGTCAGACGGGAACAGATGCATCTCTAGCGAAATATTCGCTCTTCAAGGATGTACTGCCTGCACATACCAACCCGCTATTGCCGCGTTGTTTGCCTGCCATACAACGCTGTTGAACTCTGTCTGCAAATCTCTAGTGCTATCTATAACTGTGAGAATAGAGGGTACTGGGGGTGGCTTGAAGGATTCAACCCACTTTGACACTGTGGCCATTCATGCGTTGATTCTGCGATGACAGTGAGTTGAAAGCGTAGTTGAAAGCACTCGACCAAGTTTCTAGAACCCTGTTAGGTAAGAGGGAAGATATTCCGAAATTGATCGCAGGCTCAATGAAAGGCTCGAACTCCTGCTGGTGTGGAAGAGATGATGATAGGGACCTGCACTTCTAGCTGGGATACCGATCAATCAGCGTAAGAGCCCGTGAGTACTCGAGAGATTTGGTACCTCTCGCCCTAGACGCAAAAGAAAATCCCCTTTTTTTCCTCTGCTTTTCTTGCCGATAGAATATGTCCAATCCCAAGGACAGCCTAGCATGGCTGGCAGGACTGACAACGCATGAAAACGTCCTCCGAGAGGTCTCGCTGAAAAGCGTTTGGAGCTTCCTGGTACAGCTGTGCTTCGCTTCTCTTAGCTGTAATCCGCTAGAGTGTGGATTGAATACGCCGCACGAACTCGTTCGACTGCGAATGAAATTGTGAACGCATGTACGGAAAAGAACAAAGAAGTAAGAACCCTCTATAATTTAATATCATTTATTCAATACGGGCAAAGGAAGTCCGGCTTAGCCTTCCGAATGCCTCTGGCATCAAATCTTTGTTCAATTGCAGCATTCTCTTAGAATCTCATCGGGTTGGTCAAATCAGTTGTGGCCTCTGTCCACGTCTAAGCAGAGGCACTTTGTTCGTCCACAAAGCTCAAATCTCAGAGCTCAGAGATCTTCATCTTGGCAGCAGCTACGGCCGTCAGCAACATCGAGGGCAACCAGCACATTGGCCATGTGTGACAGCCGACTTGTCCTCAGTCAGGGGGGATCGCAATTAGGACAGGCTGTCAGAATAATTACCGAGTAATTGCATAAGGCAGCCAGTTCCAGGAAGTGCAGTAGCGTAAAAATGATCTGCATTTCAGCCCCGTTACTGTAGGTCTGGCACTTTCCGCATGAGAGGCGTGGTGCTAGGGCCCGGCATGCCTTTTGTGGTTCGGCCGCCCTATGGTTCGATTTCGTGATCTGTTCACCGTCAGGTCGGGACCCTTCCAACAAAAGTCCCGGGCATTCCACCCACAACTATTCTGTAGCTCTTCTATTCTGACTGGCCCGTCCGATGCCATCCATGCACCGGTGTCTATAACGTCATATGGTTTAAGCGAGGGGGACTCCTTCTCCCGGCATGTGATAAGGCGACCCCTTCGTAGGATAACAGACACGCGATTTGGAGTTGCGCGCGAGAATTCCAAGCTACTGACAGGCATGAATAAATAGATGAATTATGGTGGAATTAGAAGGCTACCATGCTGACTCGGTAAGATGGCGTTACATGGAGAATGGATGGCAACCAAAGCATCGAATGCGAGTCAAAACGCAGTCGTGGTGGGTCGGGCTGGACGAACATGTATTTGCTTAGTGGCTCCAGCCTCTAACTATTGGCGGCGTTCATTGTAAGTCAGTACTTTTATTACTCCACAAGCCTATCTTCACTTGGCGAACCATGGCTGACGGGACGGTTAATAAACCATGACAGCGGCAGACCCCATGCGCTTATCTTCCGTAGAACTGACTTGTGCTCTATTCCCTCGTCTCTCACTTTCGGTTTTCCAAAATGGTCCCCGGAGTTCCTTCAACTGGGTTTCCTGGCTGTGAGTGATCCCTTCTTCCTATCACGCTGGCGCCCCTGTGCGAGTTTAACCCTTCGAATTAGACAACCTTTCGCCTATATGCAAATCTGAACCGAATCTCGTAAGCTCAGGCTCCATGGTATTGTAGCCACTTGCTTGGCCGCTTTATTGAAGCAGGCTAACCGCTACTCAGGCTCCGACAACCATGCCTATGCCAGTCCAGCATAATGAGTTGCCCTACACCCACTTCGCCCTTATATACCTTGATGCAAACGGCAATCTTTGTCTGCAATCTTCTCAGTCAATCGCGAATAGATGCCAAACAATTTTACCCCCAAGAGCAACAGAAGCTTTCTTACGAGCAGTGGCCTTGTCAAGAGAAGCCCACTCGCCGCCTTTCCATAGTGAGTCACCCACTGGTCCCATCAAAAGCTTCCTTTGAATGACAGAGTGTAGTTGATCCTAGTACCCCAGTGTCGCCTGGCGAAAAAAGGCATTTCCCATTGCAGATGCCTCGCATCTCCAATGTTGGGGTAGATGTTAGGAATGGATCGCACATGTGGAAGCAAGTTGAATCCGGCAATCCATTTCAACCGACAGAATGGTCTAGTTACCAGGAACCCTGGCCTCTCTGGCACGCAGAAGCCCACGATCTTAGAAAGACGGATTGTTTGAACAAGGACCATAGTGAGGTCAGAGGCACCACATCCATGATATCCGTCAGTGATGCAGATCTGCTGGGCCTGTATTACAAGAAAGCCTTCGAGAACCTACACCAGACGAATTGCCGAGTGCTTGCAAAAGCATATGTCAAACTCGTGGAGCCTCGCAAGCAGGTCAACTATCCTTACAACGGACGGAAAACCGTCGCAGGAACTTCTATACAGCTCGATCCGGACGTGACAAAGCCACCATGGTGGCCGTCTGGGGTGAGCCATAGGGAGCCGGATCACCTCCCTAAAGTCGGTAGGATCAATCTGTCTTCGGTACTTAGGGCATTGTTGACTGTGACCAGAACGTATTCGGCTCCTGGTCTATATACTGCGCGAGCTGCGCACTAGCTATGGAATCTCGGCCGCAAAACTACGGGAAGCTGATCAGCCAATCCGTCATCAGATTTCGCCTCCCGAGCGTTTGCGGATCCTGAATGAGATCTATCTTGTTCGGGAGGCGGAAGAGAACTTTTTGGAGGGAAAGACTGGTATGTAGCCTCATGTCAAAATGTGCTGTTGGCCATCAAGCTAATATAGTCCTATAGACGGACAATCGATGGTGCGGATCTCTCGTGCGAACCTACCCGAAACAGAGGGTGACACTCCGAGCCCTAAAGGCCGCAGCGGAAATAGCAGCCCCACTGAGATGGCCACTATACGAGACCCGAACACCAACGCGGGCACCGAGCCAAGGGTCGTTGCTGTCGATGCTCTTCAGCCTGTGATTGCGTCTGCTGGAGGCTTTGCTACGAACTCCTATTCGAACCGTCACCCCCTTCCGGGCACAGTTTCCGAGTCCACACCCACCGTGCCGACTGCCCAGACACAGTCTAGCTTTGACTCCGCCGGGTCTCTATTAGCGGTGCCGGGGAATCCAAGGAACTACGACGGTATCGAGACGTACTCGGTTGACCCAACCAGCCCAACTTCCCTATGGCACTGTCCCTCTATATGCCCCGTCGGACCTCAACAGTTGCCGATCAAGTACTATGACGATCATTACCACTACTAGCACGGACGTATCGCAGTTGGCGGGAGATCTTGGAGTCGATTAGTGATTTAGCTTTCCCGTACTATTTCAGCTATTGAGAGCGAGCCGAGTCCTCTCCACACGCTCTTCAACATGACTATTTTCCTTTGTCACAGATTCCCAGAGGCGGTGCGGTAGGCTGTGTAAGTGTCTATCCATTTTCGCATGGATAATCGGTCGGATTCGTGCAGACCACAGTGAGCAGGAGAGATTTCCTTTACGTATTTCAATCATATTGTGCCCAGAGATTTTCGGCAACGTTGGAACCGTTTCATCTCTTACATTCAAGTGTGTCTGGTGCCTGTTGCCTGCCGAGCAACTAATATTAATAGGCCATATCAAGCATGACGATAGGCCATCCTTGATTATGACGACGGCCGGTCCAAAGGAAATACTTTGAAAAATATGTTAGCTATACAGTTATGAGCAGACATATTTCACATCTTACCATCTCCCTAGTGTCCTCAAAGTCACCGATGTTAGTAAGGTTGTATAGGCGAAGCCCGCTGTTGGCCGTTTGGAACTGGGTTGCCTCTTGGAATTGCTGAAGCACGTGGGAGGTACCCATTGATTGCCCGCAAAAACCGCTTAGTCGGTTCAATACCTATACAATAACAATCCCCAGGCTACTCACAGCAGAGCGGTTTCATCAGTGATACCATCAGGTCGATCTCCGTGTTTTAAACCAACACGTTCCAAGAGGCCTTGTTCGGCGCATAGACCAGTGAATATGGCGAGGGCAGTTGCGTCTTTTCCCGGTAGTTCTATCATATTTTCTTTTGTCGGATTGTGCGCGATTGAGGTGAGGTGGCTTGGAAACAATGATATCATTAAATCATCTTGGCCACCCTCTAGCTGAACCCCCTCGTCAGGTGACAGAAGTGTTGCAGCTTTCTCGGGGGGGACCACAGTATTTTCTCGTATGTGCAGTGGCTTTTAAATATCTGATAATGGCGAATGGTACTCCTACAAGAAAATTTGCTATCCAAAGTTTTTTGTGGATTAACATGTTTCTAACCTGCCCCATAGCCAGATGTGTACTGCCTAGATGAAGCTTCTATCCCAATAAACTCGATGCATATTGACTCAGATCGATTGTAGCTGACGCACGAACAGCCTTGATGGCTGCGGCAAAATATGGAATGTCCAGCCCATTATAGTCGCAGCTGTGCCCCCGGACATCGATAGTGACTGTAAAACCCTCGCCATCGCCGTTTATAGCTTGGTCAATGAGCATACCCGTGTCGATTTGTCCAAGAACTATAGTGCTGCTGGTAGGTTGCTCAAGCATCAGGTTAGGGAGGTCGACGTATCCGAGTGACTTGCCGGCCATGCTGAGGTTAAATGTGACATGACCCTGATATATGTTAGCCAATTTTGTACATCTGGTTATGTTTGTGCCAAATAATATGTTACCATTTCCACAATAAAAGGTGTCGGATTCTGGATAGAGATGGTGGCATTAATATTGAAGCCGTTCACAGGGTTGTCCAAGATATCTACACTTGTGACATTGAATGCACCCGGGGTATTGACAAACTCTGAGTGAAAGGTTAGGAACTTATGATGACAATATAAAGGATCAGCTCGTACCGGTGACATTGTATCCTACAAGTCAAAATTATTAAATCATTCCACTCTGTAACAGGGGAGTGAAGGCCTACCATTCATATCCATAGTTTTATGAATGTTCAAATGAGCAGTTGGCAGAGCGCCGAACTTCAAATCAGGTTGTCCCGTCACCAACACCGCGAAGCTCTTGTTTGTCGCCGCCGAAAGGGCCAACTGCGACAGACACTCAACGCAGGACAAGTCCAGGTCCTGGTCGATATCAAGAGTGGTGCCACCATCAAATTGGATCTCGGGTACAGGAAAAACCGCAAATTCCTCGCCGCTATCGGGAACGCGAATGGTTGCATTGAATGGTGAGAGATAGCCACTACCACTGAACCCACCACCCATGGAGATGGATTTCTTTTGGCTGACATGGAACGCGTTTGGTCGAGGGTTAGTGATCGCAAGACCAGTGTCATCATATTGGAAGCTGTTGATGTACGAGTCTGCGAAGTGAGGTATTCCCACGTAGATACTAGCAAGAATTAGCGATACATCCAATCACCCATGGAAGACAGACTTACAGGGGAAGAAACACCACCAGAAAAACACAGCAAAATCCGAATAAATATGCCCACCACCATTTCTTCATGTGCGCTTTAAATCGTTGCCATCTCGTCGGCTTAGTAGTAGCCCCTGTCGCGGCTGCCCAGACATTTGTATCGCTGTCTGAACTCTGTCCAAGGTCAGATTTTGACATGGTGAACTCAAGGATGATGCAAGACAGCAAAGCGACCGCTTCGCATCTTATAGCACGCGACGGTCAAGCATGTGCGAAAATAAAATCAAGGATCGCGTCAACAGAAGAAAGCAGTTCTAAAATGGGCGCAGTTTCTTCCCTCCGACTCGCTATTCCCCATGGGGGCTGACTGTCGATCGCAAGATCCACTTCACATGGGAGCGCAAAACAGCTGATGTCAGGTTGCGACTATCTGACCCTTGTTTCTGGGAGTTTTGAATCTTGTGAAAAGGGATACCACATAGGAGATAGAATTCAGTCTATACCGAGGCCTAGAGGACTCAACCTGCAGGTTCGGAGTAGCTAAATTGACCATGACCTGAAATAGGAATGGTGTTAGGGCTCCGTTCTCCGACGCCGAATACGCTGGAATACGCCCTTGCCAAGGAAAAAAGGGGGGCTGTTTGCTCATCACTGACCAGTCAACACCAACGCCCGTAGCAGGGACTTTGCCTAGCAGGATCACTCCTGCTCCAAAGGACTACCTATGGACATTGTACAAAAGGCGGGGTGGAATATGTCCTCAGAAATGCTAAATTTTTATAAAAGGTGGTGGGATGCTAAAATATAATGGCTTACGAAAAAGCAGTTGAGAATTCAGCATCGAATATCAGGCCATGTACGGCTTAGCGATAATACTGAGGCCAGTAAGACTGGTCAACCACAACCATCCATCCCTGCTATTTAAATTGGGCGCGATCATGTTTATTTACGGATCACGACGACTTACTAAGTCGTAATCCTCTTCATTGGTTCCAAATTTCAAGCCGTTTCAGTCTATATATCCAGTCTTGCTTTCCTCGACTCAGTCGGACACAAACCTACATACCTCATTCTTGCAGCAATATCAAATCCTTCTCCACGAGACATCTTCACTTCTTAGGTCTGTAGACGGTATGGAGAGCATTGAAATGAATTTCATGCGTCTCGAAGGGTACTTGGGATGAACGGCCTCCGCGGGCGATAAAGCACTGAATCATATATGTACTTGGGAGTTCCCTTCTATAAAGAAGATATTGCCGTGAAAATCTATATTGGAGAATCTCCAGCCAGCACATATCGTGGTCCCGCTGACGGTGCTGCTGGCCTGGATTATGGGAGTCGAGGATATGACTCTACATTTGATGCATTTACTATCACTACACTTTTTGTTGCCATGGTCATTCTGGGGTATGTGGTTCAAGGGGGCCGGAGTAACTGGAAAGGTGTGGTGGAAGCACTGTTTCTAGCCCTAACTGACTGGCTTGGAAGGCTTACCGGGGCTCTTTTGATTAAGATCTATATTATCATTGCGCTCGCTTCTTGGTGGATTCCATAGAACAAATAGAGCATTTATAATCAAAACAGGGCCGTGCTTAAGATACTCAACTAGCGATCACTCTGTGCCCAGATACCCGGGTGTTGTACTTTTGGCGTGAGTCCAGGCCGATCAGATCGGCCCGACCGCAGGAGGGGTAGCTGTCACTCTCTTCGGTGCATATGTCACATAGTAGTGTACTTAGTTGCGAACATGTATAATAGGTAATATTCAGCCTGTAATAGACACTCGAATTATCCAGATTAATTGATGGCCAGCCCCGGAATAAAAAACAGCGTTATTGGCAGGAAATCCGGGTGGTTGGGTATACGAACCAGGGTGGCTGGGAAACACAACAGGAATAGGTTATCTTCCCTCCCACCTTTCTTTCTCTCTGTTTCCTTCTCTCATGTCTCTCCTCTGCATTCCAGTTCTTCTCTGAGGAATTTACTCTCATCTTTTGTTCCTTTCTCTATCTCTTGAAGCGCAGATCGACGTGGGTGCATCTGCATAAACAACCCGCCTGTCAGCCCACCATTCCGATCGCAACGTGCGCATACCAGAGATTCTGTGGGCCCTGCCTCGCTCTCTAGCCGCCATGCGGGCCTTCACCACGATCTCGGTGCTCTCGACACTCACCCTTCTGCTGAGCTTCTCCCCATCGACGGGCGCAAATCCGATCGCAACCCCGGTATTCGTGGGCGACCACGTCCTCAACCTCGAGAAACGATGCGAAAATCCCTGTGGCTGGCATGACAAGTACTGTTGCAGCGCCAACCAAGCCTGTCAGACCAACGCCGCCAACGAGGCGATTTGTGTGGATGGCGGCAGCGGCAGCTGGGAGTATTTCACCAGCACCTGGGTGGTCACCGAGGCCGAGGTGTCGACCGTCACATCTGTCTGGAGCAGTCACATCATGACGGCGGCTCCAACCGCCGGTGGCCTCTGCAATTATGAGTATGGCGAGAGCAAGTGCGGCGCTAAATGCTGTGGCAAGGACTCGGTTTGCGTCCAGGGAGTATGTGTTCTCGGCAGCTCCTCCTTCGCCTCCACTGGAGCAGGAGCACAAGCGACGCCTCCGGTACGCGGCACTAGCAATGGTATGTCCACCGTCACACAGACCGACGCTCCCACGGCCACAGAGGGATTCATTGCGCCTGTCAGCACGGACGGATCCGAGTTGATTGGGGCCAAAGCCACGGTTGGCGGTGGTGGATTGAGCGGTGGTGCGATCGCGGGCATTGTCATCGGCGTGATCTTCGGTATTATCTTTTTGCTGCTTCTCTGCGCTTGCATGTGCTTCAAGGGCGCCGTGGATGGATTGCTGGCAGCCCTGGGCTTCCGCAACCGCCGCCGCCGAGAGACCGTTGTCGAAGAGCGCGTTTCGCACCACTCCGGCAGTCGACCGCCACGCGGCCGGACATGGTTTGGCACTCGACCGGCCGCTACAGACAGTGAGGTCAGCGAGAAGAAATCCAAATGGGGTAACTGGGCCACCATTGCACTCGTTCTGGGTGCGCTTGCACTCTGTTTGGGATTGAAGAGGCACAGAGACCGCGAGCACGACGACGACAAATCCGATCACACCTACCCGAGCGATTACTACTCCGACTACTACTCGGAGTATTACACCAATTCAAGTATGTTTGTCCCAAGCGTTCTGATTGAACCCATTGCTGACTTCCCTTTACAGGTACCAACAGTTCGGACCGACGAACTCGAGATACACGACGGTCACGACGGTCGCGCACCCGCTCACGGCGTTGACGATAATGAGTCGAACTGAGTTTTATGCATCTGGACGGCGTTACTGTATGACCATGATTCCTATGACCGAGCAATGTTTTGTGATGATCTTTTCTTCTTCGGTGTGGATATGAAATTTCTCTGTTTTTTACTTGGACAGTCTCTGCAATTGAGGGCGCGATACGATGTAAATAGCACATATGAAAAGATGAAGCAGACCATGCAAATATATTGGGCAGCAAGTCCGTACAGCGCGCATCTGCAATGCAGTCAACCGAGCCGACCGAGTAGATCATATAATGACGGTAGTACACAATAATAATAATAATAGTTAGCTACATGACAAAAAAAAATTCCTACGCTAAGAGAAGTTATCGTTAACTACTGTGGTCTATAATAGTATTGTGGCCAGACCCGCAGGCCACACAAACTGGTCCCCGCCTTTCCGCCCGGGCCGTTCTTCTTTCTCTCTCTCTTCCTCCCTTCCCAGGCTCCAACTTCCATCCCCCCTCCCCTTGACTTCCACCAAATGACTGTTCGTTCGAGACCACCTGCTTGACCCGCTCTACCTACATCACATTGTGTCTGCACGACACTCATTCGAAACTTGTCTGCCCAGTCCTGCGATCCCGACCCCCGGAGCATTCTTACGAATCACACTCATCGGCCGCCATGCTCCAAGCGCAGAGCCAGCACGTCTTCTCCCATCAACATCAATATCCTCAGGCGGATCCCTCGTGGCTGCAGCACCAGCAACAACAGCAGCAACACCAGGCCCAGCACCCGCATCAGCCGCAGCACCAGCAGCAGCACGCCTCCCTGGTCGCCCAACAGCATGCTCAGGTCCAGGCTGCCGCCGCTGCCGCGCAGCAGCAACAACACTATGGTCGCCTTGCCATGACCGGTAATGGCGTTGGCAATCCTGCGCAGGGCGGCGCTGGCGGGATGGGTGAGGCCGGTCTGTCCAACGTCTCCGTCATGGATGGCGGGATCAGCGAGGAGAATCGCAAAGTGTTCATCTGGGTCGCAGAGCTGCTGGATCCGGCTCGCAGAGAGGCAGCCTTGATGGAGCTCAGCAAGAAACGAGAACAGGTTCCAGAACTTGCGCTGGTGATCTGGCACTCTTTCGGTAAGACTTTTTTTGATGAGAATCGCACCGGGTGGAAAAGCTAACGGTCGGCAATGCACAGGCGTCATGACCGCGCTGCTTCAGGAAATCATCTCGGTCTACCCACTCCTCAACCCTTCCCAGTTGACCGCCGCCGCATCAAATCGGGTCTGCAATGCGCTGGCGCTCCTGCAGTGTGTCGCCTCCCACAACGAGACCCGCACTCTTTTCTTGAACGGTATGCGCTCCCACAATCTCTGATGAAGGTGAGATGAATACTGACATTTTCCTCTTTCTTTCTCCTAGCTCACATCCCCCTCTTCCTCTACCCGTTTCTGAACACGACATCCAAGTCGCGTCCCTTCGAGTACCTCCGCCTCACCTCGCTGGGCGTCATCGGTGCGCTGGTGAAGAATGACTCTTCCGACGTTATCAACTTCCTTCTCACTACGGAGATTATTCCCCTCTGCCTTCGCATCATGGAGACGGGATCCGAGCTCAGCAAGACCGTGGCGATCTTCATCGTGCAGAAAATCCTGCTGGACGACATTGGTTTGGCGTATATCTGCGCGACCTACGAGCGGTTCTACGCTGTGGGTACCGTTCTTAGCAATATGGTCACGCAGCTGGTGGAGCAGCAGACAGTCCGGCTCCTCAAGCACGTTGTGCGCTGCTTTCTTCGGTGAGTCTTATTTCTGAGTGGTTGCGGTGCCGTTCTAACATACTCGATATAGCCTGAGCGACAACAGCAGAGCCCGGGAGGCTTTGCGGCAGTGCCTGCCCGAACCCCTTCGGGATGCCACCTTCTCA